AATCGAGAAATCTGGTGTGTTGAGGTCCCACCCCGTTTGGGGGTCTGCATGGTGTGTGTATGTGTGTGTGTGGGAGAAACGGAGATCCCTGCCAATGGATTTCTCCCCTAATTCTACCACCAGCTTTTAAAACTCAAGGTCACTCTGGATATTTTCCCCCGTGATGGGGTTTGCTAATGACTCGCCGTCGTGCTTGATCCATGGTAATCTCAGAAAGAGTATTCTTGATAAGCCCCTGTGATGAAGAGGCTGATCGGTTTTGCACGTAATCCTGCCCTATCCCTGGAGGATCAGAGTGGATCATAATCTCGTACGTCACACACTGTATCTGCCTCTCTTTTGCAAAGGGCCCCCAAGTGTCCTGATTGCTGTTTTGTCTTTAGAGATTCTGAACCCCACTGGAAGAAGCCCTTCGGAAAGCTTGATATTGCTCTAGAGGGAGCGCACATATGGGCAGTAAATCAATATATTATTTTCTTGGCGCTTATGGAGTCCTTGGTGCTCTCTGAGCTTGGTTTTTGCTTGCAAACATTTCATGACCCAACTAGATAATATCATCCATGCTTGAAGGGAATGAGATTTGCAGAGAGGAGAATGAAGATTGTAGGTGCTCTCTTAGTATGGTTGGTTTTGTGGCAGACGTTTCATTGCCCAAGTAGGTAACATCATCAGTGCTGGTGTGTGTGGGGCTTGCTCTGCTTATGTATAGTAGCCTGTCCTTTTTTTTTTTTTTTTAAATTTGATTTATATGCCGCCCTTCTCCGGAGACTCAGGGCGGCTTACAATGCATTAAGCAATAGCCTTCATCCTTTTGTATATATTTATACAAAGTCAGCTTATTGCCCCCACAATCTGGGCCCTCATTTTACCTACCTTTGAAAGGATGGAAGGCTGAGTCAACCTTGAGCCTGGGGAGATTCGAACCAGCAGTAAATTGCAGGCAGCTGTGTTAATAACAGGGTGCTTTAAACCACTGTAGTACCAAGGCTCTTTCCTGGTAATGTTGGTGGGGATATGGTTTTCTACTTGGTAATTCCTTGATTAGGGTATTGTTTTCTGCTAGATTGTCTGGTATTAATCCCTGCTTACCTGGGTGTTGGTTGCTGGAGAGGATATATAGGTATTCTCTTCTATTGGATTTGGGCTTAGCTTATGTTCAACAACTGATGCAATTCATTCACTGTGGACTAGAAGACCTACAAGGTCCCTTCCAACTCTGTTATTCTATAATTTCTGAAGCTGTGAAACAGCCTCCCTCCTGGAGATATGGAGGCTCCATCACTGGAAGTTTTCACACAAAGGTTGGACAGCCATTGGTCAGGGAAGATCTGAGGTTTTCTGACTGGGCAGAGGATGGACTAGATGCCCTCCCATGCCCTTTTGAACTCTGGGATTCTAGGAACCCAGTGTCAGCATCCTAGCACTGACATATATAAGGAGAGGAGAAGCTTGAACTTTTGCCTACTTAATTCCTTTGAAGATTCTGTCTCCTCGGAGATGGGAGGAGGGAGACATTCCTGTGATCTGACGGAGAAGGGATGAAGAAAGTGGCTTGGAAGATAGCCAATGAGATGCAGAGAATTGGGGATCGGAAAGGGAGGGATTGGGGGGGCAAAGGTCAGTGCTGACCGCGAAAGAGCCAGGGAGAGATCACTATGCTCAATAAAGAGAAAATTTCCTTAAAGATCGGCAGTTTGGAAATTCCTTTATTTTGAGATAGCATCGAAACCTGACACCCAGTTGGCGTTAACCAAGGAACGAGCCATGAAGGAATTGACGAATGAGTCTTTCCTTAATTTCTGCTTGAAATGCAAGGATTGGCAATCAAAAGGATTGGCGTTGTGTTGATTGCCACAAGAAGGCAGTTTTGGGTCAACATTGGGACGACAAGCATGGAGGCCTTGATGGCTGCAAGACTCCTCCTCGCCTAATTCAGGCGGAAATGTTTCAATATTGAGGGGCTGCCCCAAAGAAGAGGAGGGGGTCAACCTATTCTCCAAAGCCCCTGAGGGCAGGACAAGAAGCAGCAGATAAAACTCATCAAGGAGAGAAGCAACCGAGAACTAAGGAAGAATTTCCCGATAGCGCAGTGTTTCTCAACCTTGGAAGCTTGAAGATGGGTGGACTTCAACTCCCAGAATCCCCCAGCCAGCAGCGCTGGCAGCCAGCAGCACTGGCAGCACTGGCTGGGGGATTCTGGGAGTTGAAGTCCACCCATCTTCAAGCTACCAAGGTTGAGAAACACTGCGATAGCGAGAACAATTCATCAGTGGAACAGAAGTTGTAGATGCTCCATCACTTTTAAGAAGAGATGCCCAAAGGTGCTTTTTCAGGAGGCAACTGGACTTTTTTGTTTTTCTTTGAAGATGCTTTGCTTCTCATCCAAGAAGCTTCTTCAGCTCTTGACAGGATGGTGGGGAATGGAAGGATTTATACTCCTTGCAGACAGCTGGTCCTTTGCATCCTTTTAGTGCCCTCCAAGTGGCCTCAACAACTCTCTCTAAAAGGATGCAAATGTCCATCTGTCTGCAAGGAGTATAAATCCTTCCATTCCCCTCCATCCGGTCAGAGCTGAAGAAGCTCCTTGGAGGAGAAGCGAAACGTCTTCAAAGAAAAACCAAAAAGTCCAGTTGCCTCTTGAAAAAAAAGCACCTTCGTGACAACTCTGTCCTGGATGACCGAGGATCTCCATAGGTGATTGGACAGCCCCTTGTCTGAAATAGGGTCTCCTGCGTGAGTAGGGGGTTGGACTAGAAGACCTCCAAGGTCCCTCCCTACTCTGTTCTTCTGTTGTTCTGAAAGCGATGTCCTAACTGAGGGGTCCTTTTGTCCTTCTGCTTTCTCTTGCTTTAGTTCTATATTTGGCTCTCAGCGTGCCAGCGTGCCAACCCAGCACGTGATGGAGTTTGGGCTGGGCGCCATGCCAACCAACCTCAATCGCTCCAGCCTCTTGGCTCAGCTTGAGGCGCAATGGCAGGCCGATGCAGTAGCATTTCAGAGGACTTTGGGGTTGTGGGGGGGCTTAAAGCAACGAGTTGAGTTTAAGAAGAGGAAGATTCAGGCGGTGGGGTCCCTTGGTGAGGCTCAGGGGCGTAAACCCAGATATCTGTAAGCTCTCTGTGAGCCTGGGGTCTCCATACTGCAGGTTCTTTTTTTTCTTTTCTTTTTTTTAAACTTTTTTTAAACTTTGGTCAGATCAACAGAGTTGGAAGGGACCTTGCAGGTCATCTAGTCCAACCCCCCGCCCAAGCAGGAGACCTTACACCGTTTCTGACAAATGGCAGTTCAGTCTCTTCTTGAAAGCTTCTGGTGATGAGGCTCCTACAACTTCCGAAGGCAACTTCTGTTCCATGGGTTGATTTTCTCACTGTCAGAAAATTGCTTATTTCCAGGTTGAATCTCTCCTTGGTCAGTTTCCATCCATTATTCCTTGTCTGGCCTTCAGGTACCTTGGAAAATAGCTTGACCCCCTTCCTCCTCTCTGGGGCAGCCCCTCAAATACTGGAAGACGGCTATCATGTCTCCCCTGGTCCTTCTCTTCACTAGACTAGCCAGGCCCAGTTCCTGCAACCGTTCTTCATATGTTTTAGCCTCAGGTCCCCTCATCATCCTGTTTGCTCTTCTCTGCACTCTTTCTAGAGTCTCAACATCTTTTTTATAGTGTGGTGACCAAAACTGGATGCAAGACTCTAGGTGTGGTCTTACTAAGGCTTTGTAGAGTGGTATTAGTACCTCCCTTTATCTTGATTGCATCCCTCTGTTAATGCAGTTTAGGATTGCGTTGGCTTCTTTTGTCTGCAGGAGCACACATCTGGCTCATATTTAAGTGATAGTCCACTAGGACTCCAAGATCCCTCTCACAGTTACTACTATTGAGCCAGGTACTACCTATGCTGCCTTCTGGTCCTTTGGAAAGTAGCTTGACCCCTTCCTCTCTGTGGCAGCCCCTCAAATATTGGAAGATGCTCTCCTGTCTCCCCTGGTCCTTCTCTTCACTAGACTAGCCATGCCCAGTTCCTGCAACCGTTCATTGTACGTTTTAGCCTCCAGTCCCCTCATCATCCTGGTTGCTCTTCTCTGCACTTTTTCTGGAGTCTCCACATCTTTTTTTATAGTGTGGTGACCAAAACTGAATGCAGTACTCTAGGTGTGATCGTACTAAGGCTTTACAGAGTGGTATTAGTACCTCCCTTGATCTTGATTGCATCCCTCTGTTGATGCAGTTTAGGATTGCATTGGCTTTTTTGGCTGCTGCTGCACACGGCTGGCTCATATTTAAGTGATAGTCCACTAGGACTCCAAGATCCCTCTCACAGTCACTGCTATTAAGAAACCTGGTTTCACTCAGTTTATCTGTGTGCTTTTGGTTTTTCTTGCCTAAGAGTAGGACTTTAATTTTCTCTACATTGAATTCCATTTTGTTAGAAAGGGCCCAGGGTTCAAGTCTGTCAAGATCCATCTGGATCTTGAGCCTATTTTCTAGGGTGTTGGCTATTCCCGCCAGTTTAGTATCATCTGCAAATTTGATAAGTTGCCCTACTTTCATTGAGGGTTGCCCTAGAGCTCTGATGGCGAACCTCTGGCACACATGCCACAGGTTGCACGTAGAGCCCTCTCCCGGAGGTCACGTGATCCCCTTTTGTGAATTTCTGAGCAAAGTCCATGGGGAAAACCCAATTCACTTAACAACTGTGGCAAGTGAGGTTGTAAAACGGGGCCAAGCTCACTTAACAAATGTCTCACTTAGCAACATAAATTTGTTTTGCTCCATTGTGGCCGAAAGTCGAGGACTACCTGTACACGACAGGATGGGGTTGGAGTCAAAGACTACCAGGAGGAAGTGCACGGGTTAGGCCCTCTTGAGATCGTCTGAATGATCTTCATCATCGCCGGATTGCCTTAAGGGTACCGTCCGGCCATCTTGGGGTGACCTGCCTCGGTTTCTCCTGTGTTGGGAGCCCTGTTGCAATGTTCTCTTTATTTCTCTCTCTTTCCTGCAGCTGCTCTAGGATGGCCCCGGCGAAGGCTCCACTTCTCTGCCTCCTGCTGCTCGGGCTCCTGGTGTTCCAGGCGCATGTATGTCCCGCGCCTTGCCGCTGCTACAGCCTGACGGTGGAGTGTGGCTCTTTGGGGCTGAAGGACATTCCAGGGAGCATCTCCCCCACCACTCAGGTGAGGCCACCAATGCCTAATAGAATATAGACACTATAGACCAATGATGGTTTACCTTTTTGCCATCACGTGCCAGGAGTTGGGGGGGGTCACACACATGTGCCCACACCCTAATTCTATGCGACCTCCCCCCGCTCCTGGCATGCAATGGCATGGTAGGCTCATTTTTTGCTCTCCCCAGCCTCCAGAGCCTTTCTAGGAGTCCGGGGAGGGCAAAAAATGGCCTTCCCCACCCCCTAGAGGCCCTCTGGAGGCTGGAAATGGCCCATTTGCCAACTGGAAGTTCGCAAACAGGCTGTTTCTGACCTCCGAAGGGCCTCCGAGGGGGAAAGCCGTTTTCACCCTCCCCAGACTCCTAGAAAGGCTCTGGAGGCTGGGGAGAGAGAAAAACGGGCCTTCCCCACCACCCCTGAGGTCCTCTGAAGGTAGAAAACAGTCTGTTTCCCTACTTCTGGTGGACCCAGAAGGCCTGAATATCAGCTGGCCAGCGCCGGACCTGAGCTCGCGTGCCCACCAATATGGCTACGTGTGCCACCTGTGGCACGCGTGCCATAGGTTCACCATCACAGCTATAGACTATAGACATGTGATGGCGAACCTATGGCATGCGTGCCCAAAGTGGCACGTAAAGCCATGTCACCTGGCACACCCGGGTTTCTGGCATGCATGCGTGCGTGATGATCAGCTGTCCTTTGCGCACGGCAGTGTCAAAAACCAATATGCACATGTGCACCGGCCAGCTGATTGTCGGGTGCGCATGCGCACCAGAACCCAGAAGTTCAGCTTTTCCAGAGCGTGATCCCTTCACATGCGCAGCAGTGCCAAAAACTGGCCTGCGCAAGCACGCCACCCACTGATCATCGGGTGGTCATGCTCGCTAGAACCCGGAGGTTCGGCTTTTCTGGAGCGGGACCCCAACAAGCACGCGTGTGCATGCACAACATTTCTGTGCGACCTTTTCAGCACTTGGTGCCGAAAAGGTTCGCTATCACTGATATAGAATATAGAATGTAGAATGTAGAATGTAGAATGTAGAATGTAGAATGTGGAATGTGGAATGTGGAATGTGGAATGTGGAATATAGAATATATTGTTCTGCCCCAGATACGGACCCCAAAGAACGCAGCACTCACAAAGTCTGTTCAAACCTTAGTTTACTAAGTAAACCAATTTTTTACAACAAAGCCTGTTAATTAACTGCATTAACAGCCGCCAAGAATTCAAAGAATAATACTGAAAGCTTACTGTGGTTGGCAGAATGCCCAGAAGCAATTTGCAGGAAGCTGATAAGATAAGCAAGACAAGACAGGAAGGTATGTGAACTAAATTGAATTGCAAATTGCTGGCGTTCCTCCTTAAATAGGCTAAGGGAGTGGCCAATTAGCCCCAAGCCTTACTCTCGAGGAGACCTCCTCCTGAGGAGCCACGCCTGTCTTTTGGCAGCTCTGCGCACCCGTGCATCGAGAAGAGGCTCCTCCTCTTCTTCCTCTTCACTTATGGGAGCTTCTGGAAGTTCTGAAGGCCCCGGCTGAATCCCCACCTCTGGCACCACATTTTCTCCAGCCTCCTCAGTGTCTGACTCGAGTGCCAGATGCACAGGCTGCTGGCGCAGCACCACACCAGCCTCCTCGCTGTCGGAATCAGCTACTAGCTGCACAGGCCGCTAACGGGCCACAATAAATATAGAATAGAGAATATAGAGGTATCAAACTCGATTTCATTGAGGGACGCATCAGGGTTGTGCAGAAGCATTTTGATTACATCAGGGTCAGTGGGCGGAGCCTCACGCCGATTTTACTGCCGGTTCTATAGAACCGGTGCGAACCAGGCACAACCCACCACTGAGCTGCGTCCCACCCTTGACTGACTCTGGCCTTTGTCCCTCCTTCCCTCCCTCCCTCCCTGGCTGGGCAGACCATTTTCCTCCAGGACAATAGCATCACCCAGATCCGCCAACAAGACCTGGCCTCCCTTCTGGATCTCCGGTATCTCTACATGCAGAACAACACCATCTCCGCCCTGGAGCCCGGCGCCTTCCACCACCAGAATCGGCTGCTGGAACTGGCGCTGAACGGCAACCGGATCCATCTGATCAACAGCAGCATCTTCAAAGGCCTGGAACACCTGCGGGTCCTTTATCTTTCCGGCAACCAGATCACCCGTCTCCCGGATTTCACCTTTTGTGAACTGGAGGTGAGGCTGTTTGGAGGTCCAGGGGGAAAAGGGGTCGGAGATCCTTCAGCCTCCACAAACAACAATATCTGGCAATTTGTAAGCTTTGTGTCAGGGTTCCAAGTGATACACTTCACTTCACTTCACTTCACTTCACTTTACTCTTTACTTTACTCTCATTTTACTCTTTACTTTACTCTTATTTTATTGTCATTACACCTCGTACAACAAAACAACAGCAGAATTCAATATAGTTACTGCCCTGGGATAGAAACTGTTTTTCAGCCTATTTGTCCTTGTTTTTATTCTCCTGTACCGTCTGCCGGATGGTAATAGTTCAAAAAAAAGGCTGAGATCCAGGATGAGATGGATCTTGAAGAATGTTTTGGACTTTCTTAAGGCAGCGGGAGCTATAAAGCTCTTCCAAGGAAGGGAGAGGGCAGCCAGTGATCCTCTGGGCAATGACGTTGACCCTCTCTGCCACTGTGCAATTGGCAAACCATACACAGATGCAGTAAGTTAAAATACTCTCTATAGTCCAGTGGTAGAAGGTCACCAGAGGAAAGTATTCTAACTTACTGCACCTGTGTATGGTTTGCTAATTGCACAGTGTTGCAATTATATACACCCATAGCAAACAGAACTCCAAGGCAAGCAGTTTCCTCAAAAAACATGTTTATTGGATATATCATATTGGCACAGGCTGGTGAAAACCGACTCTGAAGGTTCCTGCGGTTTTCACCTAATTAAAACTTTTCCCCCTTTCCCAAACAGTCAGTCACATGGTCCAATGAAGGTGCCGTCCGGTTGCTTGGAAACATCACTCCTCCTCTCTTCAGCCACCTGTGGGGATGTCCTTGGTTCTTAGGGGAAACTATTTTGTTTTGGCTACAAAACCCCAACTATCTCTATTCCCCCCCTCCCTCTCCCTCATCTCCATTGTGGCAGAACTGAAGCCTCCAAGGTGGCTCCGGTCAGGCTAGCGACAGAGTTGACACCTTGTTTTGGGTAACCGAGGCTGATGTCAGGTTTATGCATTGAACTAAGTCTTGGTTTGTATAAATCAATATTCCATCAATCTTAATGGGCTGCGTTCCTTTATACTGCTGTATATAGCGGACTGGTAGAACCACACTTGGAATACTGCTTCCTGTTTTGGATGCCACGATATAAAAAAGATATTTATTTATTTATTTATTTATTTATTATTTATTTATTTATAAATTTGTATACCGCCCTTCCCCCTGAGGACTCAGGGCGGTGAACAGCCAAGTAAAAGCCTAAACTACAAACATTAAAATACAATTAAAAAGATATATATAAATTTGGCCCCATAATTAAAAACAATAACAAACCTATTAAAAACATTTTAAAAAGTATTAGGCCAGCCCGGCTTGCTGGAAAAAGAAGGTTTTAAGGGCACGGCGGAAGGCACCGAGGTCTTGGATTCTCCTTATCTCTGGGGGCAATTGATTCCAGAGGGTAGGTGCCCCCACAGAGAAGGCCCTCCCCCTGGGGGTCACCAGCCTACATTGTTTGGCTGATGGCACCCCGAGGAGGCCCTCTCTGTGGGAGCGCACAGGTCGATGGGAGGCCGTCGGTAGCAGCAGGCGGTCTCGAAGATAACTAGGTCCTATGCCATGGAGCGCTTTAAAGGTGATAACTCAACCATGTTGAGATGCTAGAAAGAGTGCAGAGAAGGACAGTAAAGATGATTAGGGGACTGGAGGCTAAAACATATAAAGAACAGTTGCAGGAACTGGGTATGTCTACTTTAATGAAGAGAAGGACCAGGGGAGACAAGATAGCAGTCTTCAAATATCTCAGGGGCTGCCCCAAAAAAGAGGGAGTCAAGCTATTCTCCAAAGCACCTGAGGGCAGGACAAGAAACAACTGATGGAAACTAATCAAGGAGAGAAGCAACTTAGAACTAAGGAAAAGATTCCTAACAGAACAATTAACCAGTGGAACAACTTGCCTCCAGAATGGGTTATGGGTGATCCATCACTGGAGGCTTTTAAGAAAGGATTAAAGAACCATTTGCCCAGAATGGTCTAGGCCAGGGTCTCCTGCTCGAGCAGGGGGTTGGACTAGAAGACCTCAAAGGTCCTCTCCAACCCTACAATTTTATGTTCTAAGACAGGAGTCGCCAAACTTGGCCACTTGTGGACTTGCTGGGGAATTCTGGGCGTTAGAAGAAGAATAACAGAGTTGGAAGGGACCTTGGAGGACTTCTAGTCCAACCCCCTGCTTAGGCAGGAAGCCCTTATACCATTTCAGACAAATAGTTGGGCAATCTCTTCTTAAAAACTTCCAGTGATGGAGCACCCACAACTTCTGGAGGAAAGCAGAGTTCTGTTGCTTCTCTACTTAATTAGTTTCCACCCGTTGCTTCTTGTCCTGCCTTCAGGTGCTTTTGGGAATAGGTGGATCCCCTTCTTCTTTGGAGTCACCCCTAGTCCTTCTTTTCATTAAACTGGACATGTCCAGTTCCTGCAACCGTTCTTCGTATGTTTTAGCCTCCAGTCCCCTAATCCTCTTTGTTGCTCTTCTCTGCATTCTTTCTAGAGTCTCCACATCTTTTTTACATCGTGGTGACCAAAACTGGATGCTGTTTTGATTGTCACGATATAAAAAAGATTGAAGTCCACAAGTCTTACAGTTGCCAAGTTTGGAGACCCCTGTTTTAAGATACAAGGGGGGAGGATCGGAACAGCTGAAGGGTCCTTCTACTGACTCTCGTTTTCCCTTTGCAGAGGCTCCAGGAACTTCACCTGCAAGAGAACAGCATCGAGTCCCTGGAGGACCAAGCACTGACCGGACTCACCTCGCTAGCCTTGCTGGACCTCAGCAAGAACAACCTGCGCACCATCAGCCGGGTGACTTTGAGACCCCTCATCAGTCTGCAAGTGCTGAGGCTGACAGGTATGTCCAAAGTGACCCTTGGTAGTCCTCCTGGACGAAAGAAAAGTTGAGGAAAGGAGAAGGCAATGTCGGCTGGCGGCCCTCAGGGGGAGAGCCTTCTCTGTGGGGGCACCCGCCCTGTGGAACGAGCTGCCTCCTGGAATACAATTGATCCCGGACCTCTGTACCTTCCGTAAAGCCCTGAAGACGTTTTTATTCCACCAAGCCGTCCTAGCCTAAATGGTTTTTAATTGGGATTTTAAATTTTATGGATTTGGGGGTTTTAAATTGGGAAGCTAATGATTTAATTCTTTTTTAATTATCTTAACTTTTGTATTTGTATGTTTTTTAATTTTGGCTGTTCACCGCCCTGAGTCCCCTCTGGGAGAAGGGCGGTATACAAATTAATTAATTAATTAAATAAATAAATAAATAAATAAATAAGTCCTTTAGTCAGGTGGGGAAATATCTCAGCAGAAAAGACCGAGAGAGATCTGGAACATCTGACACCTCTAATCAATCAATCAATCAATCAGAAGAGAGCTAGAAGGGACCTCGGAGGTCTTCTAGTCCAGCTCCCTGCTCAAGTAGGAGACCCCATACCATTTCTATCAGAATAGAGCTGGAAGGGACCTTGGAGGTCTTCTAGTCCAGCCCCCTGCTCAACCCTATACCATTCCAGATAAGTGGCTGTCCAGTCTTTTCTTAAAAACCTCCAGTGGATTACTGTTGACGGGATACTTGTTTTTCTTTTCCGGGCAGAGAATCCATGGCGATGCGACTGCGCTCTTCACTGGCTCAGCAGCTGGATCCGAGAGGAAGGCCAGAGGCTCCTGAGTCCCCAGGACAAGAAGATCGAGTGTTCAGAGCCACCCCGCCTGGCCTATCAAAGCCTCGCCGACGTCTCCGGCAACAGCTTGATCTGCATCCCTCCAGTCGTGCAAGTGCAGCCCCTCGAAGTCACAGCCCGGCTGGGTGACGACCTGCGCGTCTCCTGTCAGGCCTCGGGCTACCCGCAGCCGCTGGTGACCTGGCGTAAACTGGCCCACTGGCGGGCCGGGGGCTCCAGGGGAAGCCGGACCCACCTGCCCAGCGGAAGTTTTGAGCTGAGAGAGCGCAGCGTCGGGGAGCGCTTCGAGCAGTCGGACACTGGCAGCGGGATGCTGTTCCTCAACAACGTGACGGTGTCCCACGCTGGGAAATACGAGTGCGAGGCCTCCAATCCCGGGGGGATGGCCCGGGTGGTCTTCCACCTCATGGTGAACCTCTCGCAGCAGCAACAACAATCGCAGGGCTACCCGGCTTCGGTAGACATCAGCCAGGAACCTCTCTACGACATGGAGAGCATGGACTTCCACGCCCTGGGCATGGCCACGCAGACTGCCATCGCGGTGGCCATCTCCCTGCTGGCCCTCGTGGCCCTCCTGTTGGTGATCATGATCTACCGGAAACACCGCAAGCGGAAAAAGGCCAAGAAGGAGGAGAACATCTTGTATGTCAACGACTACTCCGACGGGCCCACCACTTTCGCCCAGCTGGAGGAGTACCGAGACGAGAGGGGCCACGAAATGTTTGTCATCGACCGCAACAAGCCCCTCTTTGCCACCTATAAGGACCCCCAAGGCCTGGCAGGGGTCTTCCCGGAGCAGCTGCAAGACCAAGCGACTCAGACTCTGGAAGGAGAAGAGGCGGCTCCCCAAGAAGGCAGCGAGCTCTTCGCCAACCAGGGACTGATGCTCCAGCCTCAGATAGCGTACGAAATCCACTGCTGAGTGGAGCTATGGAAGTTGGGGTGACTGGACTGCCCCCAATGGAGCGGTTTTCTTGACTTCCTCCTACCACTGTCTGCTTAAGTTCAGGACCTTGAGTGGAGGAACGTGTGACCTCTGGTGGACCATCCCACGGGTTGCAGAGAGGACTCGTGTATGTTCAACGAGAGTTATGACCTTGTGGTTACTCCTTGGGACATGTTTGGCCCTCTCATTGTTGGTCATCTCCATCCCGTTCTCCATTGTTCTCCAAAAAGGCTGTGGAGCAATTCATGAGGGTCCCTCAAACTCATCTTCAAATCTGAAAGCATAGCATACCTTAAGAGCTTTTCTAGAAAGGGTCACCAGCGTTTTGCTTCTCACTGTGATCAATCAGATTCCTCCAGGACACTCCCAAGTGGGAAAGGGATCCCTACCACTTTCTCTTCCTCCCTCAGACGTCGTTGCTCAACACACAGGACTTGGAGGCCCCTTGCCCACCAAGCTGGACACCTTCAGATGATTAGACCTGTCAAAAGCGTGATAGGACGGCTGATGGACAGCAATGGGTTATATACAACCCCTAAACTTTTGCCAGCTGTTAGCAGTGACCTTTCCCAGGCATTCGGCAACTGGACGTAAGGACCTGTGCACTGGGTTTTTGGTCACAGAGAAAATGCAGCTTGGGAAAAAAGTCAGCGAAGGCTGGACGAGACACTCACTGTGCAAATTTGACCAAAACTGTGCATATTTGACCAAGACTTTAGTGATGATGGGATAACCTTTACAGTCCCTCGCGCAGGCTGAGTGGGACACTCTGGGGTTTTTTTTGGCTTGCCTGTTGTATTTTTTTAAAAGGATAAAAATAATGCCATCGTCCTGCATTTGTAGACCCCACGGAAAAACCCCTCCTTACCTCTTAACCTTACAAGTTAGTCCTTGACTTACAACTGCAGTCGAGCCCAACATTTCTGTGGCTAAGCAAGACAGCTATTAAGTGAGTTTTGCCCCATGTTGCAACCTTCCTTGCCACGGTTCTTAAGTGACTCAGCGATTCTGGCTTCCCCCTTGACTTAGCTTGGTGTCAGAAGGTCACAAAATGTGATCCCTTGTCCCCGGGTCACTGCAACCGTCGTAAACGTAAATCAGTTGCCAAGCGTCCGAATTTTGATCATGTGACCGTGGGGACACTACAACGGTCGTAAGTGTAAAAACCAGTCATAAGTCACTTTTTTTTTAGTGCCGTAACTTTGAAAGGTCACTTAAACAAATGGTTGTAAGTTTGAGGACTGCCTCTACACTCCTCTGCCAGCGTTAATGTGACATCTCCTGCTCCCCATCAGTCCCCAAACCATGAAGTCAGCTGTCTCCCAAAAGCACAGACAACAATATAGCTGTGTAGTTGCGCCAGGAACAAAATGGCTGCGCGGGAGATTTTTTTTCCAAGCAAAGAAGCCAATAAAGTATAGCCAGCATCTCGTCGTTGCCGAGGCTCTGTCGTCTTCTTTTAGGGACTTGGAGGCAGGGGATAATGGGGGAGAGAATCTTGGTTACGCTGAAGGGTTCCTGCTGGCTGAAACGTTTTCTTGCTGTCAGGCTGCAGGTGCAGCGATGCCCGTGGCTGGGAAGGTGCTCACTTCGGTGGTGGCATCTCTCTAACCAACACAGTTTTATTTATTTTCTTAAATTTATACGCCACCCGTCTCGCTGTCAAATGGGCGGCTTACTAATACCCTAAAGCCGTGATGGTGAACCTATGGCACGCGTTCCAGAGGTGAAATGCAGAGCCCTCTCTGTGGGCACGTGAGCCATTGCCCCAGTTCAGGTCTGCCACGCATGCGTGTACACCTGAAATGGCCTGAAAACGGCCAAAAAAACGGCCAAAAAACAGGCATTCACACGCCAGCCAGCTGGGCTTTGGGTTTCCGGTGCTCCGGGGCCCAAGACGACCAGCTGGCTGGTGCACAGGCACATGCATTCCGGTTTGGGCACTCGGTGCCGAAAAGGTTCACCATCACTGCCCTAAAGACGGGTACAAACATTAGAGCGTGAAATATTAAATAAACAGAAATTAAAACAAATTCCAGCCCAAAGGATTTGCCTGGTGAACACATTCCTTTTTTGGTAACCATGTAGTTGTATTTCTCGATTGTTCTCTTTCATTATTTATTTTATTGTTCTATTATTTTCTGTTGTTTTCCATTGGTAAGCAAGACAGTTGCTAAGTGAGTCTTGCCCCATTTTACGACCTTTTTTTGCCGCAGTTTTTAAGTCAATCGCTGCAGTTGTTACGTTAGTAACAGGGTCGTTAAGCGAATCTGGTTTCCCCATGGATTTTGCTTGTCAGAAGGTCGTAAAAAGGGATGACCCAGGGATACTGCAACCGTCATAAGTACATGCCAGTTGCCAAGTGTCCAAATTTTGATCATGTGACCACATGGATGCTGCAATAGTTGTAAGTGTGAACAACATTCCTAAGTCATTGTTTTAGTGCTGTTTTAACTTCAAGTGGTCACTAAACATATAGTTGTACACTCTGTAAACAAAACTGAGAAGCATTCATAATTAGGCTCAATTTATTAGAATGCAAGCTTGCTTGTTAGAGGAGGTAGGGAGACAGAGGTGGAAAGAGGGGTTCTCCTTCAAGCCTCCCTCTTCCTCTCCCCCCACTCCAGTTCCAAGAGGACCAGTCCCCCGAAAACGTTTTAATCCGTATCCCCTTCACTGAGGATTCCCACCTCCATCAGGTAAGCTCTGGTTCGGTAACCCCGATACGCGGACTGGATCTTGATTGCTGCTTCTTCTTGGAGACGCAACGTTTGCCGGACCCTCCAGCCCCGCCAGAAGGCCTGGATCAGGGTGGCTGCGCGTACCACTTGCCACATCTGCTTCCTGGTCTTGAACACGCGCCTCTGGCCTTCACCCATCCGGCGGGCCCCGTAGTTTTCGTATAACCAGTCGGAGGTGCCCTGGGAAGGCATGCCTTGCTGTTGCAGCTGCTGCTGTTGGACGCTGGTGGAGGAGAGACTCCGGGTGCTGGTGCGCTCCCGTGTCAGCCGTACGGAGGTTTGTGTGCTGGGGGTCAGGCGCTGACTGACCACTACGCTGGGTTCCCGACTCTGCCTCCGCGTCTGCTCTTCCGCAGGCGTATGGTAGCTTTTTGAAGGCGCCTGATAGGAGAAGCGTGGCCCGTAGCGGCGGGACTGGCTGTATGCTGGTCCCTCCTGTCTGGAGGTGTAGGACATCCTTCGGGCATTTCTGGATGGAGAGACACTTGCATGCCTGTCGCATTCACTGTCCTCCGTTTCCGATCCTGATGGCGGCCCTTTGCCCACACCCACGAGCACACGGATGCTGGTGCATCTCCCGCAGCGCGGACACGTCTTGGGCTGGGAGGGCTCGCTGTCCTCTTGCTGGACCAGGAAGGACGGGGATCGTGGTACCTTGCTTTTCCACTCCTCAGGGTCTCCCACAAGGCACTTGCGCCAATGTTTCCTGGGGTACGGACCCACCCAGGAGGAACTTCCGGGCATGTAGCTGGGATGGCCATAGTAGGTCCCCGTTGGAAACCTTGGGGGACTGTAGTAGGTCCTCTGTGGGCGTTCAGGGTGGTAAGTGTGTCTTCCTGCTTGGGTCAAGTCCCGTCGGGTACGGTATCCCCGCCAGTGAGCTTGGATTGTGGTGGCTGCCCGCTGGCATTCGCCGAGGGCCTGGCGAGTCATGTACCCCCGATAGTGTGCCTGAATGATCTGAGCCGCTCTCTCCCTGTCCATCCTGGGGTGCGCCCAGGATTCTCTCTCTCCCCCAAAGGAGATGGAGGACGATCTTCGGTGCCTGTAGACTTGTGGCGGAGGCACCTCCTGCCGCTGTAGAGCGTGGTACTCGCGAGCAATGTATCGCCTCCAAGCAGCCTGGATGGTGGAAGCTGCAGCCTGCTCCGTCATGAGCTGCTTACGGGTGAGGTGGCCTCGCCACGTGGCCTGGATAGTGGTGGCCGCCTTGTCCATGAGCATGTCGAGCTCGTCCACTAGGAAGGAGGATCGGTGGCGGGAACGGCTGTTACTCCGGCCTCTGATCCTGGCCAGCTGCCGGTCATGGTGATGCACGTCTTCATCCGTCACCTCCTCTTCCCCACTTGGATAGCCGTAGGAGCACCAAGGGTGATCCTCGTAGGTCTCCATCTGGCAGGGGTGGGGGTGGGGAGATGAAACGGCAGGCGTTAGCAAGGAGGTCCTGATGTCTACTGGCCAACTGTGGCTTCTACATAAGTGCCTTGGTCTGCTAGATCCCAGTTATGACGCCAAGACAAGGAAGCTCATTTGATTTACAGTTTAAGTTGAAACGTTTCAGTGACAAAGCAGTCTGTGTTTTTATTGATTTCACTGGCAAGAAAATGAAAGGGAGAAATCACACCGTCCCTTTTATAGATTGCATAATATAAAGGAAGGACATTCTGAATTGTTACCCTTATTAAAGGGAAAGGTAACAAAAGCAAGTGCAAAAACAGAGAATTTGTTAAAGGGGCCCTGGAGGGGGACTAGGACAACTCAGAGAGCCCAAGGACCCCACAGTACTCATATTTCTCTTTCTCCTCATCCCTGCCCTCCTCCTCCTTCACTTCACAAACCCCCCTCTCTTCTAGAACTGATGATGTTACCTAGTTGGGTAATGAAACGTCTTCAAGAAAACCATCAAGCTCAAGAGAGTACCAGGGACCACACAATCCTCCTCCCGCTTGTCCTCCTCTTCCAAACCCTACTCCCTTCCAGAATTGATGATGTTACCTCCAAGGTCCCTCTCACAGTTACTGCTTTGGAGCCAAGTTTCGCCTCATCTGTACCTAATCTGTACCTTTGGGTTTTTTCTGCCCAGGTATAAAACTTTGCTTTTCTTCAACATTAAATTTCATGTTGTTGGCTAAGGCCCATTGTTCAAGTCTTGTCAAAATCTTTTTGTAACAGTAACAGAGTTGGGAGGGACCTTGGAGGTCATCTAGTCCAACCCCCTGCTCACACAGACCTGGGATTCGAACCGCCGAACTGCCGACTTTTCTGATTGACAAGCTCAGTGTCTTAGCCACTGAGCCACCTAGTCAGGCTCTTAGGCTTTGGATCCTGAGCTTGTCTTCTGGAACGTTGGCTATTCCTGCCAGTTTAGTATCATCTGAAAATTTGATGAGTTCTCCTTCTGTTCCCTCATCTGAGTCATTTATGAAGATACTGGGCCTAAGACAGAACCTTGTAGTATCCCACTGCTTACTTCTCTCCATGTAGATGGTAGTACCGTTAAGGACTATTCGTTGAGTACAGTTTGTCAACCAGTTACAAATCCATCTGACGGCGATGCTGTCTCTCCCACTTTTACTATAGCTTAGCAAGAAGTAGGTTGTGGTCTACTTTGTCAAATGCCTTGCTGAAGTCTAAATATACTATGTCCACGGCATTTTGCTAGTCTACTAATTTAGTCACTTTGTCAAAAAATTTAGTCTCTAGTTGGGTTATGAAATGTCTGCAAGAAAACCATCAAGCTCAGCCCCAAGGATTCCACAGTTCTCCTCCTCCTCCTTTACTCCACAACCCCTTCTAGAACTGATGATGTTACATACTTGGGTAATGAAAGGTGTGCAAGAAAACAACCCAGCTCAGAGAGTACCAAGGATTCCAGAGTTCAACCCTGAGCTACAGATACTCTCTCTTCTATCGAAAACACGCATTCCTGTGAATTTGCTGTATCAACCCTGCCTTACTGATTTTCTTGCAAACGGTTCTTATTTGGGTCAACGAGGAGAAAAGTTTTAATCCTTCCCTTCCACTTTTGTATCCCCAGAGCTTTTATTTCCTGAAATGCATCTTTGCAAGAACTAGAACGGATGAAACCTGAGATAGTTCTATGGACCTACTTCAGTTAGGAAATAGACCTCGTTGTCCTCTCGAGGACTAGACCCGAAAGCTCACGCCGAGGCTACGTTTTGGAAAGCAGCCATGTTGGAAGAAGCTGAGACTTGTTTCAATGAGGGTTTAACCCTGGTTAGTCTAAGATCAGCGCCTTTTGTCTTCAGCCAAACCTACTGGAAATGCCGAAAGCCACGCCGATTGATACGATGCGCAAACCTGGAGGATGGGCTACTACCTTGATGGTTTTTTCTTTGGCTGATCTCGGAAAGGTTGAGCTGCGTTGCTACGTGTTGGTCTGTGACCTGGCGGAAAGAAAAGAAGAGGGTGAGTGGGCAGCGGATGGTGCCCCCTGTGCCCTCTGGGAGGCTCCTGCATCGTTGGCAAAGCCAGCCGAACACCGTATCTGTCCCCAGTGGGCATACTTGCACAGACCCTATTCTGTTTTCTGCCTGTAAGGCCTTCCAGCCAATTCTTTCTTAGGCCGAGAATTCTGGCCAGCCGTGACCTCAAGGTGTGATGTCACGGCAATTGTGGCATCATGGCCTATGCACAGCCAAGCATGAGTTGCTGGGGGAACATTGGGGCAGCTGATATTTGGAACGGAGAACTCATCTTTGTTGTACGTTTCACAGGTATGATGTAAGGCCGATTAGTAGACAGGATGCTGGGTCTCGTTTCGAGTCTCTACTCAACCACACAGTTCAGAGAAGGATACTCCTCACAGTACATAGAATCATAGGGCTGGAAGGGGCCTTGGAGGTCTTCTAGTCCAACCCCCTGCTCAAACAGGAGACCCTCTCCCATTCCGGACAAATGGATGTCCAACCTCTTCTTGAAAACCTCCAATGATGGAGCACCCACAACTTCTGGAGGCAAGTTGTTCCACTGATTAATTGTCCTCACTGTCAGGAAATTGCTCCTTAGTTCCAGGTTGCTTCTCTCCTTGATCAGTTTCCCTTCCGTTGCTTCTTGTCCTGCTTTCTGGTGCTTTGGAGAATAGGTTGACCCTCCCCTTTTCTCTGTGACAGCTCCTCCGTCCGTCTGTTCGTCCCCCCCATCCCCCCCCGGTCATCTTTCTCTTCATTAGCCTGAACGTATCTAGTTCCCTAATCTTTCCTTCTACAATTTATCCTGAAGACCCCCGACCTTCTCTGAACTCCTCCTAAAGTCTCAACATCTTTTTTGTATCATGGTGACCAGAAGACGGTGAGTTCTAGTCCCACTTTAGGCATGGAAACTGGCCGGGTGGCTTTGGGCCAATCAGCAGGAGACAGGGAGTTCTAGTCCCAGTTTAGGCATGAAAACCAACTAGATGACTTGGTGTCAATCACCAGGAGAGGGTGAGTTCTAGTCCCTCATTAGGCATGGAAGCCACCTGGGTAGGTTTGGACCAATCACCAGGAGACTGTTGAGTTCTAGTCCCGCTTTAGGCATGAAAGCCAACTGGGTATTCTGGGAGTTGAAGTCCACCAGTCTTAAATCTGCCAAGTCTGGAGACCTCCGTTCTATAGAGAGACCTCTGCTGCAGGACAGCCTCGGAAGGCTGCAAAGGATTGGGGCCCTGGGAAGCACGTGGCCTCATGTTCTCCGTGCGCTGAGATTTCTCTCCTGCCCTTCTCTAAGGATTCAGAGGAGACCACTTTCAATTTAGTGCCGTCCTCATGACAATCCTTAGTTTTGATCAGCTCCCTCGTGATCAGAGATCTGCTCCTCTGCTAAGAAAGGGGGGCAAAAATATCCTATTACAGATAGTCCTTCACTCACAACCACAATTGAGCACCAAATTTCTGTTGTTAAGTGGAGAACGATCTGTATCCCTGAAAACTTCAGAGTGGCCATGTTGTCATGGTAAGGAGAGCACACAAGTCAGGTCAAACCACCCTCGGGGGCTTTTCACTCAATTGTCTTCTCCCCATTCCCTTATGGGTTGGATCATCAGCCCCCAATCTTTGGGACCGGTTCTCTAGAGAGGTTTTTCCATGGACTGGGGGGGGGGCTGTTTCGTGTGCTGCCTGCATCCCATGGCCGGGGCTTTGCTTGCTTGCGTGGCCTGGTTGCTGGCATGCCGTGGCCCAGTGCTGGTCCACGGACAGGGGGTTGGGGACCCCTGGGTTAGATGGGGACCAATGCTCAGAGACTTCTTTGAAGCATGTCGGAAGTATGACCTGTCTACTTGTCTCCTGTTTGATAACCTGGCAAGCCATAGTCTTAAGCCAGCGTTTCTTAACCTGGGCCATTTTCTGGACGGGGAAAATTGAGGAATTAAAAGTCCACATATCTTGAAGCTGCCAAGGGCACCGAGAAACATTGGTGTAAGCAATGATAGCTGGGAATTTGACACGGTAAAAGGGCAGCTACTGAGTCAGAAAAGTCACAATGTTTTTTTTCCCCCTTCTTCTTACCATCCCATACCGGTTACTTACGGTTGTTCCAAAGAGGCTTTTCCCAAAAGGCAGCTGGACTTTCTTGGCTTTTTCCTTTCGCTTCTCATCGTTTCTCTCTGAAATGTTTTCAAAGGAAAAAACCAAGGAAGTCCAGCTGCCTTTTGGAAAAAGCACCTTTGGGACAATCATCCCATTAATAATACAGCCATAGCCCTTAGACTTATATACCGCTCCACAGTGCTTCACAGCCCTCTCCGAGCGGTTTACAGAGTCAGCCTCTTGCCCCCAACCATCTGGGTCCTCATTTCACCCACCTCGGAAGGACGGAAGGCTGAGTCAACCTTGAGCCTGGTCAGGATCGAACAGCTTGGAGTGAACAGTGTTAGATTGCAGTCCTGCGCCACCCTGCTCTAAATTTTAAATTTTGTCTACTCATCTATAATTCAACTTCAACATGAATTTAATTTAAGATGCTCCTTGGAAACAGCTCATGTCGCAGGCACAATTCCCACAAGTAAATGACAGGTACTAGTACTTTGCTCCGAGAGGCATCGTCTTTTATTTCAAGATAAAAGCTGTTGTGTCATCTTTTCCCCTCCCGCCGCCCATCATAAAACGAGGTTTCCCTCTAAACTCGAGATCCACAACTTGCTTGCTCCCACCTTATCCGACAACGCGAGAGGGCAAACAACACAGGGGAAAGGAACCCACCTGCACCCTCTTATTTCAGACCCCACAACAACACAATGCTACATTCTGATGTATAGAAGTAAAAAAAATAATAATCGAACAACCAGGAAAATGACCCCCTCCCTCCCATTGCTACATGCACTGGAAATGGTCTGCAATTGAAGAAAAAAAACAAACATGGTTGGGACAGATATTCTGGGCTGGCATCCCCCTTCAGCAGGGATGGAGAGAGAGCACAATGCCCCCCTCTGCCCCAGCTGTGTGCCTCCTTCCCCATCCCTGCGAGGCGGCTCCTGTTCACCGGCTCCTTGAGGGCCCAGCACAATTGGCAGAGTGTGTTTCCAGGTTTCAGGAAAACCTCCCTGCAGGCTCTAAAGAGGCTGCTTGCAGGGTTACCCCGGGCACGGCTTCTGGTTTACACCTGCCGGGACTGCCAGGTGGGCTCAGATTACTGACAAGAGAGGAAGAGGAGGGGCTTTATTCCAGATTTAGGAGTAGAAGAGTACCGACGCCCAACGGGGCTATAAACTGAAATAGTCGAGGCTGTTGTGGCGACAGAGGTTCGTGGTCCAGATGGCGTCTCCCCGGTTAGCGCTCAGCAGCATCTGCTGGAGTTCGTTGCTGACTCGGGAGAACTTCTCCTCGTCCACGGAACCATTCAGCAGGTTGGAAGAGGTGGGGGGCCAGGGCAGGTCGTCTCCGTAGCAGTCCACGGGGTAGGGGTAGATGACCAGCCGCAAGTCCAAGAGGCCCACTGTCTTGTGGAGCAGGTTCTTCACTCCCTTGGCCGAGATGGGGTTGCCGAAGACGCCCAGGTAGCGGAGGTGGGTGCAGCGGCAGAGGGCGGGCAGGAGCAGGTTCAGGTGGGTGTCCATCAGCCGGCATTCCATGATGTCCAGGTGGAGCAAAGTGGAGGCGGCCTCGGTCAGCAGGCCCTGCAGAGGCTGGAGGAGGCTGTCGGACAGGTTGTTGCCACTCAGGTCGAGCTTCTTCAGGGCCGAGGTGTGGAGGCTTTGGGAGAGGTAGGCGAAGTCGTTGGGCAGCAGGTAGCAAAAGGCCAGCTCCAGGCTCTCCAAAGGGCTTCGCAGGTCCCTGCAGATATGGCAAAAGAGAAGGCGGCTTAAGGACTGGCAAGGCCCCCTCCCCCTCCCCGCTCCTTGTGCCCGGACACAAGAGTTGTGTGGCGGTTTCTGGAGGAGGAACACCCTCGGCCTGTCCTTCAGGCGCCAGGGATGCACTGCAAAAAGTCACAGGTGTTATTTATTTGTTATTTATCTATTATTAAATTTATTGACCGCCCATCTTACCAGAGTTTACCACAATATCAAAAGGATAAAATTTTACAAGACTTACATGCAATACGAATTAAATAATATGAAAAGATAAATATTCGACCCTAACTAATGAAATGAAAATAAATAAAAGGATGCAAAATAAAATTTGATTTATTTCATTTAACTAGGGATATGGTCTTAACAGATTATAAGTAATGAATCAAACCATGAATCGCTTTTTCCCCCCTTTCGGTCATCCTGGAAATTACAATTCAAAACATGAACTGGGGCTTCATCGAAGGTTCTCAAGGGCTGCGTCTATGCCAAGGCCTGAGATTGTGCTTCGCCAATTTAATGGGTCTTTTAAGAAGGGAAAGGTGGTATAGGAGAGAAACAAACAAACAAAAAGGAAGGCAAAACTACATTTGAAGCCCATAAACACCTGGCATCACACAAGCTTTCACCTTTTTTCTTTTCCCTTTTAGCCATTTTTCCTCTTCCTTCCTTATTTTCCCATGATTCTCATTTTTCTTTTTGTATTTTATATTTGGACAAATTAAGAAAAAAATAATTAAGAGAAAGAGAGAGATAGGCGCCAATTTGGACTCCTGAATGGGAGCGTGGCCACTCTGCTAGAGCAAGGAAATCTGCACTCTCGTTCTCTATCTCATTCACAGCCCCGCTCTTCCCAGATTTATGCAGGATAAGAGAATAACAGGGTTGGAAAGGGCCCTGGAGGTCTTCTAGTCCAACCCTCTGCTCAGGCAGGGAAGCCTACAGCATTTCAAACAAACGGCAGTCCAGTCTCTTCTTAAAAGCCTCCGGTGATGGAGCACCCACAACTTCTGGTGGCAAGCTGTTCCACTGGTTAATTCTCCTGTCAGGAAATTCCTCCCGAGATCTAGGTCAGGGGACCCCAACCCCTGGGCCGCAGCCTATTATTGGGCCTATTTGGAACCGGGCCGCGTGAGAGGTGGGCTGGTGCATGTGCAGCTCCACTCGTGTGAGTGGAGTTGCGTGCGTGCTGGGCTCTCACTTACGGGGCCTGGTTTCTCTTCTCCATCCCCCGCCAAACCAGCTGATCTAAGTTGCTCTCTTACCCCAGGAGTTGCCGCAGCTTGCCCGAAAGCCTGGAGGAGCCCAGGTTCAGCTCTTTGAGGCAGGTGAGGCGGCTGAGCTGGTTGGCGAAGTACTGCAGGCTCCCTTCCATGCCCACTGTCAGGCGCCGGACGTCAATGTTGCTGTAGGGCAGCTTCAGGCTGGCCAGGTTGGTGAACTTCGTCAGGTGCGGCAGGACCACCCTGAGGCCGGAGAGCCCGAGGTTGTTGAAACGCAGGTCCACCTGCCGGACCCCAGCGGGGTCTAGGAACTCCAGCAGGCCCACGGTGCTGGCGATGGAGAGCTCCTCCGCCCGGAAGTCCCGGCAGCGCAGGCGCAGGGCGTTGCCGCTGTTGATCTGCAGGGCATCTTTCAGCACCACGTAGGAGGTGCTGTTGACAAAAAGGTCCACCCAGACGTCCACGGACACGGGCTGCGGTGCCGGCAGGGCCACGGAGCTGCTGTAGGGGCCCTTCCTCCGTTTGGAGGAACGCTTCAGGTACTTGCTCTGCTGCTTGGAGATGTCCAGGCAAGCCTTGGCCAGTGTGACCGTCCTGGACCACAGGCTCATGCTCTCTGGGCCCTGCCCTTCGTCCTGGAGGCCTGTCATGTCGAGGATCTGCAAGCGCTGCCCCTTGCTGGCCGGAGGAGCAAAAAAGGAAAGCCGTTAGGTTGAACAGGAGTCTTAAGGTTCCTATTGAAAGTCTTCAGGGAGGAGCAGAGGTGCCGATGTCACTGTTGCCTCTGAAGGCCTTCGAGGTCATGGAAGTTTCCTCAGGAAACACCCAAAGTCCCTGAGATGACACCCAGTGTCCTTGGAGGACCACCAACGGTGATGGGTGGCTATTTCTGTGACTTCTTTATCTTATCTAGAGCAGGGATCTCCAACCTTGGCAACTTTTAAGACTCGTGGACTCTCACTTGGGAGTCCACGAGTCTTCAAATCCCTGTTCTAGAGAGTGCCAGCTTGCCTGGTAGGGGTATGCCAGTGCTTCTGGGGGAAGAAGCGGACAAGGTAGCAAATAATGGGCAAGGTATAAATAGAAGTGTCAAAGTGTGTTCAGGGTTCTCCTTTGCTAAGGGGGGCCCATCTTTATTATATTTTATATTTTATATATTTATATTTTATTGAATTTCTATACCGCCTTTCTCCCGAAGGACTCAGGGCGGTGAACAGCCACAAGATAAAACACATTATTATTCAGCTGTAATAAACGTGTAAAGCTTATCGAGGTAAACCTGAAACCAACAAAACAGTGAAAGCAGTAGCAGCAGCAGTAATAATTCCTCCAGCAGCATTCCTCCAGCTGACCATGGAGTTGGCTGGCCTGCCTTCCTAGAGGTCACCCATTGCACAAGCCTAAATAGTCGTGTTCCGATGGGACTAGAAACAAAATAGGATTCCTTTGTGTTGGCTATGATCTTTGCTAAACTTATTCCCTGCATCCCTGGAGGAAAATAGCTTTGCCGCTGGACTGCCACATTATGTACAGCTTGGTATTCTCAGCATCTTTAGGGCAAGGGATCCAGAGTAGCGATTGGGCAAATAAAATGGACATATGGCACGTGAATCCAACCTTTATCTTCACATGCAAAGGTTCTAACATCATGTGTAGGAATCACAAGTAATGAAAAATGACCTTCCTGAGAGACAGGAGGGTCACGGTCTTAAAAAGGCTGGAGAGAAATTTTAAGTGTGGGATAGAATTACAACTTAAAATGAAAAAGCCAGGTGAGATGCACCACAAATTAGAAATCTTAGGGAATCCTGGTTTTAATATGGGTAGTCCTTGTCTTAGGGCCACAATTGAGCCCAGCATTTTCTGTTGCTAAGCGAGACAGTGGTTCAGTGAGATTGGGCCCATTTTACGACCTTTCTTGCCACAGTTGTTAAGTGAATCACAGCAGTTGCTAAGTTAGTCACCCAATCGTTAAGTGAATCTAGCTTCCCCACTGACTTGGCTTGTCAGACGTTGCAACTGTCATGAGTCAGTTGCCAAGTGTCTGAATTGAGCATGGGGAGGTTGCAACAGTCATAAGTGTGGAAAAAATGTCGTAAGTCAGTTTTTCCAGTGCGAATGGCCACTAACTGAGCTGCTGTAAATCAAGGACTACCTGTATTTTTCTGGCCTCAGTGGAAACACACATTCTGTATCTACTGGCGCTGCACTTAGGAAGACAATAGAATGGAAGGAAGGGGTACACATACCTCTTACTACACGTTCGATCCTCCAGCATCTTCAGGAGATACGTCACCACCCCCAGAATAATGGCCTGAATACACAACTTATTCGGTTTCTCCCGGATCAGGGCCCGTTCACAATGCTGACATTTGCGCAAGAGTTTCTGGAAACTGAGGATGGGGAATGGCCAGGTCTGCACCAATTGCTGGAGCGATGGAGTTCTCTTATCCATGAAGGCGGCCTTGAACAGGACGGGATACAGCTCCTTCGGGAGGAAGCCCAGGGCATCTTGCAAGGTTAAGTAGTGGGAGACAACCTTCTGGGCACAGAGGAAGACCAGGGAATACATGGCAGCAACTGGATGGGGGGCGCAAGCCAGAAGGTCGCTATGGGAAAAAAAATAATACTACTAGATACTTTCTCTCCTGCCTACCTCAAAAAGCTTCCATCTAAGTGTTCAAACCTTCCTAGTGACTTTCATTTCAAGAAACGTTTAATGAGAAATTGATATGCATAATGCACTTTATAAACAAAAAACACCAACATTCCTGCAAAGAATTCATAGAGAAGTCGGTGTCATCCTATTCTCCAAAGTATCGGAGGGCAGGACAAGTTTCGGAGGGAAACTAATCAAGGAGAGAACCAAACTAGAACAAAGGAGAAACTTTCTAACAGTGAGTACAATTCACCAGTGGAACAGTTTGCCTTCAGATGTTGTGGGCTGTCATGGAGGCTTTTAAAAAGAGATTGTACAGCCATTTGTCTGGAATAGTGTAGGGTCTCCTGCTTCAGCAGGAGGTTGGACTAGAAGACCTCCAAAATCCTTTCCAGCCCTGTTATTCTATGTTAACAATTATTATTTGTCAATTCCAGTCCAAAAAAAAAAAAAATCCCAACAATTTAAAGTACCTTAAAAACTAGTAAATGGAATATTGCATCAATCTTTAGGACTACTGTTTACTTCATCAAATGCATGGATCCAATTCAATGTTCTGCAGTCTGTTAAAGTCTATACTGAAGGAGCAGATTAATGTCAGGCACGAAAGGCCAAGAAGTCCACAGTGAAGGTCCAGTTAAACTGACTGCTAAACAGCACACGAATATTGTCAACTAAGGGCGAGTACCTGCTGAAGTGAGATAATGGTCAACGGCAGTCAAAAAAGGTTGGATTGAGTCCGCTTGGGGCTACGTAGGGATTCTAGGCCGATTCCGCTTTACACACCGCCTCCAGGTTCTGCCACTCCTTCTCCTACAGTTAGGGACAGATTGTCATGGAGAACAACTATGTGCACACTAAAAGTTGACAACCACTTGATGGCACATAAACAATCAATCCTGAAAGGGCCACAAGCCTCACTCTTGTTAAAGTTAAGAAAGGGCTTCAATCCCCATTTCAATCGCATTTCACTGACCGCAACAGAAGAAAAGCACATGAAATCCCTGCCTACTTAAATTTGGATTACATGCCTTTTGGGTCCTCTAAGAGATGAAACTCTATAATAGATGATCCCCTTTTACAGACTTACAGGTCCTGGAAGTTTCCTGATGTCTTGGGATAAGAGAAGGATTTTTTTTCTCCACGGACAGCTGCTCTGATGACACTCTAATCTCTCTCTGGGGAGAGATGACCTCAAGGACTCACACGGTATCCAAAAAGTAGATTCAGCACTTCCAACTCTTAAGGATTTCTGGTGCTGCTTCTTCTGACTTGGTCAGCAGAGCTATCCAAAATGAGTTGACTTTCTCAGGAAAGGTAGCTTTTCTATACTGTATCCTCTTCAAAACGCTTCTCTTCGGATTCCTCCATGGCTAAATCTGAGGCAGAAAAACGAGAGCATAATTAAGCAATTAATGGAGTTTTTGATGGAGGAGGCATACAGGTAAGACAGCAGGTATGTCTACGGGAATCTCCATAGACATACAGGTAATCCTCTACTCACAATTAGAATTGACCCCAAAATTTCTGTGGCTAAGTAAGACAGTTGTTAAATGGGTTTGTCCCTTTTTATGGCCTTTATTGCCATAGTTGTTAAATTTGTCTTCCCCTTGACTTCGCTTGTCAGATGGTCGCAAAAGGTGATCATGTGACCCTGGGACACTGCGACCGTCATAAATGAGTCAGTTGCCAAGCATCCAGATTTTGATCACGTGACCATGGGGATGCTGCAACGGTCATAAGTGTGAAAAATGGTCATAAGTCACTTTTTTCAGTGCCGTTGTAACTTGGAACGGTCACTGAATGAATGGGTGTAAGTCAAGGACTACCTGTATTTTGTAGATACTTGCCTGTCCAGAAGTATGGCTAGAAGGGGTGGAAAAAAGAATATCAGGAACTATTTTAAATGGTTCAGGAGGGAAGCATTTCTTCAGTTTGCAATAAAGCGAGTGGTTTCAAGAGAACAATCTGGACCCCATTGTAACAACCTTCCAATTATGCTTTATTCCTTTGAAGGGGTAGATGATGGCTAGCCCTCTTAAAAGCTCCTATAAGGCCATTTTGATCTTCTGAAAGTGTTGCTGCAGCATTAAGCTGTCTCTGAATTGCTACTATTGAAATGACTAATGTTAACATTTAAGGTCTTTGTAGTTGTGTAAGAGAGTATCTTGATCTTCAAGACTTTTTTTTCCCTCTTTATTTTAATGACATGTAGTTTGTGCATAAAACTCCCAAAAAATTTTAGCCTTAAAGAGGTGCAACTTTATCTCAAAATTTGTCTGGGCTCCATAAATTGTTTAGCTCATGGTTGGATACCTCATGAAGCAGCAACTATTTTTTGCTCAGGGGCTTAAAAAGACCCTGGGCTTGTCAAAAGAGGAGTGGGAGACAACCTCAGCTAGACAATGTCAAAGGGACCTGTAATCTCACACAGCATTTTGCAGTTTGCTAAACCATAAATAGGCAAGAATCTTGAGAATAGGCAGAATATAAATCTACCTACCTATCCCCGATAATGATAAAGAACAGTCTGGCTGGGGGATGGAAAATTGGATTGGGTTATTAAATAATGATTCCCATTAGTTCCACTGAATCGAGAGGATGGTCCTTCTGGGAGAGGCAGGAAGGGCAAACAGGACGTCACACCTCTTATTCTTACCTCAGAGAAAGTTCTATTCAACCAAAGGAGCTGACTTTGGAATGCACAGGTTTAACGTATAAAACTTATTAAATTTGACCAAAGATTCTTCAACAAGCCGAAATGCAACCTTATTCTCACAAAATGAGGACCATTATTTTATAAAGCATTATCACTGCTTAAAATGCTAGTCTGAATTAGGAAGGACAAGAAAGGCCTCTACTCAATTCTTCTGCTGTTCCCTCCTTTTATTTCTACTGCTTCTGCAGTAGATGAAATGAGCACCAACTAGCAGAAGACACGATGAAAAGTCTTTAATTTCACAATCTATGGACAGACTTAATCATAGTTTCAACTGGGAAACTGTGACCATAAGCCAAGTCCAAGAATGCTAGGGAATTTTCAGAAGCCTAACCCTCTGAGAAATTAACCATCAACAGATACATAGACACAAACAGTATCTACATACTATGTAAAAGAGGCTATCAACAAGCCAAAAAATGGAACAGAAAGACCAAAACTACCTCCCCACCAGCAATCAGCAGCTATATGAGGTTAGCACCAAGATTAACACGAGGTCAACAATCAAGAAGGAAACAATACCCTAAACAAGGTACTACCAAGACAAACAAGTCAATAGTAAACAGCCTAATCAAGGAAATATCAACACTGACACAGCAAGCCAGTAGCATAAAAATAGAGCACAAAAACCCCACTCCTTACTAGCATTGATGATGTTACCTAGTTGGGTTGTAGGAAGAAATATCTTTCTGGGTTCAGCTCCAAGTGGGGAAAAAGACACTGGAAACATGGAGACTGCTTGAAAAGATGGTTTAATGGTGGACAGGATCACATGGCTTGAGTTCCTGAACAGAAAAGGGTAGAGACAGAGCAAGTCTCCGGATTTTATGCTTTCTCTGGCTTTGAACTTCCTGGGGCCCAGAAAGAGTATCCTGATTGGTTGTCAGTCTCCCAGGGGGTGGGTGGGTGGGGGGTCTTAGCTAGGCTTGCTGGCTGATGTAATCTTCCCAGGTGCTATGTGGTGAGTTTCTGCTGCTAGATGGGCCCTATTGTGTTGCAAATGAGTTTCAAAGATTGAAAGATTGGCCCATTGACAAAGGGTGGGGGAAGGAAGGTGGGAGCTGCTTTGTCTTTAAAACACTCCATTTCACATCCAGGGAAATATAATATTTTTGCCTTTTTAATATTTCCTAAAATATTTCATTCTTCCAGGAAAGGGGTTGGTGCTAACTTCCCACAGGGTAATGAAATGTCTGGGGGAACACAGCCAAGCACCAAGGACCCCTCACAGAGGATCCATCATATATTTCCCTACCCTATTAAATTGAAATCTCTTCTTAGTTTAAGTTGTAGCTGGACAGCAGTGTTAATCTATGGGCAAAAGAAAACGAGCAGTCCAAGTTTCTATATGCATTCACTTACTACAATTGGGGGGTTCCACAGACCTACCCCCAAATATTGTGAACCCATTCAGCTACAGACCCCCCAAGCTGAAGGGTCTGTTCGTGGATGACACTTATCTCTCTCCTCCCAACTCACCAAAAATATGCAACTCTCTGGGGACCAGGAAATGTGAAACTAAAAGAATACTTTTAACAAAAGAAACAAGGTTCAGAGATATAGCAATCACAGTCTGTGACAACACACAACTGCAGAGCACATCAAATCCTAAAAAATTGAGGACCCCATCCCTTAATAGATGTAACAGTGAACTGATTTCAATACAGAATGCTTTTGCCAGCAACCTCAAGACACAGTCATCAATGAAAAAAAAAAAAATTCTTACACAACTATCACAGCAGAGCAGAGCCAGATGCCATCCAAAGCCTCAAGAGACTCACAATGACATCATAATCAAACAAGCTGAGGCCAAACCACTCTACCCAGATCTTATGTCACCAGCACTCCCATAAGAGACACCACAGGCTCCCTAAGAAGACGAGAAACTCCTGTGATAACATCGTTTAGCTGCCATGGACAGTGAAGTGTCATACAACGTTCTCACAAATAAGCTGTCAGGATCAACATCATTAATGTCAACACAAGTATGACGTGTCTGAGTTTGTGCTCACCGATGTGAGTTAGTACGGTGACTGAGTTTCTATTTGCTGATGGGAAATGCTTCATTGTTAAGAATTTTGATTATAACAGTAAAATCTAATTCAAACTAAACTTAAAGGGGAAAATAGAAAAATAGAAAAATAGAAGCAAAAAGTGAAAAAAAAGAGGAAAGAATATAATAAGGAAAAAGATATAGAATGACTTACAATCTTCATCCTAAGTATAAACAAAGTTAATAACTGTTTACACTCTCTAAAGTTACATTTATCTTTTCATGTGTCTATAAACAAATCCTCATCATCTTTTCAGTCCTTGTGCCAACAGAAAGTATAGCCAGTAGTAGTAATATGTCTTTACCTTGATCGAACAAAACTAACTTTATATTCCTTCCTTTTATATCTTACATTCTTACATATTTGTTCAAATAGTGTCATTGTATTTTATTTCTCTTCATTTCTTCTTTGTCCCATCACACAGAGCATTCCGAGGCTTTAACAAGTCTCTTTTGTAAAACCATTAGGTTCAAATTATCTAGGTCAATCATGCTTGGCCTGTCAGTTGTAAATCCACTTTTGATACCACCTCTATCTTGCCAGATAAAATTTGTTCTATATCTGACATTTCTTTAATGACATATTTTGGACATAGTCGTAAGCGTAGAAGCAGACGTCATTACTGAGATTGTTGATACCATGACCATTTTTCTTGGATTTAGTTTTTCCAAAGTCGTCTTCGATATTTTTATGGTTGTAACATGTTGCAGGCTTGTGCATTTTTCTCTTCCGGTACTTAAACTCTTTACTTCCTTCTAGTATCGCATTTTTAAAATCTTGAAATTATACCTCCATGCTGTGCTTTGTGAAAACCAAAACAGAACAAAAAGTGCTTTGTACTTTATAATTAATTCCAACAATATTTTGTAGGAAGAAATATCCTTCTGGGTTCAGCTCCAAGTGGGGAAAAAGACATTGGAAACATGGAGACTGCTTGGAAAGATGGTTTAATGATGGACAGGATCACATGGCTTGAGTTCCTGAACAGAAAAGGTGCAGATACAGCGAATCCTCTGGTTTTTATGCTCTCTGGCTTTGCATTTCCTGGGGCCCCGAAACAGTATCCTGATTGGTTGTCAGACTCCCAGGTGGTGGGGGTCTTAGCTAGCCTTGCTGGCTGATGGTCACATGTGCTTCCCAGGTCACATGTGGTGAGTTTCCGTTGCTAGGTGGGTCCCATTGTCTTGAGATGAGGTCCATTGACAAAGATTGAGTTTCTGCCTCTGGCCCATTAACAAAAGGGTGGGGGCAGGAAGGTGGAAGGCAGGAAGCTGCTTTGTCTTTAAAACATGTTTCTCCATTTCTCATACAGGGAAACATAATATTCTGCCTTTTTAATATTTCCCAAAATATTTCACTCTTCCAGGGAAGGGGTGGGTGCTAACTTCCTACAATTTTTTCAAGTTAAATTTCAATTTTACCTGTACCCTTACTCCACTTTTTAAGATCAAAAATCTTATTTAGCTTTTTGCTGTTTATATCAAATTTTTAAAAAATCTTAAGCTTATAAAGTTTTCTTTCAATCAGGATTAAAGATAGTCTTGTATCATTTTCAAACCTGTCATGCCAAAGATCCCTAATAATTTAAAAGTAATTAATGAGATATTTCTATTGATCAGTGATTATAAAATGAGGTTTGCAAATGTGCCTTTTATAAGACTCTTTTCTGGTTGTGAGCAAGATGGCCAATTCCATTTCTCCCAGTGCTCAGACCCAGAAAACACCGCTGTCCTGTGGTCTCCTCTCCTCTCCTTACCTGGAGAGGTGCCAAAGGACTGGTCTACTCAATAGTTCCTTGGCCTTTTTGCCATGGTCATCAGATCTGTCTTCCGTTTTCCATACCTCCTCCAGAAGCCATTACTTCATCTTTGGCAATAACATGCACCTACAAATCAGTGGTATATTTAGCCCCTTATAATGCATAATGCATAGATATCTAAGATGCCTGCTCCTATTTTCCTCACAACAACAATCCTGAAGACGGCGCTGAGAGAGGAGTACTGGCCCAAAGTCACCTAGCTGACTTTCATGCCAGTATTTTCAAGACTGACTTAGAACAACGGCTTTCTCAATTCCCATCACCCAAAATTCCTCCTTTACTTGAAATTCACTGATGATATAAAAAAAGATTAAATTCCATCATGTCTTCAGCAATTTCTTCCCTGCCATCAGACTATGTAAAGTACTGGCAACTTTACAGGAGTTTCTCAGAATTCCCCAGCCAGCCAACTTAGAAGTAATTAATGAGTTATTTTTGTGACAATTTGTGGTTAGAAACGTGGTTTGCAAAGGTGTCTTTTAAAAGCTGGGGAATTCTGCTGGCTGGGGAATTCTGAAGTCCACAGGTCTTAAAGTTGCTGAAGTTGGATACCTCTGATGGAAAGAGAGGTCCGCTTCCTTGATGTTTTGGTAAAACTACTCATAGGTATATGAAAATATTATAGAGTATGATAAATCTACACATTGTATGTTTGCAGCTTCTACCAGGAACACATCATCATATCTATCATCTAACTGCTAGGCTCAACAGGTAGTCCTTGACTTATAACAGTGCATTTAGTGACTGTTCAAAGTTACAATGGAACTGAAAAAAGTGACTTATAACCGTTTTTCACACTTACAACCATTGCAGCATCCCCATGGTCACGTGATCAAAATTCAGACGATTGGCAACTGGTGCATACTTATGACTGTTGTTGTGTCGCAAGGTCACGTGATCAGCTTTTGCAACCTTCTGACAAGCAATGGGGAAGCCAGATTCTCTTAACAACTGTGGCAAGAAAGGGCGTAAAATGGGGGCAAGACTCCCTTAGCAAATGTCTCACTTAACAACAGAAATGTTGGGCTCAATTGTGGTTATAAGTTGGGGACTAGCTCAGTGATGGGATTCAAGTAATTTAACAACCGGTTCTCTGTCCTAATGATTTCTTCCAACAACCAGTTTGTCAAACTGCTCAGAAAGTTAACAACCGGTTCTCCCGAAGTGGTGCGAACTGGCTGAATCCCACCACTGGACTAGCTGTATATTCTGAACCACCTGACAGAGATACTGAACTGATGGAATCCAGGCATTCGGGAAGCATTCAGAAGACTGACCTACACACCCAGTGCGATCAAGAGACAAATCAAGAGTCAGATCTACTCCGAGAGAGGACCTATTAAAAGACAGGCCACAGAAACAGAATAACCTAACACCACTACTGACACCTAGAAATTCACAGCCTGAGACATTCAAATGCATTATTAATAGATTGCAACTACACCAGACACAGAGACAACCAGCCAGCTAACCTTAAGCGGATCCTCACAGGAAATAAGAAAGAAAATAACTATGCCGACAGAGGAACCAGATCCATTTTCTTACATGTTTGAGTTATCTGCCTCAAATCAGAGCCAAACTTAAATGCCTAATTATCAACTAATTATCCTAAGAATGGCCTCATCAAAGCCTGTGCAAAACAACAAGGAACAAAGGGCTGACATTGATTCCTGGGTCTGGCCTCCTCTAGTCCCCTCAACATTTACTACAAAGGATCCCTCAGATGTATTATATTCCTCACTCTGCAGAAAACAGCAAACACTCATTGAATATGTTGGATTTGCTTAACAACCATGTGATCCACTTAACAACCACGGTGACATAAAAGTAAAAACTATGGGTAGTCCTCGACTTAGGACCACAACTGAGCCCAACATTTCTGTTGCTAAGCGAGACAGCCGTTAAGTGATCATATGTCTCTGGGACACTGCAACTGTGCAAGTGTGAGTCAGTTGCTAAGCATCTGAATTTTGATTTAGTGACCATGGGGATCCTGGAATGGTCCTACGTATAAAAAATGATAGTTAAGTCACTTTTTTATCCCCATGGTTGAGTGATCAAAATTCAGATACTTGGCAACTGACTCATATTTATGACAGTTGCAGTGTTCCTGGATCAGATTCACTTAATTATGTCACATAACAACTGCAGTGAGTCACGCAACAACTCTGGCAAAAAAAAGTCATAAAATGGGGTGAAACTCACTTAACAACTACCTCGGTTAGCAACAGAAATTTTGGGCTCATTGGCGGTCGCAAGTCAAGGACGATCTGCATATGCTTCAGGTTTTTGTCAAACTTACTACAGAGGTGCATTTAAACCTGGCACAATGTGGCGGTAAAATAATGCACAATCCACAGGCTATGAACCAGATTTAATGCTTCACCCGCTATGAGGGAAGTGGGCGGATTTAAAAAATGTGATAAATTAAAAGAAATAAATTAAAATAGAAAAAACAAGAAATAAACTTGCAAAGAATCAATCCTGCAAGCATGGAGAAAAGGCCAGAGAAACTTGCAAAGAAATACAGGTATCCTTAACTTGCAGCCATACCGAACAGAATGTACAGTGGTACAGAATAACCAAGTTGGAAGGGACCTCGGAGGTCTTCTAGTCTAACCCCCTGCTTAAAAGCAGGAGACCCCAGACCATTTCAGACAGGTGACTCTCCAGTCTTTTTTTAAAAAGCCATTCATTTGAACTTACGCCACTTTAAAAAAAGGGACTTATGACCGTTTTTCACACTTACGACCATTGCAGGTCCCCTGATCAAAATTCAGACGCTCGGTAACCGACTCATATTTACGACGGTCGCAGCATCCCAGGGGTGGGGGTGGTGTCACGTGATCCTCTTTTGCGACCTTCCGACAAGCAAAGACAATGGGAAAGCCAGATTCACTTAACGACCATGTTATGTCATTTAACCACCGCAGGGATTCACTTAACAGCCGTAAGCAAGAAAAGTCACAAAATGGGACAAAGCTCACTTCGTCTTAGCCATGGAAAATTTGGGGGTCCGTCGTGGTCGTAAGTCGAGGACCACCTATATTTAGGGTGGGTGTTTTTTTTAAATGGCCTCCCCCCGTTGACCCCCCCCGTTTAAATCTTGCCAAGCTCGTCGCCCCCCCTCCCCCATGAGTATCATCTGAGAGACCCTAATTTTCCCTCAGCGTCCCTCCCAAATTGTTGGGCGCCCCCACCCCGAAACCTAGGAAAGCCCCCCTAAGATAAAAGACAAAAGGGGAGGCCCCCCCACAGATGGAGCCGCGACCCGTGCCGGCCTAACGGCTGCCAAACACCCCTCCTTCGCAGGCAGCGCCCGAGAAAAGCCCCTCAGCAGCTACCGGGACGCTGGGTTTTGGGCCTTGTTCCGCTCCGGGCCTCTCCTCACGACGCTCCTCAGATTCTGAGGGGGCTGTTTCCATGGCAACGAGGCCCGCTCCCGCCCGCGGCACGCACCTCCGCCCTTACCCGCGCCTCGCTCCGTCGGGCCCGCGCTTTTTTTTTTCCCCCCACGAAGAAGCCCATTTCCCGAGCCTCTTCCCAGCCCCCCGCCCCGCTTCCGACCGGATAAGAAGGTCCCGCGGCGGCCTCCGTACTTCACCGCGCACGCGCAGACGTCCCCCCCTGCCTCCGCGGGCCCCGTTTCCAGGGGGTGGGGGAAAGGCCAGACGGGAGATGGGCGGTGATTGGCTGAGCGGGGCGCGTGCGCTTCCCTTATTGGTCGGCGCTTCGGGGAGCGGGAAAATCCTGTCAGCGGCCTCGGACGGCGACCTTCCCTGTAGGTTTATCCGGCGGCGGGAAGGCGGGAGTCCGGCTTCTTCTTCTTCTTCTTCTTCCCCCTCCTCGCGTGTCACCTTCCTCGGGAGGCTCCGGACCAGTCAAGCCATTGGCAGTCAGAATTTAGCGAGGGGCGGGGGGCTCAGCGTCCCAGTTCTTGAATTGGAGAGATTTTGGAGGCTGTTTTGCACCCTTATTCCACCCCCCCACAGCCCCCTCAGAGCTCCCTTCCCTGAGCTGCTACCCCCCCTTTCTCCACCACGTCCCATCACGTCTGTCTCTCTTGTCTGTCTATCTATCATCTATCTACCTATCTAAATCAATCTATATCAGAGGTCTTCAAACTTGGCAGCTTTAAGACTTGTGGACTTCAACTCCCAGAATTCCCAGCCAGCAGAGCTGGCTGGAGAATTCTGGGAGTTGAAGTCCACAAGTCTTAAAGCTGCCAAGTTTGAGGACCCCTGATCTATATCATCTATCATCTCTATCATTCATCTCTCTCTCTCTCTTCAACTATCTATCTATCTCTATCATCAATCAATCTATATCTACCGTAGCTACTTACCTACCTACCTACCTATATATCAATCAATCTCTATCAATCTATATATCATTCATCTCTCTCTTCATCTATTTCTGTCTATCTACCTACCTACTTACCTGTCATCTCTATCATCTATCTAACTATCATCTATCAATCAATCTATATCTACCGTAGCTACTTACCTACCTATCTATATCAATCAATCTAAATCTATCTATATCATCTATCTCTATCATTCATCTCTCTCTCTCCATCTATCATCTATCTTATCTATATTTACTGAAGCTACTTACCTACCTACCTATATCTCTATCAATCTATCAATATCATCTATATCATTCATCTCTCTTCATCTATCAATCTATCTCTGTCTACCTACCTACCTACCTACTTACTTATCATCACTATCATCTATCTATCTATCTATCTATCTATCTATCTATCTATCTATCTATCTATCTCTATCATCAATCAATCTATATCAATCTATCAATCTATATTTATCATCTATATCATTCATCTCTCTCCATCTATCAATCTATCTCTGTCTATCTACCTACCTATCTACTTACCTATCATCTCTATCATCTATCTAGCTATCTATATCATCAATCAATCTATATCTACCGTAGCTACTTACCTACCTTCCTATCTATTTCTATCAATCAATCTAAATCTATCTATATCATAATTCATCTATCATCTATCAATCTCTGTCTGTCTGTCTATCTATCTGTCTATCTACAGTATCCATCGATCCATCTATTGGTGAAAAGCAAGGTGGGGGGGGTCTCCCATTTATTTATTTGCTTATTTATTGGAAAGCAAAGGGGTTTTATTTATCCACTGTTGAAAGCAAGGGGCTCTCCCATTTATTTATTTATTGGAAAGCAAGGGCTTTTATTATTTATTTACTCACTGCTGAAAAGCAAGGGGGTCTCCCATTTATTTATTTATTTATTTATTGGAAAGCAAGGGTTTTTTATTTGTTTATCTGTCTGTCCGTCTATCTGTCTGTCTGTCTGTCTGTCTGTCTGTCTATCCTATCTATCTATCTATCTATCTATCTATCTATCTATCTATCTATCTAATCCATCCACTGCTGAAAAGCAAGTAGGGGTCTTATTCATTCATTCAATTTTAGAAAGCAAGGGGGATTATTGATTTGATTACTTTATAAATGGTTATTTTGGTATTCTCAAGATTTGCAGAGCAGGTCTCTGTCCCAAATGGAAGAAAGCTTCCCTTCTTGTCATTTTTGTCTTTTCCTCCTGCTTCTACTTGTGCACTTTCCTTTCTTGAATCAAAAGACAAAAATGCTGCAGAGGGTCTGTGAGTTCATGTAAACTCCTATTGTTGTGTCTGGTGCCTTCCTGAGAAAGGAAAGCCATAATGATGATGATTCATTAAAGAAAACAAAGATAGTACCAATAGTGACAGGATTGGATTGCCTTGGATGCAATCCCAAAATATCTGGAGCACAACTTCAACACCACTGACATTGACAAATTTGCCATCAGTCAATTGCAGAAGGCAGCTTTACTCAGAACAGCTTACATCCTGCAATGATACAGTACCTCTAACACCATCAAACATCCAAAACTGCCTATCCCAGGTCCTTGGGAAGGACTCGAGGTAGACAAGAGGGCCAAAACCAATCTGAACATCTGACTGACTGCAAGGAACACAATTTACTAAACAGTGGCATGTTAAAAAAAAGAAATGGTAACTTGTCATAGGTTTGATAGGACAAACTCTCAAATACAAAGCCATCTCAGCCATGATATCTGTCCTCTGTAAAGGATCTCCAGTTCCACATTAAGAATATGAAAAGTTTTTTTTTTCTGTATCTATGCTTAAAATTGCAGGACAATGAATAAAATATTTCAGAGTGGAATTTTAAAGTTGCAGAGTTGTCTATCAAAATCTGAATGAGAATATTGTGCGATGATTGATGTTTGTGTCAAGGACTTGGGTATTGTCCTGTTTGTATTGTGTTCTCTCATGGTATTTCTTGCTAAATCTTCTGATGGAGTTTTTTGGGGGCTAATTAACCTGATGTTCTGCCTTTGCATACAGTTTTCGGGAAATTGCCAAATGGAACTATGGACTCTTTGGACAAAATTAAAGTCCTTCTGAAAAAATGGGAGACTTCTTTTTTTCAGGAGCAGCAGAGGAAGCCCAGCAAGGTATTTTGAATGTAATTTAATATCTGATTATAATAGTTTTCATTGTTAAGTTGTTTAGGCTGATTAAACCATTTTCAACACAACTGAAACCAAGCAGATTTCTGAAATTATTGCTTTGTGTTTGTTTTCTAGGCAGATGTCCTGGATGCTCCTGAAAAAATAAAAAGTAAGCATGATTCTCTACAGTGCATTATAGTCCCGTGTATGGAAGTACAGTAGTAGATGTGATAGAATATCAGTTTTGATCAGTGGAAAGTGGTAGTTATTTGCAAACATTTAAAATGCTATGTTTTGATCATTTTCTCATCAGAAAGGTAATGAAGACAAGAAATTTTAGATGCTAATTGCAAATATTTTACAATACATTGATATTCATTGTAATTGCATTGCTATCTATTTTGTCAAAAATCACTTCTTAGTCTTTTAAGTTTTTACTATCAGAAAAGCAAAAATGTGAAGGGCATCGAGGGAATAATAATATAGTATGAGGACATTGTGGTAACTAGCATCAAGCAAACTTTTGGTCAATTCCTCTCGGCTAAAATATTGTCACAAATTTGGAAATCTGATTTTTCTTCTTCTTAAGGATTGAAGCTAAAGTTTCATTCATTTAGAAGAGCAATAGCTAAATCTTTCCTTCTTGACTTCTAGCAACTGAAATTCCAGTGAGTTGTAACTGAACACACTTCAGTGGTTTAGTAAGAGATTCTTCACTGTTTGGGATGTGCCAAACATTTTATTCTGAGGGCAACGTTTCATAAACCACCTCTCCCTTGTCCTCATGTTTTGAGTGTGAAGCTGTTTTTGAGTGCAAAGTGAACAATTGGATAACCTACCTAAAGAAGATTGTACATTTGAGGGACTACAGAATTGATTTGGCTACATGATTCTCAGCTCAAAAATCTCATTTGTGCACAGAACTATACAGACAATACAAGGCTCTAAAAGAATCCAAGGGGCATCATGATCTTCCTGAATCTGTCATGACCTGCCAACAAGAAAATCAGGAACTTGTAGCACCAGAAAAGGTATTGAAAGAGCTACCGTGTTTTGCAAATATGTTGTTCTGTCTGAGCCCTGATCCTGAAAGGGGGGGGGGGAATCATTGCGCCTTCTTCCTTTAAAGCAAAACTTGCTTAAATATCACCAACATTTCAGTTGTTGGGTTTGTACAACGTGCTAAACCTAGTTACTACAATAGTCAAGTTTATGGGTTCACATTAATACAAGACACTTATGTACCTTGTGAATGTGGCCACCAGATCTTTAATTGACTTGTTAAGTGAGTTATAGGAACACATCATCAGTTTTCCTGAAATTTCTTATGGCAGGTTAACATTTCCTTCACTCGTTTTATACATAGCGTCCGAAACTCACTAGTTGTGTTTGCACAATATACAAACCGTCGTTTACCTAATCATTTAATGTAACCATTTAACCCAACTTTCATGATTTGCATAGTGTAAACTATTAATTAATCAAACCCGCTGCATTCACACAAGAGGGCAACCAAAAAAACATTTGTCAGGTATGTGACTCTGCCTGGGTCTTTTTGAAAAAGTCTTTTTGGTACTGATATTAACAACTGAGTTGCCTTTCTGTCTTCTCTTTGCTTGGGTCTCTTTTCTAAGGCAACTGATTTCGGTTCCTGGGGATCACACCTGAATCGAGGACAGAAGATTCCTAAACTGACCCAGCAGAATCCAGAAGCCTTGCAGGCCTCTGCACAGCATTTTGGGATGAAGCTGAAATGTAACTTAGGTGCAAAAATTAAGGTCTGAAAAGTTTGTGATAGTTGAAAGTTTATAGTTGCTATATAGTTGTATTTTCTGAGTTCATACAATGCAATTATATGGAGTGGTGCGGTGGCCTAGAGGTGGAGCTCTCGCCTCACAATCAGGAGGCTGTGAGTTCGATCCTAGGTAGAGGCAAATATTTCTCTTTGGGCACACTGAGAATATATCTGCTGAACAAAACTCCACATTGGCCACAGGAAGGGCATCCGGCCATTAAAACACTGTGCTAGCTCTGTTCAGTTGCCCAGACTCTACCCCACAAGGGATTATGGAGTCGTTAAATGAAGATGATGATACAATGCAATGCAATTATATATTGTGCAAAAGATTGTAGCTTAGAATGTAGAAGTACTGTAGCTTGATTTCTGAAGGATGAAAGTCATTGAAGAATAAAAGGGACCAATTCTCTTTAAAAATTTCTTTCTTATCCCTGTTCTATTGTCATCAAACATAAGACTTGCATCTCATTTTGAGTTAATTAGATACCTCCCATAGCATTTATCTGGGCTCATAGCTACTAATAACTCAGAACTGTTCACCAACATTTGATCTGGAAAGGAAGTCCACATTTATGTGTCGCTTCCTTAATATATTAAAGTAACAATGTAATTGTGACTGAAGAAATAAGAAAATCAAATAAATAAAATCAAGATTAGAAAAGTAGTCTTCTACAGATGTATCACTCAAGTCCAGAAACACAGAGAGAATCTCAAGAGAAACCAGAGAAATAGAATACAGAGGGAAAATTAAAAGGAATTTTTCCCCACTTTCTTTGGTCTTTCATAAAAAAAATCAGATTGCCTGCTTGCCTAGTGACCCAATTTATATCTTATTTTAAATATAACTTTCTGATATTTGTAAACAAGAATAACTTAGTCTTGATTATTTGAATTCTGGCGTTGTAAGTAGGGTAGGGGAGAAAGAAGGATAAAATTAGGTCCAAATTTCTACCCAAAACCTGCTAAATGAGCCCCAATTTTAAATTGACTCAGTTCTTCTCTTGCCTTGTGGCATGAAGAATATATTCTATCCAAGAATCTCTGTTAAGAGTGGATAGATGGATGGCCATATAAATCGGATAAATAAAACATGCAAGGAGTTTGCAGGCAACAGCAAAACAGCAAAAATGAAACAAATGTTAGATTTAAGAAGCTAAGAATATTATATTAATTTTCAGCACTGATATCCATCTGATTCTACTAATTATGGTTGTTGTTGTTTTTTACTTTTGATTCCAGGAATGTCCTGTAACTTTAAGGAGATCCCTCACTCCTAAAAGGAAACCAGTTCAATTAGCACAGAAGGATGGAGCTCAGATTGAAAAAGTTAAACCGTTCCCATCGCCAGAAGTTCCTTCGTTAAAAACTAATCCCAATGATTTGCCTGGTTCTAATGCCAAGGAACTTACAGCTCTTCTTCCTTCTTCGTTTCCAGACCTGGCTGGCACTCAGCTCCGGTTTCCTGGTCCGAAACCGAGGCTGCCATCATCGGATCGGTTTCAGTGCCAAAAGCAGACCATCACGAAACGATTGAGCAGTTTGGATGCTGGGTGGCTAGACAGGTGCCAAGGGACAAAATTGGAGACTAGAGAGGAACAAAACCAACACTGTAGTTTGAACCCAGCTAATGGGGCAGGGCCATGCCAAGGATTGCCAGAAAGCATTTCCTTCCAAACACAGGCTCTGTTTTTCAAACCTGGGAAAAGAAAATTGGAGAAAGGTTGCCAATCTCCCCAGGAAAATTGTCAGCAGGACATGTTAGAGAGGCAGCCCGTGGTCCAAAGTCCAGAAGGCCTGAGTACACGGAGCACATGGGATAATCCAGATTCAGACAAAGAAAGGATAAGTGTAGCATTCAGTGAAACCAGTGCTGAAATTCCCGCCAATGAGCAGATGCAGAACCTGGAGACTGGCAGAAAAGACGGCAGCTGGAAAACAGAGGAGCGTCTTTTGCAAGGAGCTTCACCCAGGCTGAGTGGTGCTTTGTGTGATGGGCAGAGTGGGCAGCTTCCCCCCACCAAGAAAGGGAAAATGCCAAGCAAGAAAAGGCGTCTGGATCCCGCAGCTGACGATGAAGTTGCTCCAGACATTTCTAAACATGGCGTTTGTAGAAAGCGCCAAAGGACTAAAGAACTGGTTGAGGATAGCAACGTCAAAAAACTGCACCCTGTCAGTCAAAAGCCGGGAAAGGATGAATACGACTTTGACCAAGACACTGCCAAAGTGCAAGAGGAGGAGAAGGAGATGGTTCCACTTCTTTCTGAAAATATACTTGGGGACCTCGTTGAGGAAAATTGTCCTAAGAAGAGTGGAAAACCCAGCATGCCAAGCTGCAGGTATGCACCTTCACCTTTTCCTGGTGGGAGGAACTGGCTGGGGAATTCTGCGAGTTGAAGTCCTCAAGTCTTAAAGTTGCCAAGGTTGGAGACTCCTGCTTTGCATTGATATGAGTTTTTCCCCCCCAGGCTGCCATCCAAGAAATGTGGCAATTTTGTCCGTCTCAATATGAAAACAAAATCCCATGTAAAGAGCTATGTCTTGAAGGGAAAACACCTTCGCAAGCAGGTAGGTTGCCTTATGGCCAACCTCCATAGTGGGTCAACACATTTAAGAGCTTTTAACTGGTTCTCATACTTCATGCTTGATCATCTTTTTTTCCCCCATGCTGGAGAATTGACTACAGGTAGTCAATGACTTATGACCACAATTTATTTATTTATTTATTTATTTATTTATTTATTTATTAAATTTTTATACCGCCCCCTCTCCCGAAGGACTCGGGGCGGTGAACAGCCAAAATTAAAACACACAATACAAATATTAAAATACAATTAAAAACAAAATTAAATTATCTTTGGCTTCTCCAATTTAAAACCCCTTACCCATAAAATTCACCCAATTAAAATTTTTAACCCAGTCCGGCTTGCTGAAATAAAAAAGTCTTCAGGGCCCGGCGGAAGGTCCGGAGGTCCGGGATTAGTCGTATCCCTGGGGGTAGCTCATTCCAGAGGGCGGGTGCCCCCACCACAGAGAAGGCTCTTCCCCGGGGGGTCACCAGCCGACATTGCCTGACAGACGGCACCCTGAGGAGACCCTCTCTGTGGGAGCGTGTTGGCCGGTGGGAGGTTATCGGAGGCAGAAGGTGGTCTCGTAAGTAACCGGGTCCTAAGCCATGGAGCGCTTTGAAGATGAGAACCAGCACCTTGAAGCGCACTCGGAAGACCACTGGAAGCCAATGCAGCTCGCGCAGGAGAGGTGTCAAGTGGGAGCGCCATGTCGCCCCCATAAGTACCCGCGCGGCCGCATTCTGCACCAGTTGGAGCCTCCGAGTGCTCCTCAAGGGGAGCCCCATGTAGAGAGCGTTGCAGTAGTCGAGGCGGGAAGTAACGAGGGCATGAGTGACCGTGCATAGGGAGTCCCGATCCAGAAAGGGGCGCAACTGGCGTATCAGGCGAACCTGATAGAAAGCCCCCCTGGCCACGGCCGTCATATGCTCTTCTAAAGACAGCCGTGCGTCCAGGAGGACGCCCAAGTTGCGAGCCCTCTCCGTGGGGGCCAATGTCTCGCCCCCAATAGTCAGCGATGGCACCAGCTGACTATATCGGGACGCCAGCATCCACAGCCACTCAGTCTTGGAGGGATTGAGTCGGAGCCTGTTCCTCCCCATCCAGACCCGCACGGCCTCCAGGCACTGGGACATCACTTCAAGGGCATTGTTGGGGTGGTCTGGGGTGGAGATGTACAGCTGGGTGTCATCAGCGTACAGATGGCACTGCACCCCAAAACCACGGATGATCTCGCCCAGCGGCTTCACATAAATGTTGAACAGGAGAGGCGAGAGGACCGACCCTTGTGGCACCCCACAAACCAAGTGCCTTGAGGTCGACCTCTGCCCTCCAGCCAACACAGACTGCGACCGGTCGGAGAGATAGGAGGAGAACCACCGTAAAACAGTGCCTCCCACTCCCAACCCCTCCAACCGGCGCAGCATGATACCATGGTCGATGGTATCAAAAGCCGCTGAGAGATCTAATAGGACCAGAACAGAGGAGCAACCTCTGTCCCGAGCCCTCCAGAGATCATCAACCAACGCGACCAATGCCCAATTGAGCCCAAGATTTCTGTTGCTAAGCAAGGCAGTTGTTAAGTGAGTTTTGTCTTACAATCTTGTTTGCCACAGTTATTAAGTAAATCGCTGCAATTGTTAAGTTAGCAATACAGTTGTTAAGTGAATCTGCGTTCCCCATTAACTTAGCTTGTCAGAAGGTTGCAAAAGGGGGGAATCACATGACCTTGGGACACTGAAACTGCCATAAGTACATGCCAGTTGCCAAGCACCCGAATTTTGATCAGGTGACCTTGGGGAGGCTGCAATGGTTGTGTGAAAAACGATCATAAGTATCTTTTTTTCAGTGCCATTTTAACTTCAGACAGTCACTAAATGAATGGTTGTAAGATGAGGACTAGCTGTATCAGAAGTTAAAACCATGGGTCTTACTGAAAGAGCAAGCAAGATTAGCCCAATTTCTCTTCTGCTTAATTTGTTTATTTATTAAAGTTATATGCTGCTCCTTACACTGATAAGGGCGGCTTACAAGCCTTAAAAAAGATCAACATAAAAACAGTTACAATTACAATGCTATATAAAAACTAGAACTAAGGAAATGGATGGCAGGGGGATGAGGTCTTCTTACCCCATCAAACCACCTCCAGCAGAAGGCGCCCCTCTTGGGGCCCCAAACCATGTGGCAAAACCAGATTTTGATATCCGGCCAAAAGAGTGGGAGCAGTTCTCATTTCCAGTGGCAGGATGTTCCACAGGGCCAGGTCCACCGCAGAAATGGCTCTTCTCTTTGAGTCTGCCAGCCAGAATTCCTTGGCCGATGGGGTCTGCAGAAGCCTTTTCTGCTGGAACAAGTGGGGTGGTCTAGTTCCATTGGGGTGAGACGGCTCCTTGGATAATTCCCTGAAGTCACTAGCTATGTAGGGAAGGGTGAACCAGGCCCTCTTTGCCTCATCTGTATTTTGGTCCTGCCTAGGTGTGGAAGCAGAAGTGGCAGAAAAAGGGGCATCAGTTTGGTGGAGGTGGCAGGCTCGTGGACCGAAGTTCCGACACTTGCTTCAAATGTGGGGGACGTGGTCATTGGTCTTCCCAGTGCAAAGGTGAAGGTGGGTCTACTCTGGCTGGCTGACGTTATCAAACTGGAAAGTGGTGGCAGAATCGAGATCAGTTAGCCAAGGTTGTCTTGAAGTCCCAGACCTGAAAAGACCTTTCTGAAATTGAGGCAATGGTCTCTGCTGCCAAAGAAACAGTAAATTAACTAAAAGAACCTTCCTTACCTTGTTTATCTAGATTTTTCTTTTAAAAAAAAACTATAATAGTGGAATATAAACATAGCCACCAACAGAAAGAGCACAGCAGTGGTTACCTAATGAGAGAAAAAAAATCTATATACATTGGTGGTGATTAAAATAAACATGACAAAAAAGAATGAAATGATTAAGAAAAAAACCTATATTCTGTCAACTCAGTAACAGTACAGAATTAATTAAGTCCTTATGCTTAATTAATCAAAGAGAGAAGCAACCTGGAATTAAGGAGTATCTTACATAAATAAATGATTAATCATAAACCACTTACATCTATCTAAGTTCTATACCATTCAACTGAATTTACTGCCACCAGCGCTTTCACAAGTTTCATAGATTTTATTGTTAAATTTCTACCATTATTTCTGGCAGTATAATTGGTTCTGTCATGCGTTTTTAAATCTTCCTGAGAGATTTCTTCCAATTCAGCATTTCCCAGTAAATTAATTAGTTACTATTCAGTTACACGTGTCTTATCTTAACGTAACTGAGCATTAAAATAATTAAACTGGTAATTAATAACCTCTGCCTTGTTACATAACTGACTATGGTTGGCTTGAATTCCAGATGTAAAATCGTATTGCTTTTCTTGCTTTAGTGTGAGCCAATAATTTCCCATTTTTCTTTCCTGATTCCGCTGATCAGTGTATTTCAAAGAATAATCAAATTGTTCCGGATATATTAGCTGAAGAGAGAGCCGTCCCTCTACATAGATCAAATATTTCTCAAGGTCAATTTCCCAGTTTTAATTAGACTTCATCAGTAGCAGAGGCATTAAAAAAAAGCATTGATAGAATTATCATAACCAAAATAAATAGAACAGAAACATGTTGTCGGGCTTGTCCTGACTTGGTCATTTAGAAAAGAGGAGCCTTTGACTTCATTTGTAGTGAAAGGTATATTTTTACTAAAGCCAAGGGGTTACAAAATAGAAAAAGCCAGATCTGAGGTTTTGTCCGTGAAAGCTGCCTCCTTACTTCCCTCTTTGCCAGATCCTTCCCCGTTATCTCCCTGGTGTCCAATAGAATTCAAACATATTGTTTTGGTAACAGTTCTGGTGCTTGGTGGGCTCACCGATGGTCCGCATTCCATTCTGAGGCTTGTGGCCTTGGGGTCGGTCAGCCAATGTCTCTCTTGAAGTGGTTTCCTTTTCTTGTCTCCCCCGCCAGCTCTTTCCCCACCTTCTTCTCCATGGTTCATGGCAGTCTGGCATCAATGGGGCAAAGCAGGATGGCAGCACTGACACTTGCAATCACCAAGCTACAGTAACAGAAAACGTTATTTGCATTCCTTTGGTGTCGTCCATACAGATCGACTCTCTGCTACCGATGCCCAGCTGGAGGACAAGAGCTGTGCTGATGAAGAGGAAGTACCCTTGCTGACTCTGGAGGAAGTGGCTCAGATGACCAATACGACTTACACAAAAATTTCAAGTAAGCGACAAGACCTACGTCCACCATGCCAGAGCATCTGCTTCTAGATTGTTTCTGGGTTGTCTCGATCCAGGAGATAAGACATAGCATCACCATGAGGTTGGATTGGGTTGCTATTAAGGTTATTAATAAACAATGCTTTCTGAAAAAGATTCCTATGTCAATTCTTCTTTCTCAGCAAAGAGTGAGAACAGCCAAGAAACCCTGGAGCAGTCTGCTCAGGAACAAAGTTACCTGCAAATAGGAAGGCCTGTACCCGAAACGTTCAGTCCACCTGCACCGATAGAGCCTTTCTATAAATTGGGGCCAGATAAGAAGGTGAGAGGTAAGACTCGATGGTGAGGAAAATTCTAGAGGAGTGGAGGAAGGCTAGAACTATATGATGAAAGATTTCAGGAATTGGGTATGGCCAGTCTAGTGAAAAGAAGGGCCAGGGATGACATGATAGCAGTATTCCAGTATTTGAGGGGCTGCCACAAAGAGGAGAGGGGTCAACCTGTTCTCCAAAGCACCAGAAGGCAGGACAAGAAGCAATGGGTGGAAACTGATAAAGGAGAGAAGCAACCTAGAAATGAGGAATTTCCTGACAGTGAGGACAATTAACCAGTGGAACAGCTTGCCTCCAGAAGTTGTGGGGTGCTCCAATACGGGAGGTTTTCTTAAGACGAGATGATCATTTGTCTGAAATGGTACGGGGTTTCTTGTTTGAGCAGGGGGCTGGACCAGAAGACCTCCAAGGTCCCTTCCAGCTTGATTCTAGTTCTGGTTCTGATTCTGGAATATTGTGTCCAGTTTTGGTGGCCAAGATACAAAAAAGATGTTGAGAGTCTTGAATGAATGAAGAACAACAAGAATGAGTAGGGGACCAGAGGCTAAAATATATGAAGAACAGTTACAGGAACTGGGCATGGCTAGTCTAATGAAAAGAAGGACTAGGGGAGACGTGACAGCAGTGTTCCAATATTTGAGGGGCTGCCCCAAAGAAGAGGGGGTTCAACCTATTTTCCAAAGCACCCGAAGGCAGGACAAGAAGCAATGGATGGAAACTAATCAAGGAGGAACTTCCTGACAGTGAGAAGGAATATATGCTAATTGAGACAGCTTTAAAGTTCTCAGTTGCCCTGCTCAGCTGTCAGTTCTTCAGAATCTGAAATCTTTTGTACAGAGTCTGTATCTTTATAGCTGAAATTGCAACAGAGTTCAATTGAAGGTGTATTGAAGGTGTCTTCGTTCAGCTCATCCTGCTGAGTCTTCCCTGAGGACAGGCATTCCTAACTGCGGTTGTGCACTGTGTCTTGTCCAGATACACCTCCTGAAGTGTTCCAAGCACTGGCTGAGCTGGGCTATACTTCCTTCCGGCCAGGACAGGAAACAGCAGTGATGAGGATACTCTCAGGTAAGGCATAAAGAAGCAAATATTTAGCTTACTTGGATCTTGGCAGTTGTTGTGATGGCCAGGTATTTCTGGTAAGCCTGATTTCTGAAGGACAAGCAGGCGGCTCTTGGTTTGGCTTAGTCTCCTGACAGAGCCTGGTGGGGTAACATTGGCACTGATGGGTGGCAGGCACAAAAAGTGTCTCCCTTTTTTCCTGGAATGCTTGTGCCACTGCACATGAGAGAAGTTAGGTCTGCCCCATGGTGAGTCTCCATCTTACCTGAAGCTCCCTCCTGTCTATTGAGCACAGCCTTCAGTGGGGCCTAGAGAAAATGCACATTTTATGTTTTGTGTTATGAAGTGTGATTTTGTGTTGCAAAAATGAACGGAAGGAGAAATATATTGTGGTGTGGTACCTCCTCTGCTTTTCTGAACAAGACCTGTCCCTATTCCCCAATCCCTTCCACGCAGACATCAGATGAAATTTGTTTTCTGCCATGTGTGCTCTAGTATGTGAATAGGCACTGTGCATCTCAACTCTTTCATTCATACTTTCATACATTCTTTCAATTTCTATAGCTGCCCAGTCAATGGGTGGCTTACAATTCCAAAATTGTAAAAAAAAATAAGACAATTAAAAGCATTTTAATAACAATAAAAACATCCAAAATAAATATAGTTAGCCAGTGAACAGTAAAGTCAGGAAACGGAAATCTAAACACATTCAGAGCCCCAGGCATGGGAATACAGCAAGGTTTTAAGAGCCTCGCAAAAGGCCAGCAGAGTTGGGGGTCATTCTAATCCCTAAGGGGAGGATATTCCACAGAGCAGGGGCCCACTCAGAAAATCATGTAGTCACTGCCAGCCAACACTCTTTGGCTGATGGGACCTGCAGATGCCCAGTCTCTTTGATCAAATTGGATAGATAGCGATTCTTGGAAAATTCTTTAGACTGACTTTCCCTGTAGGATCACTGTGGGCACTTCCCTGTCAGCAACACTTGAACTGAGAGGGGTTCTGGACCTGTCAGAAAAGGACACCTGGCTCTATTGTTTTGTTTTCTGGCAATTTGGAGAAATATTTTCCTCTTCATGCATTCACAAGATCTCTTGGAACCCTTTCTGATCTTCAGCGATGTAGGTTCAGGCTACATGTTTAAAAGTATGACCAGTCAGTCAGTGAAACAGGCTACCATGTGTAGTGGGGAGATTTTCCCTGAAGGTCTTCCTATAGCAATTCAGTGTCCTAGCTGTCGTAGTGAATCTTGCACCGAGCAGGGGGGTGGGCTAGATGTCCTTTAGGCTGCAATTTCTTGCGAGTGCTGGCACCAGGGAAGGCTCCCACCCCTGCCAGTTCTGAGTCTGACCCTGCTACCTTCACTCTCTTGCAGGGCTCTCCACCTTGGTGGTCTTGTCAACAGGAATGGGGAAATCTCTCTGCTACCAGCTCCCTGCGTATCTGTACAGCAAGCGGCGCCCGTGTATCGCTTTGGTGATCTCTCCCTTGGTGTCGCTGATGGACGACCAAGTAAGCTGGAATGCGCCCATGGCTTGGGAACTTGGGGGAGTGGGGAGCCTGTAGGGCGACACCTGGAATCGTGTACTTGGAAGCAAACCAGAAACCCGTGCACTTCAGAGAACAGAGGTGTTACATCACTACATGTGGTGCTACATTCTGGACCAGTTGAAGCTTCTAGGTCAGGGGTGTCAAACTCGATTTCATTGAGGGCTGCATCAGGGTTGTGTTTGACCTCGGGGGGGGCGTGGCCAGCTTGACATCACTCATGGCAGCCCTCGGAAGGGTTAGGCCAGTCCTTCACTGTTTCCAGGTCAGCCCCATAGGCCAGGTCTAAGCACCCCACTGGCTGGATCCGGCCCACGGGCCTCAAGTCCTAAGTGGTCTTCAAGGGCAGCCCCATGTAGAGGGCTGTGAGGTGGCCTGGGCATAACTGACTGAAGAGCCTCCAATCTAGGAAAGGACGCAACTGGCATACCAGATGGAGGCCTTCCTGGTCATAGCTGCCACCTGCTCTTTGAACTAGAGTTTTGAGGCCAGGAAAAAAAACCCAAATTGTGTATCCTCTTTAAAGCCTTGCTTGGCATGGGTCCAGGTGACTCGAGGAACTGTCTCACCCCACTGGGACTGGCAGAGGAGGCATGCTGCAGACCCCATCAGTCAAGTAATTCTGGCTGGCAGGGTCTAGGAGAAGAGCCTTCTCTGCTGGCCACCTGCCCTTTGGAACATCTTTTCCTCCTGGAGTGAGGTCCACTCTCACTCTCCTGACCTTCCGTAAGGGCCTGAAGAGTTGGCTCTGCCCCATGGCCTGGGACCCCAATGGGGGAACACCACACTGGAGATGGTTGATGAATTAAGAGCCAACCCCACCTCCAAACACCCAGAGCCACTCGGTCTTGGTAGGATTGGAGATGGTATTCGTCCTCATTCAAATCCACACAGCCTCCAGACTCTGGGACAGAAACATGACAGCCTCGCTTGGCCGATCAGGAGTCCAAAATCCTGGTGATACCGAACCCCAAACCAGCTGTTTAGGCAGTGGTTGTGCTTGGGGAAGGGCTGGGAAGAGGAGGAGAAAAGCCAGATGGGAGAAGAAAGAAGAGAAAGAGCAGAAAGATAATAGGGAAAGAGACTGGCACTGAAAGCTATGGGGAAGAAGTGCAGGCCAGGGACATTGTAGCTTCACGCAATTTTTTTAAACTTTATTTTATTTGTAAAATGTATTGGCCGCCCATCTTACCACAGGGTAACTGGGCGGCTTAACAGTCTTAAAAAGATTTTAAGAACTATACTAAAGCTAAAAGAAATATAAATAGGTCCAAATACTGCATCCCAATTAAAAGATGGGGAGGGCGGGAGTAGGATGGGAAGGAGGTGGGATCTGTTGTGAATCCATCAATCATCCCCTTTGCGAAACTTTGCCAATTGGCAGGCCCACATCTTTACGTTCTTGCAGGTCAGGAGGGTGGGAGTTGACCTCACTCAGGTTTGTGTGTGTCAAGATGTTCCAAAGGGCAGGCACAAGAGCAGAGAAGGCTCTTCTGGGCCCCACCAGCCAGAATACTCAGTGGGGCCCGCAGCACAGAATGGGACAACTTGGTGCGTCCAACTCACCACAGCCTACTTGTGGCAGGACAACCTGCTGCGGGACAAGTCAACAATTCAATTTAAATATTTAAAATATTTAAAACATTATTTTAATTTTTGTCATTCACATTTCATTCTGTCCCTCCTTTCGCATCCTTTTAATGATTCTATTCCACCATTTCTTTGATGTTAGTGTAACTCTTGTCCCGTGCCAAGTTGGCCATGCCAAGTTATCCTAGACTCTCTGCAGCATGGCTCCTGTGTGCTGGCACAGGTGGGCCAATGCCAAAATGCACAATTCAAGCATTTTTTTCTGGAGCCAAAATTGCAGCAATAGGAAAAGCAGCAGGGACTTGGCTCCTAGACGGTGCTGGTAGTTCCATGTTTGCCTAACTCTGAATGAGGCGCCGTCTGTATTCCTTGCAGGTCTCTGGCCTCCCTCAGCGCTTGAAAGCAGTCTGCGTCCACTCCGGCATGTCGAAGACTCAGAGGGAGGCTGCCATGGAGAGGGTGAGCCACCTGCGTGGGGGCGAAGCTGCCTCGGGGTCACTGAGAACTGTTTTTACTAAGATCCTCCAGGTTATACTGCCCCACAAACCCCTAATTCCCATGCGGTCTAAGAATTGCGGGATTTGTGGTCTCAGTTGGGGGTAGCGTTAGGTGTATTGGGGTCCTGCCAGCCTCCATTTTTGAACTTAAGCAGCAAATAAACGTACGACCACAACTGAGCCCAACGTTGCTGATGCTAAGCGAGAGAGTTATTAAGTGAGTTTTGCCCTACTGTATGACCTTTCTTGCCACAATTGTTAAGTGAATCACTGCAGTTGCTAGCTTAGTTAACATGGTTGTTAAGTAAATCTGTCTTCCACATTGACTTTGCTTGTCAGAAGATTGCCAAAGGGGATCACGTGACTGCAACCGTCATAAATATGAGTCCGTTGCCAAGTGTATGAATTTTGATCACGTGTCCATGGGGATGTTACAGCGATGTAAAAAAACAGTTATAAGCCATTTTTTTTCAGTGCTTTTGTAACTTTGGATAGTCAATAAAGCAATGGTCCACCGCCTGCAGTGAAACACTCTTTTTTTCCCTTCGTAATTGTTTCCGTATGTTCATAACACTTGTTTTTGAGAACATGGGCTAACAGGGAGATTCTCAGTCATCCTGCTCAACAAGGCTGTGGTTGGATGTCCAACACTGAGCAGGGTTGCAATGAAAGTGTCAGACCTGCCCCAGCTAGGTCCCTAGGAAAGAAAGACCCTCGACTCCATTTAGTTGAAGTGATAGGTTCTTTTACTAAGGATTACTGTTTGCAGCGAGAGCAAGGCTGGATCTAAAGTTCCCGCGCAAAGTATTACAGATTTTCTCCTCCTCCCTGGCCCTCCTTCCTTGACTCTCCATCTGTGTGTGCTTTATAGTTTTTTTTTGGGAACAGCTCAGATGTTTAGAGTCACTTGGTGCAATTCGCATTCTTTTCCCAGACTGCGTGTCCTTGAAGACCTCTGGTTTCTATCAAGCCTGTCTCACACACACACACACACTCACACATTCCTCTACTTCCTACTCTCCACATGCCAATTGCCTCCTTCCCCTCCCCTGCTGACCCCTAAGAATTTATGACATGATGCCAGCAAAGTGCAAAGCTGAAGATGGCGCATCTGACAGAAAGCCTGTCTCCCTGACCAACCGAGATTGTCTGCTTGCAGGTAAAGGCCGGGAAAGTCCAGGTACTCCTCCTCTCCCCCGAGGCCTTGGTTGGAGGGGGTCTCTCGAGCAGCAGCTGCCTCCCTCCCGCCGACCAGCTGCCCCCCGTGGCTTTTGCCTGCATCGATGAAGTGCACTGTCTGTCCGAGTGGTCGCATAACTTCCGCCCGTGCTACCTCCGGCTCTGTAAGGTACTGAGGATGAATGAGTAGAAGTGTGGGTCGGGGTGCAGGGAGGAGGGGCTTTTGAGGGGCTTCTGGGGTCAAAGACCCAGAGCAATCAGCATTCTGAACAGTCCTCTTGTGGTCTGTCAGCCTCCAAGTTTTTCTACAACAGCCTTTCCCAACTCTTGGCAAATTGAAGGTGAGTGGACTTCAATCCCTACAATTCTCAGCAGTGGCTATCCTGGCTGTGGAATTCTGGGAGTTGAAGTCCATATACTTGGAAATTGCCAAGGTTGGATAAACCTGTTTAAAAGGAACTCAGTGGCCAGTGGCACCTCCACTCAAGAGTAAAAGTTTTAAGGGAGATGATAAGTCGCCTGGTAATTGGAGACCTACTGCTTGAAAAAGCCCCCTATAAGCAGAAATGGAATTCTACTTGAAAAGGACTCAAAATAATAGTAATGTATACATAGGTCTTTGAGGCTGGCCTGGCCTTGTATTTTAGGATGAGGATGGCCATATAATTAAAATAATTCTAAAACAATTCCATGTGATAATCTAAGTATGATGCCCCAAGATTGGGAAGGCTGACCTACTGACCTCGTTTCTGTCCCTCTCTCTCTCATCAAAACTTTCATCTTCCAATTGGGAAGAGCAACATACAATGTGCAAATGTGTGTGTAAATTTGAGGCGAGGGCAGCATTTTTTATTTCTCCAGCTGGGCACGGATAAGCCCACTGCTGGAAGAGAGTTGGCTTCTTGTGCTTTCCAAATGAGATGACCTTGCCGTTTCTTTCCTGGCAGGTTCTTCGAGAACGCTTGGGTGTGCGGTGTTTGTTAGGCCTGACAGCCACTGCTACCGTTTCAACGGCACAGGACGTGGCCCATCACTTGGGCATCCCAGAGGGCGAAGGGCTGGCTGTGCGTTCTGTTGCAGTTCCTCCAAACTTGTGTCTCTCTGTCTCTACAGACAGAGACAAGGATCAGGTGAGTCTGGAGCCCAGGCAGATGTTTCCATATAAAAGAGCGGTTGGGAGGCGGGCGGCAGTCTTCTTTAAGAACTTTGCCAGGTGTGTGTTGAGCCAGAAACTCACAAGATTGAATCTTAAGGTTTTTCTCAGAAAACTGGTTTTCTTCATCAACATTAATAATTCTTTAAATTTAAATTGTGATATTTGTATTGTGTTTTTACCTGGCTGTACACCGCCCCGAGTCCTTCGGGAGAGGGGCGGTATAGAAATAAAATTATCCTTATCCATTATCCTTAACAGGCTCTGCTGTGCTTTGTACTTCATATCCTAAAGTGGCTACACCTTTAGAGTGCTTTCCAGTATTAGTAGCCAGAGTTCTGGAATGGATCTATCTGGGTTCAGAAATCCACTGCTCTGGGAGAATTTGGGATGTCTCTGGAGCTTCTCAGTCATCCAGATCCTGGTTGTCCCAAAGGTGCTTTTTCCAAGAGGCAACTGGACTTTCTGGTTTTTCTTTGAAGATGTTTTGCTTCTCATCCAGGAAGCTTCTTCAGCTCTGACTGGGTGGTGGGGAATGGAAGGACTTACACTCCTTGCAGACAGCTGGTCATTTGCATCCTTTGAGAGAGTCATTGAGCCACCTGGAGGTTTATCTGTGTCACCTGAGTAGTGCCAATGGGTGAGGAGCCTTCTAGGAACTGCTGAAAGGAGGACTGTGTTGCAGACTGGAGATAGATGAGGTCGTATCCCTCCCCCTCTGTTGAGAGAGGAACGATGACATAGATGGCCTCTTTTATCCCTCTTTCAAACCAGCGGTCCTTCTCTATCCAAAATGTGGACTTTGCTGTCTTCAAAAGAGCTGAAAAAGCACCTTTGGGATTTGTTTGGGGTCAATCTCCTAGAACTGAGAAGAAAACCAGGCTGAAAATGCCACAAACAATTCCCTAGATAGGAAATGTTTTCCTGCTGGGTATTATTTTCTTGCAAACAGTAGTAGCCTCTTTTCCTAAGGTATCCAGGAAAACAGTTCTGAATCTCTGTTGAAAAAAAAAATGCTAATTATTGCAGGCTCTCGTAAATTTGCTGCAAGGGGAAAGATTTGGAAGCCTGGACTCAATCATTGTGTACTGCACGCGCCGGGAAGAGACAGCACGGATTGCAGCCTTCATCCGCACCTGTTTGCAAGGGGTGAAGCTGAGAAACGCCCCCTGTGAAGGAGAGCCAGAGGGGGAGGACCAACTCCCTGGAAAAAGGAAGAAAGCCAAAGGTAGTTGTTGACTGGGGAGTATTGGCAGAACCAGTGGTGAAATCCAATTTTTTTTACTACCGGTTCTCTGGGCATGGCTTGGTGGGCGTGGCAGGGGAAGGATATTGCAAAATCTCCATTCCCACCCCAATCTGGGACCAGCCAGAGGTGGCATTTGCCGGTTGCCCAAACTACTCAAAATTTCCACTACTGGTCCTCCAGAACCTGCTGGATTTCACCCCTGGGCAGAACCGACCTGGGAACCGCTGGGTAGGGAATAAGTGATGTGGCAGAAACTCTGTTGTTCTTTTTGTCCCTGATTTATAACCACATTTGAGTTCAACATTTTCCGTTGCTAAGCAAGGCAGTTGTTACAGTGAGTTTTGCCCCATCTTACAACCTTTCTTGCCACGGTTATTAAGTGAGCCAAATAGTTGTTAAGTAAAGCTGGCTCCCCCACTGACTTTGCTTGCCGGAAGGTCGCAAAAGGTGACCCCGGGATGCCGTCATAAATATGGGTTAGTTACCAAGCATCCAAATTTTGATCACATGACCATAAGGATGCTGCAATGGTCGTGAGTGTGAAAAACCGGTCACAAGTCACTTTGTTCAGTGCCATTGTAACTTCGAGCGGTCACTAAACGAACGGTTATAAACCGAGGCCTACCTGTACACCTTCGCTACCGCCGAAATGGTGTCAGAGCACGAGCCCACCCAGCGTCTCTGAGAGAAGATCCTTCCAGAATTAAAGCACAGCCAAACAGGCATGAAATCTTTGCTTCTGGAACAGGCCAGGCCTTTTTTTCCCAGCCTTTTTGAATCCTTGAAATGAATCGTGGTTTATGTGGCTGATGTTTCTCCCAGGTTTGCAGTGAGCCTCCCCTTCATTCTCCTCTCATTCCCCCACAGCGAAAAAGAGCACCCGGCGCCCTCTGAAATGGATGGCCGATGCCTACCACGCCGGCTTATCTGCCTACGAACGTCGCCGTGTGCAGAATAACTTCATGTCCGGCCAGTTGCGAGTGGTGGTGGCCACGGTGGCCTTCGGGATGGGCTTGGACAAGTCGGATGTGCGCGGGGTTGTGCATTACAACATGCCCAAGAACTTTGAGAGCTACGTGCAGGAGATCGGCCGTGCTGGGAGGGATGGCCAACCCGCCCAGTGTCATCTCTTCCTCAACCCAGAGGTAAAGTACAGCTTGTTCTGGGGGGGATTTATTCAGGGAAAAGCTTTTAGCCTGAAAACCAGCCATATGTGCGCATCACATATTTTTTTGGGGGGGGGGGGCTGCCAAAATTTGAGGGGCTGACACAAAGAAGAAGGGGTCTGAAGCCCCTGAAGGCAGGACAAGAAACAATGGATGGAAACCAATCAAGGAGAGAAGCAACCTGGAATTAAGGAGAAACTGCTGACAGAACAATTAGCCAATGGAACAGATTGCCTTCAGAGGTTGTGGGTGCTCCATTACTAGAGTTTTTAAGAATAGACTGGACAACCATTTGTCTGAAATGGTATATAGGGCTTCCTGCTTGAACGGGGTTGGACTAGAAGACCTCAAAGGTCCCTTCCAACTTCTGTTACGCTTTAACATGCTTGCAGTTGGAACTTGCAGTTCTGCATGTCGTGGAATCAAACACCGGGCCCCAAAACCGATAATCAAGTCGCCCTGTAATTTAAAATTTTAAAATTATTTAAAATTTTAAAATAAATAAAATGTTATTTATTTTAACTGGAGGAATTGGATTAACTGGAAGAGCCTGGATAGCTCAACAGACTAAAAAAAGCCTGTTATTAACATTCAGCTGTCTGCAATTATTGCAAGTTCGAATCTCCCCAGGCTCAAGGTTGACTCAGCTTTCCATCCTTTCAAAGGTAGGTAAATTGAGGACCCAGTTTGTGGGGGCAATAAGATGACTTTGTATAAATATACAAAAGGATGAAGGCTATTGCTTAACGCATTGTAAGCCGCCCTGAGTCTCCGGAGAAGGGCGGCATATAAATCAAATTTAAAAAAAAAAAATTCCCTCCAAGAAATAATGTGAGGAATTCCTACAAATAAATGGAGGCACTCATATTTATATATTTCAGGGAAAGAGGAGAAAATGATACAGTCATGCATAGGCCTAGGTAATAAATAATAGTAATGACTATTTCTCCGCCATTCACAAAGTTGACCTTCTCCTTGCCAGGGTGAGGATTTGCATGAACTGAGGCGCCATATTTACGCAGACATGGTTGACTTCTTCACCATCAAAAGGCTCGTGCAGACAGTTTTCCCACGTTGCAAATGCCAAGAGCTTCATCAGAAGCAGCAGGAACTCAACAAGGTGAGGACTGGAGGTTAAAACAAATAAAGAACAATTGCTGGAATTGGGTAGTCTAAATAAAGAAAAGAAGGACCAGGGGTGACATGATAGCCAGTCTTCCAAAATTTGAGGGGTTGCCACAAAGAAGAGGGAGTCAAACTATTCTCCAAAGCACCTGAAGGCAGGACAAGAAGCAACGGATGGAAACTAATCCGGGAGAGAAACAACCTAGAACTAAAGACAAATTTCCCAACAGTGAGAACAATTAACCAGTGGAACAGCTTGCCACCAGAAGTTGTGAGTGCTCCATCACTGGAGGTTTATAAGAAGAGACTAGACAGTCATTTGTCTGGAATGGTATAGGGTTTCCTGCCTGAGCAGGGGGTTGGACTAGAAGACCTCCAAGGCCCCTTCCTTCTATTGTAGTATCAAGATCACATAAAGTATTAGGAAAGAGGAACCAGCAGGTGAAGGAGAGGACAACTGGCTGGAGACCACTTTGAAAGCTGTTCCTTAGGGAGAACCAGCATGATTAAAGATGCAGGTAGCCCTCAGTTTACGATCGTAATTGCACCTGGGATTATGGTTGTAAGTCATGGCAGTCATGAAGCAGGTCGGCACATGTCCATGCCCAATGTTATGACTTATTTTGCTGGAAACCGACAAAAGCTGCTGAAAATTATGGTCATGTGACTCTAGGATGCTGCAACTGACCGTAGATGTGAACCAGTGGCCAAGGACCCCTAAAGTGGGTGATGATGGCAGGGGGGGGGAGACATTCTTAAGACCCTTAAGAATGGGTCTTAGGGAGCCATTCTTAAGGTGTCGTAACTTTGAACAGTTGCTAAGCAACTGGTCATTAAGCGAGGACTACTTTATCTTGAGATAGTCAGAGCTGTGCAATGAAGGACCGCTTCATTTTCTTGCATCCCCAGAATTTTGTGTATGTGTTCCTGAATCTCAGCATGGACTTTAGCTGACTTTCATAAACAGGCACATGACTCAAAGGAAAAACGTTAAGAGATTTAAGAGGGACAAGACAGCATTGGCTTCTAAGGCCTAAGCCCACAGGACTGATGAGCCCTTTGGCAGCCAGCTGATTCTTCTCCTTCTCCTTCTCCTCCTCCTCCTCCTTTTCCTCCTTCCCCCATTTTTAATCCCCAGGGCTGTGAAGTGGAGGATGCAGAGATGCTCACTGCCCTAGAAGGAAGTTCAGAGAAGCCACTTGACCCAGAACAGTCGCGAATATGCTATAAACACGAGAGAGCCATCCCTATTCAACCAACTGTGGAAGCGCTGGACCTCCGAGAAGAAGGTGAGGGTGTTAGGAATCACGGGAATGTGAGAACTGTCTTCCTGAAGCTTTAAATGTGAAATAAAACTACTCAGAAGGATTGGGGGAGGGGGTGTTGTCTGCTAGTTGGGTCTAGTGATTAACGCATCAGGCTAGAAGCCAGGAGTTCTAGTCCGTCTTAGACAGGAAAGCCAGTTGGATGATTTTGAACTGATCATCAGGTGAGTTCTAGTCCTCCTTAGGCACAAAAGCCAACTGGATTCTTTGGGCCAGTCCATCTCTCTCTTAGCCCAACCCCCCCTTCCCCTGATAGGGTTGTTTTGGGAAAAATTGAATTATTTATTTATTTATTATTTATTTATTAAATTTATATGCCGCCCCTCTCCGAAGACTCAGGGCGGCTCACAATACATTTTTAAAAATAATTATAAAAAAACATTGAAAAATTAAAAACATTAAAAACTCATTCACGCCATTCATGGCCGGATCTCGCCAGATCACAAGAGCAAAAAATTAGAGCAAAATAAAAAAATATTTTTATTTATAAAAATAATAAAGGCACGGTAGGAAATCTAAAATAAAAAGAAAATTTCAAAAACTGTCTGGCTGTTCAGAATGGTTTGAGAAGAAGAAAGAGCTGAAGAGGTTTTCTGAATCTTCCCTGTTTATTGCTGCTGCCTCAATTTCTTCCTTATCTAAAGAATCCAAATTTGATTCAGGATAAATACTAGCCAGTTTTTAATAAGATACTGGGAAACATTGCGGCTTCTCAAATCTTTACTGGTTCTCTGTTGTCCTAAACTTTTGGCATAGGTCCAAAATGATTTCCAGCTTGGTTTTGGAATAGAAGCAATCTGGGAAAAGACTTTAAAAAGCAAACATAGGATTCCTTACAGCCAGAACTGAAGCTCAAGTCATCTGGACCTTAATCCATCTTCAGCAGGAGGGCAGGTTTCCCAATGCTTGATTTCAAAGAGCATATTTTCTGAGCACAACAAAAGACTGCCTAAGCCCCTTTGTCAACAGATGGCACAGGTCTGATTGTGGAAATTGGATGGTGGTAAGTGGGGGGATGTTTCCAAAACATGAATAGAAAGCACCATCCACAATGTTCTCAAGTTGACCTGGCAAGCCTTGTGTCCTTGTCCACTTAACTGAAAGTAAGTTTTTTTCAGGCATAGAGACCCTTCTGTGCTACCTGGAACTGCACCCCTGTCACTGGGTAGAGCTGCTGCACCCCACTTTCTCTTCATGCCGGGTTTCGTGCTACAAAGGCCCTCAGCAGCTGCGGACGGTTTCTCGAAGGTGAGGAAAGGAAGTGGGGGAAAGGACCAAGCCAGTAAGAGAGGATGTCAAGAAATTGAGAAACAAGGCTCTTTCACAGCCGTGGCTCAAATCCAGTCACAACCGCAATGGAGCCCAAAATCTCTCTTGCTAAGCAAGGCAGTTGTTAAGTGAGTTTTGTCCCACTTTACGACCTTTCTTGCCACCGTTGTTAAGTGAACCACTGCAGTTGCAAAGTTAGTAATACGCGTCGTTAAAGTGAATTCGGCTTCCTCATTGACTTTGCTTGTCAGAAGGTTGCAAAAGGGGAATCGCGTGACCCCTGGACACTGCAACCGTCATAAATATGAGTCAGTTGCCAAGTGTTTGAATTTTGATCATGTGACCATCGGGATGTTGCAATGGTCATAAATGTGAAGAACGGTCAAAAGTCTCTTTTTTTCAGTGCCGTTGTAATTTTTAATGGTCAGTCAATGAATGTGTCAACTTTGAAAAGGATCGGGCCCGTCGCAGCCATTTTTTTAAAAAAAAATTGATTTATATGCCGCCCTTCTCCGGAGACTCAGGGTGGCTTACAATGCGTTAAGCAATAGCCTTCATTCTTTTGTATATTTATACAAAGTCAGCTTATTGCCCCCACAATCTGGGTCCTCAATTTACCTACCTTAGAAAGGATGGAAGGCTGAGTCAACCTTGAGCCTGGTGAGATTCGAACTTACAGTAATTGCAGACAGCTGGTGTTAATAACAGGGTGCTTTAGACCACTGTACTGCCAAGGCTCCATTTGTCTCCGTTTCTCAGCTTGACACACTTTGTGGGGAGGAGGCAGCTTTGAATTGTCAGACCAGACATCAACGATCTACTATCTCGTGGGAACCAAGGTCATCCCAACAGGTGTGGGTGAGAGACCGGAAGAGGAGTCCAAGGAGATGCCAGAACACCTAACTGGACCTCTGACAAGGAGGGAGGGAGGGAGCTGTCTAATCTTTCCTTATGCTGAAAGCGTGGGGAATAGCCAGAGCTGCTTTCAGCATCACCCTTGCTGAAATGATGTCCTCTTTGAGGAAGCTGAAAGTCTCAAGGGCGCTGACTCGTTGGGGTTCGTTAATCGGAACCTTCACAAAATGGTTGTAAGTGTGAGGATTACTTTTATTTAATCTTGCAGGCCAAAAATTCAGCACACAGAGTTGTAGGTTTGGGATGTGAATGAAGATGATTTGTTGCAGCTGCCCCAGTCCAGAAAACTCTAGATAGCTTAAAACACCTCAGTGTGCAATTTAAAACCCTTACAAACAACCACATAGCATAACAACCTGGACAAAAACAACCTGTAATAAAATGCAAATGCGACAGAGCACCCAGAAGGCAGGGAAGGGAGTTTCGCTGCAGTTGGCATTTTGGAACAATGGGCTTGAACATGATATTGCTGTTGTGTGCAAACATGCAGGCAAACTGGGGGCAGAAGGCACCTAGGTCAGATTTAACCAGTTCACCACCACCCTGGCAGCATTTTTATTATTTATTTTAGAGGTTTATAAGCCGTTTCAGTCAAAGCTGACTCCTTTAGACCAGGCGTCCATTGCTGTCCATTTGTGGCAATGGAACAGGGACGTGTCCCCAACCCCTGATCCATGAACCAGCAACGGTCCGCAGCATGCCGGCAGCAGGCTGTGCAAACAAGCGATGCCCCATCCATGGGATGCAGGCAGTACGCGAAACGATACGCCCCTCTGGTCTGCGGAAAAACTTCTCCCCACAGAACTGGTCCCTGGTGCCCAAAAGGGTGTGGGCAGCTGACCTAGGACAACATCTTAGATTACCAGCATTTGCCAAATAGAAGGCAGTATCCGTTGTGCCCTCTGCTGCAAGTGTGGGAGCAGGCATCATGGGTACAGATCCAGGCCAAAAGGAAGCCTGCCCATGTTCCTGGGACAATCTCAGGGTGGACCCTGAAACCCCACAGAACGTGGGGCTTTCGGTCACTGAATGCTACGCTTGGGATCTCTGGGTAGCTCAGGAGCCGCTATTAGGCAGCACATGGATAACGCACGTACCATCTGGGTCCCTTGGTGAGGAGCAGCTGCCAGTGAGATGGGACTGGGATGGCCCTCCAGTCCTACCCAGCTGGGCTTCAGAGTAGCCGGTTCGCTGGAAGGGATGAATTATTCCCTCTCATCTATCAGTATCCTCTCCCGGGCTGACCATCATTGCTTTATCAGAAGCCTGGCTTTTTCCTCAGGGGTAGGGCCAGGCGGTGGGTACAATCCACATGGAGGCTTTGATTGGATTGTAGTTTTTAGGAGCCTCAACTTCACTGCTATGTCGTTGTATATTTTTTGTGTCTTTATGTCTTGCATTATGAGCCTCTCAGTGTCACAAGACTGAGATGGGCCAATAGAGGGAGTCCTCAGCTTACAACCACAATTGAGCCCAACATTTCTGTTGCTAAGCAAGACAGTCAAATGAGCTTTGCCTCATTTTACAATCTTTCTTGCCACAGTTGCTAAGTGAATCACTGCTGTTGGTAAATTAGAATCTGGTTTCCCTGTTGAGTTTGCTTGTTAAGTCACAAAAAATGATCGGATGGTTGTAAGTCAAGGACTACCTATATATAAATTATGTAAACCAATATCGGGTTTTGCAGGTCGCCGTATTTATTATTTAATGGTCAGATTTATAAATCACCCATCTCCTTCACAGAGGAAGGTATTCGTATTTCCCCGAAAATAAGAACAGACCTTCGATTAATTTTTGCTCCAGCAAGGGCTTATTTTCCGGTTAGGTCTTATTTTCGGGGAAATACGATACTAAATGTGTCTGTCTGGCTGATGATCTTAACTGGGGCTTATTTTGGGGGGTAGGGCTTATATTATGAATATCCTGAAAAATTATGCTAGGGCTTATTTTCCGGTTGAGTCTTATTTCGGGGAAAATCTAGTATAGAAAAGGTATATGCTTGTTTCGTTCATGCTGTCAGGGTTCCAAGTAATACACCCATGGCAAGCAAAACTCCGAGGCAGGTAGATTCCTCAAACAATAGTTTTATTCGGGCTTATCATATTGGCACAGCTCTGGTGAAAACCGACTCTGCAGATTCCCGTGGTTTTCACCTAATTAAAAGCAAAAGTTTTCCCTCATCCCCAAACAGTCAGTCACATGGTCCAATCAAGGTGCCATCTGGTTGCCTGGTGACATCACTCCTCCTTCCTCTGACCAGGTGTGAGAACGTCCTTGGTTCCCAAGAGACAGTATATTGTTTTGGCTATAAAACCCCAACTATCTCTTAATTCCCCTAATTCTCCAGTGTGGCAGCACTGAAGTTTCCAAGATGGCTCCGGTCAGGTCAGCTTCAGGGTTGACACCTGCAGTCAAGTTTGCTTGGTAAGCATAGGGGGTTGACTCCTTCCTTCCTTGCTGTCTCTCCCTGCCTCCAGGTGCCCTCCACTCGCGGTCTGCTTGGCCCAGCAGCGCCTGAAAGGGGTGAGAGCCACCCAGGCTAGCTCTGTGGAGTTCGATGTCATTGCACTGGCCGATTCCATGGGCTGGGAGGTTCTGCCAGTCAAACGCGCCCTACGACAGCTGCAGTGGAGCAGCCCATGGCAGAACGGTAAGCCAGCGGGGAGCTTGGTCAACTGGTGTGCAGGGAGGATGGGGGGCTGTGTGGGGAGATTTTTAATCTGAGCTAGTTCTCAGTCACGGCCCAGAAAAGAAGCAGAGTCCCTGCATAGTGTTTGTCAATCATCCCTTACCTCTTCAGCACTAGAAGTCTCCTTGGTGGTCAGTGAAATGTCTGTGGAGATTCTCAATCATCCAGGACTTGGCAGTCCCAAAGGCACTTTTTCCAAAAGGCAACTGGATTTTCTTAGTTTTTTCATCTGGAAATATTTCACTTCTCATCCAAGGAAGCTTTAGTTCTAACTGACTGGTGGGAAATGGAATGTCTGTGTTAAAATTATGTATCAGTAAAGGAGAATATTTGTAGCTCAGGGTTGAAACGAGGAGTACTTGTTGCTCTGTGAGCTTTCTTGCAGATATTTCATGACCCAAATTAGGTGATATCGGCAGTGCTAGCATGATTTCATTATCCAAGTTTGGGTCATGAAATGTCTGCCAGAAAAGAAGCCAGCTGAAAGAGCACCAAGGACTCCCAAGGTATTAAAATTGATCTGTGTTAAAATTAGAGAATAGCCCCTCTCAACAAAGGGGAGGGATATGACTTTCATCTCCTGTTTACCAATCACAGTCCTTTCAGCAGTCCCAAGAAGGTTCCAGATCCATTTGCACTCTGGATTCAGGTGACCCTGAAGATAGAGATAAACCCCCAAGTGGCCTCAACGACTCTTAGGGTGCTAACGTCCAGATGACTGCAAAGAATATAAATCCTTCCATCCCCTGCTAGTCAGTTAGAACTGAAGAAGCTTCTTGGATGAGAAGGGGAAATGTTTTCGAAGAGAAACCCAAGAAAGTCCAGTTGCCTTTTGGACTTGCAGTCGGCTGTGTTTCAAGGAACATCTTCCCCCACCAAGAGGCAGTGATTCAGAACGTGCTGGAGGACCTGGGGATTTCGAGAGGTTGTCCACCATTTTCTTGTCCCCTTGCTCAGGTTCCCAAGGCTCCAGGAAGAGCGAGATCCTGGTGGAGTTCAGGGAGCTCTCCTTTCACCTGCGCTCCTACGGCGACCTCAGCGATGATGAGCTGGACGGGGTGTGTGACTTCCTGCACCAGCGAGTCACGGGTCGAGAAAAGGCAGGCCTCCGGCAGCTCCAAGTCTGCTTCCAGGCTTTCCAGAGGTGGGCAGTTGCAAAGAAGGAAGGGCCTGTAAACCCCACGGGAGGCTGGGTGGATTCTGACAAAATACGGACTTCACAGCTGTTTATTTAGTGACCGTTCAAAGTTAAAATGGCACTGAAAAAAGTGACTTGTGGCCCTTTTCACACTTATGACCGTTGCAGCATCCCCATGGTCAGGTGATTAAAATTCACACGCTTTGCCACTGACTCATATTTATGACGGTCACAGTGTGCCAGGGTCACCTGATCCCCTTTTGCGACACCTCCTGACAAGTCGAGTTGATGGGAAAGCCAGATTCACTTAACAACCATATTAGAATAGATTAGCCAGTTGCCAAAACCCCTGAATGTTGTTCATGGGGCTCTGGGAATGGTCATAAGTATTAAAACCGGTTGTAAATCACTTTTTCCAGTGCCATTGTAACGTTGAACGGTCACTAGCGGTTGTAAGTCGAGGACTCCCTGTGCTGCTGGACCTCCACTGTACTTACCTCTGTTGTGTGTCTGTGTCGTTTTCCACAGCGTGGCTTTTTCTACTTACGCCTCGTGCTGTGACCATGCAGACCAGGAGAGGAGCAGCCAGCTGAAGTCCCAGCTGGTGGCTTATTTTGAGAAGCAGCCGGTGCTGGATGAAACCTCTGTGGGTGCAGACTGTGGGGCTGATCATCTCCAGGATGTTCAGGTAAGGAAATCCAGCTTTTCGTCTACAGTTGGCGCCAAACCAGGCAGGCTGACAAGGTTCTATCCTGGTTGGCCTTCTGCAGATTGGTGGCTCTGCTAGGGGTCTTTGGGCGGTGGGGTCCTGATGCATATGGAGGGCCTCAGAGGATGGAGGTTAATCCAAGGGAATTTATTTATTTATTTTATTTAGATCAGGGGTGTTCAATCTTGGCAGCTCTACAACTTGTGGATTTCAACTTCCAGAATTCTTTAGACAGCATGGCTGACGGGGGAATTCTGGGAGTTGAAGTCCACAGTCTCGGACAGAGTTGAAGTCTTCCAAATTGCCAAGGTTGGATACCCCTGGTTTAAAACGCAACTGCCTATGCCCCAAATTGGCATCATTTGTGGAAATTCACTGCCTTTGCCTTGTACGTGTCCTGAAAAACTTCCAAAATTTCACCGCCTCCGTCTGGTTAATTACCCTTCTGTGTGTCATCAGGCACCGCCAATATTGCCATTCCCTTTTCTATATTTGGACTCTCTTATTATATATTTTATTATATTTTATATTTCTACATATTTGGACTCTTATTAGGCAGTACATTTTGACAGAGAAATTTCTAGTTAAAACGATTAGGGAGCAGGTGGCCAAATGTGGCTTTTTTCTGTCTAACATCCTTCAGAGCTGTTAGCAGAGTGGTGCGGAGGCCTAGAGGTGGAGCTCTCGCCTCAGAATCAGGAGACCGTGAGTTCAATCCTAGGTAGAGGCAGATATTTCTCTCTCTGGGCACCATGAGAATATATCTGCTGAACAAAACTCTGCATTGGCAACAGGAAAGGCATCCGGCCATTAAAACACTCTGCTAACTCCATTCAGTTGCCCAGACTCCACCCCTCAAGGGATTATGGTGTCGTTAAATGATGACGATGATCCTGCAGAGCTGTTATTAGCAGAAGCTAGTCTACCAGCCACTATCAGCATCATACAGAAAAAGACATTCCTTTTCTGGAGAACAACTTTGCTAACTGAAACAGTGAGCAATATTGGGCTAACATGCTACAAAAACTGCAGGCTAACTTGATGTGATTCTTCCCAATTATAGTTTCAGCAATGGGAACAGCAAATCCAGGCTGACATTCGCCACTTCCTCTCCATCCGTCAAGATGAAAAGTTCTCTGGGAGGGCTGTGGCGAGGATTTTCCATGGCATTGGTAAGGTTCCTCTAATAATCTGAACTGTGCTGAATTACACAGAAATGCACAGGTTTCTGTAGTGAGTTTTTGCTCAGTCATTTTAACAAGAGAGTTCAAGTCCCAGCATGTCACATGCATGTGGTTTTCTGGGCAACAATATGGAGGCGGTTTGAGTTTTTTTGTTAATCCAGGACTAATATGGTCCAATCTTTCTTGATTTATGAACTCATGTAAGGGAGGTTTGGGAGGAAACTCTGGAATGCAAGTGTGCTGCCTAGAAGCGCTCGACAGACCCAAACCCCAAGGTCATCGCCTGGGAATGTCCGAGGCTGGCAGGCCGTTTCCAAAATAAAGCAGGTGCAACCAATTGGTGGACAATGGGAGGTCTGGGGGGTGGCGGGGAGGAAAAGTTTTCCTTATGCTGTTTGCGTGCGAAAGTGTCAGAACTGGCTTTTCTAGTTCTGTATCCCCATGGCTTTTCAGTCAAGTTACACCCTTGGAGAAAAAAATGTCCCAGGAGTTTCTTTTGCTGTTTAATGCAATGGGATGGTTGGCATAATTATACACCAAGGGTCCTCAAACTATGGCCTACGAGCTGTATAAGGCCCGCCAAAACCATTGATCTGGCCCGCGCAGGACCACGAGGTTTCCCCGCCCACATTGCCCTGCCCAACTGAAAGGATGTCCCGGGAGGCCAAAAATGGGCCCATTTTTCACCTCCCCCACCTCCAGAAGATAGACAGAGGGAGAGAGAGAGAGAGAGAGACTTGTTGATTGTAAGCTCCTTGGGGCTGAGAAGAATTGCTGCAAAACTGACTTTCCTGAAGTGGACCATTAGACTCCTAAACAACTGAAAAAATGATCTAGTAAAAAGAAAAGGCAACCAAAAGAGCAACATGCAAACAAAAGCAAATCAAACACCCCCAGGAGCAAAACAGATTAAAGTTTAATTTGTGTAATTTGTTTAATGGAGTGTTAAATTGGCTGCGCCCACCTAGTCATATGACCTAGCCACACCCACCCACCCGGTCTGAGGGTCTGTGAATTGGCCCCGTTTAAAACGTTTGAGTGCCTGCTATACACCGATGCGCACAGAATGCTAAGTGTAAAAGCTCACCTATCTTTACTATATCTTTGCATAATGCCAATCCTGGGTTAATTTTTGTCGCAGTGCTTGCTTCATTGAGGTTGCTTTGTCTACACAGGGAGTCCATGCTACCCAGCTCAGATTTATGGCCGAGACCGTCGTTTCTGGAGAAAGTACCTTCACTTTGACTTCCATAAGATTATGCGCTTGGCTACAGAGGAGATCATCCGTTGGAAGTGAATTTTATCTGGGCAGAATCTGGAGAGGCGAAGCCCCACTGCACAGCTGCTTGTTCCCTCCCTTGCTTGTTGGCAACTCTGCAAGCATTACATTTCCAGAAGAGCTCTGGCAGCCAAATTTCTCCCTGGGCAATTGTCCAAGCTTTCTACAAAATAGTAGGTGGGGCAACTGAAGAAAGTTCTCCTGGCCTAAACAAGTTGGTCAAGAGTCCTTTAAAAAACTAATCTTGAATTCACTCCAAAAATATGAAATCCTACATATTTGGCAAAATCTTGAAGAGCGTTCCTTCACCTCGTGGCTTTCCCTTCCAGAATTCTGGCAGTGATGGGGTTGGGCTGTGGATTTAGGGAGTGGATAAGGCGTTGATTTATAATCTTCAATGTTTTTTGAAGAACAGACAGTTCCTCTTTCTGAGGAGAGTTGGAAGTCTTGATTTGCCTTCTGACATTTGAACTGGACAATGAACACACGTAGCCATATTAAGTAAACGCCTCTAAGGAAAAAGGGGAATGTTTTTGTACTGCACTAGAGGATTTTCCCTGGCAGAACTTGATTTTAATAAAACATTTTTTTTTTTACTTAACCTAACAAATCATTTTTGCTTCTTCTGTTCTTTACTATATAAACAGCATGAAGTTTTAAAATAAGTTTTATCTTTCTCATTTGAGTGGGACATTAAAGTTTTGTCTAAAAACGGTGCCAGGAGGGAGAGGGAGGGTAAAGAGACTCCTTCCTTGATATATCCTCTGAATCACAGAATCTGAGAGCTGGAAGGGGCCCTTGAGGTCATGGAGCCCAACCCCCTGCTCAATGCAGGAATTAAAGCATTCCTAAGACAGCCCCATTCCCTCCCCACCCCTTAGCCATGGGTTTCCCTGTCAAACAGGTTCCAGTTAAGTCGTTCCTAAAGTTGACCCCAGTGAGGATGTTAAGGGCTACCTGTGCTTCACCCACCCCTGCAAGGCAACGGCATGGCTCATCCAGCCTCACAGAAAATACCCAAGACTCTTGCAACAAACAAGGCAGATTTGAAAGTCCAGTGGAAAGCCAATCCTAAATTCTAGGAAAAAAGGCCTAGGTCAGTCTTTCATGAAATTTTTGTTAGTTGACAAGTCATTTTTTTTTCTCCTTCCCTCCAAATTTCTGATTGGTAATCCCCATGAAAAAAAAAATGATGCACTTTGAGCAAACCTAGACAGACATGAGATTTAAAAAAAAAAAAACTGGGCCAAAGGTAAGCACGGCTATTACGGGCAACCCAAAGTCCTAATTTCAAACGCTTTTTGCTATAACAAAGTAGAGGTAGTTCTTGGCTTACATCAGTTCATTTAGTGACCATTCTAATTGTGGGAGGAAATATCCCTCGGGTTCAGTTCCAAACTGGGAAAAAGACACTGGAAATATGGAGGCTGATTGGAAAGATGGTTTAAAGATGAACAGAACAGGGCCAAATTTTATATATTCGTTTTAAATTGTTTTTAAATTTTGTGAGTTCATATGTGTTTTAATATGGCTGAACACCGCCCTGAGTCCTTTGGGAGAAGGGCGGTATAGAAGTTTAATCAATTCAATTCAATTCAACCATCAAGCACGTGTGATTCTGGGTAGCTGACCACATGGAGTGGAGAGTGAGGGTTATTTTATACCCTCTTCTGGACTTTGAACTTGAGCTTCCTGTTCCTGGTGCAAGAACATGTATTCTATTGGCTGTTGTCAGATTCCTATGGGGTCATGTAAGGGTCATAGCTGGCTCTATAGGCAAAAGAGGAAATGCCAATCCTAGGTGCTTGTCTGAGCTAATCTGGTCAGCCTCTGGCTTATTGTTTATCTGAGCTCCCTTGCAAAGTCTGGACTGCTCTGGGATGATGCAATAGAAGGGGCTTGTCTTCTGAAAGGGTGTTGGGCAATTCCTATTGTGGCTTAATGGCTTTTCGTCCTGTGTTGGATCCTGGGGGAGGGGCTGCTTCTAACCCTACCATTCTGCCTTTGTTCAGACTTTGCTACAGGGAATTTTAAAATATCCTGTCTTGAATGGATTTCTGCCTGGAGTATTTGCTTTGCTTATGAATAGAGCCATCTAGTTGGCTGCTTCTTTCAATAAGCTCTTTTTTTCTCCTTAAGTGCTGACATCTGCTGTGGGCTATTAAGGAAAAGCGGGGACTGCTATCTGGCTCAAAAATACATGTTTCTCCATTTCTCCCTTTGCGGAAACATAATATTCTGCAATATTTCCCAAAATACGGAACGTAAGGAACAACGTGAAGTAAGATCAACTAGAGCAACAAAACCTACGTATAAAGTATGAACATGGAAGAAAGGAAATTAATTTCAATAAATGTAAATGGACTAAATTCGGCTATTAAAAGAAGGAAAGTATTTCATAAATTAGAGAAACTAAAATTTGACATAATTTGTTTACAAGAAGTGCATATTAAAAAACAGCATGAACAACTATTGATACAGCCAAAACTTGGAAGAACTTTTTTATCGCTATCACAAAGTAAAAAGAGAGGAGTTGCTTTATATATTAAAAATGCAATACTGGCAGAGCAAAACAGACGAAGAAGGTAGAATCCTGATGGTGGAATTAAGTGAAAATAATATGAAAATTCTAGTAGCAATATATGCTCCAAATGACAATCAAAGAGACTTATAGAAAATTACATAATAAAATAATTGAAATGGAATATGATAATATATGTATGATGGGAGATTTTAATGGAATTGTGGATGAAAGCTTGGACTATAAAACATATAAAACAACAAGACATAATAGAAAGACATTACCGAAATCTTTCTTTAAGATGATAGAGGATAGAGGAAACAAATATGAAAGATGTATGGAGAGAGAGAAATGGAAAAAATAGACAATATACTTTCTACTCTGATAGACATTCATTTTGGTCCAGATTAGATGTGATATGGACAACAATGGATTTGATGTTGAATATAGAACATGTGGAAATAAAATCTAATTTATGGGCAGACCACAATCCTGTGATAGTTATATGGAAAGGGAGGAAAAGAAGACCTAAATGGACTTTAAATACTACAATATTAAAAGAGAAAGACTTTGTACAGAAAATGGAAAGAGAGTTGGACTTTTTCTTTAAAGAAAACAAGAAGGAAGAAACATCGGCACAAAATCGTTGGGATACAATGAAGGCCTATGCTAGAGGATTAATTATAGACTATACAAGGAAAAAAAATATTAAGAAAAGACAGAACTTTAAAATACTGACTGATGACTATAAAAGATTTGAAAAGGAACTCCAGAAAGGTCCATATAAGAAAGATATCAAAATTAAAATGGATACAATAAAGCATAAAATGGACCTTTTGGAGAAAGAAGAATTAGCCCAAAAAATAAGAAGCACAAAACAGAACTATTTTGAAAATGCGAATAAACCAGGAAGACGGCTAGCATATAAATTGAAAAAAGAAAGAGAATCAAGAAAAATAATTCAATTAGTTGATGATCAAGGGCAAAGTAAATTTGGAAATAAAGAAATGGGGAAAATAATACAAGAATATTATGGACAACTTTACAAGAAAGAGATGATAGAAGAAGAAAAAGTGGCAAGATATATACAAGATGCAAAACTACCTAGGATCCCTAAAGAAATTGAAGAGATGTTGGAGGGAAGGACCATAACAACGATGGAATTAACAAGCAATCCAGAAACAGAAGAATGGAAAGGCACCAGGGCCAGATGGTTTACCTGCCGAATATTACAGGATATTACAAGAATCTTCAAGTCTCCCATTATTGGATGTTATGAATGAAGTGATGATAAAGAAGAAAATACCCAAATCATGGGCTGAGGCGTCTATTACTTTGATACACAAGGAAGAGACAAACCCGCAACAAATCAAAAATTACAGGCCTATTTCCCTGCTAAATTCAGATCATAAAATTTTTGCTTCAATATTGGCAGAAAGATTTAAGAGATATCTGAATAAGTTTATACATGCAGACCAGAATGGATTTCTCCCAAAAAGACAAATTAGAGATAATGTAAGAATAATTCTGGACACATTAGAATATTATGAAGCACATCCGGAAAAGCAGATGGTTTTGATATTTTTAGATGCACAAAAAGCTTTTGACAAAATTAACTGGCGATTTATGATATTTCAAATGGAAGAGATGGGCTTTAGTAGAAAATTTATTCAGGCAATTGAAGCTATATATTTTAAACTTGACGGCAAAAGTAATGATAAATGGTGAATTGACTGATGCTATCGAAATAGAAAAAGGTACTAGACAAGGATGTCGGCTGTCTCCATTGTTGTTTATATTTACTTTAGAAGTTCTAAATAGAAATATCAGAGAAGATAAAGAGATAAAAGGTATGAAAATACGAAAAGAAGAATATAAATTACAAGCTTTTGCAGATGACCTGGTCTTTATTATTGAAGAACCACTAATAACAATAAATAAACTGACAGAAACTATTGGAGAGTTTGGGAAAGTAGCTGGCATGAAAATTAATAAAGACAAAATGAAGATAATGACTAAAAATATGTTGAAAAAGCAAAAAGAGGAATTGATGGAGATTTCAAAGATGCAGGTCACAAAAAAGGTAAAATATTTGGGGACCTTCTATCATATGTGGTGGACCTGCCAAAAGGCAAAAAGGTATTGGTCTAGGATTCGAAATTGGCTAAGGGAAATAATTGAAGAGGAATTAGATTTATCCCCTGAAATATTTCTTTTGGGAATAATCAGGGATGGGTTTACCAAAGATAAAATCCAACTCATAATTCATATTACAACAGCGGCCAGACTAGTTTATGCGAAATTTTGGAAAGATAAAACTATACCACCAGAGGAAATATTAATAAACAAAATTTTAGAGTGTGCAGAAATGTCAAAATTAACGAATGAGCTAAATAACGAGAAATCAAGACACAAGATAGTATGGGAAAAGTGGTACGAATGGTTAAACAACAGGATAAAACCATGATTTCAGGGTATGTCTATTTCTTGCAATCTAAGTTTGAAGTATACCTGATGTATATTTTGTAAATATGTACAAACACTGCACCTCTGATTTTAGTAGAGATTCGATGCTTTTTGTAATTATAAAATTAATAAAGTATATATATATAAAAAATATTTGGGGATATATTTGACAGCAAGGTGTAGCAGACTTAAAGAAAATAATTATAATAAGCTCAAACAACAAATAGGGCAAGATTTGATGAAATGGGGAAATTTGCAGTTATCTTTGATTGGTAGGATCTCAACTATTAAGATGAATATTTTGCCTAGAATTTTGTATTTATTCCAGACAATTCCAATCAAGCTGGGGAAGGAATTCTTTGTAGATTTGAATAAAATGATATTGAAATATATTTGGCAGGGAAAGAAGGCGAGAATAAAGTTAAAGTTGTTACAAGATGCTAAAATGAGGGGTGGTTTTGGCTTGCCTAATTTTGAACTATATTATCAAGCAACAAGTTTAATGTGGATCAAAGAATGGATAACTTTAAGAAATACGAGATTATTGAACTTGGAGGGACATGATTTGTTGATGGGATGGCATGCCTTTTTATGGTATAAAGGAACCAAAATACAGGGGTACTTTAGAAGACATCAGATACGGGAAGCTTTGTGGTTGAATTGGGAGGAGGTTAAAAAACATCATTATTTGAAGATTCCAGTCTGGGTATCTACAATTGAAGCTTTTTCATATCCAGTAATATTTAAAGGGGAACAAATTGTTAGATATGGTGAGTTATTGGATGAAAAGGGTGAACTTAAGTTAAAGCAAGACCTAGAAGATCAGGGATGTAAGATGGATTGGTTTTCATATATGTAAATATTTTCTAGATATCGAGAAGATCTCAAACAAGGTTTTTATGTTTTGACTAATCTAGATAAGGTATTAATGGGTTCTGATGACTATGTAATTAAAAAGTTATATGGATATTTGTTAGAGGTAAAATTAGAAGAAGAACAAGTTAAAGAATCAATGATAGCATGGGGGAAACATTTTGGTTATGGTATTGATTTAGAGAAATGGCAAAAATTGTGGTCACATAATTATAAAATGACAATGTCTGCAGCATATAAGGAGAATTTGTATAAGATGTTTTACAGGTGGCATCTACCCCTGGCGAGGATAGCCAGAATGTTCAAGAATAAATCGGAGAAATGTTGGAAGTGTCATCAGACCCCAGGATATTACCATATGTGGTGGACATGCATAGAAGCAAGGAGATATTGGACTAAGATACAGACGTCGTTGGAAAAAAATGATAAAAAGACACATTGATTTTAAACCAGAGATATTTTTATTAGGGATCTTACCAGAGACATTCAATCGAGAATTGCAATATTTAATTGTGAATATTTAATTGTGAATAACAGCGGCTAGAATTGTATTTGCTAAAAACTGGAAAGGAGAGAAGATACTTACTGATGAAGAAATTATTAAGAAAATGCTGGACTGTGCTGAAATGAGTAAAATGACATTTGAAATAAGAGAACAGGAAGATAAACAATATTATTTGATACTAGCTGTACCCAGCCATGCGTTGCTGTGGCTCAGTCTGGTTAAATGGAAAAGAAAGAAAAGAGAAAGCGCACGTTTCTAATATGTTTAATTTCACAATGCTTGTGGGTATACAATATTTTTTGTTGTTCCATTGTCTGTGCAGATATAGAGATTGTCTGGTTTTCCGACTCTAGAACACGCAACATATAATTGTGTAGATCTAAACCGCACAATTCTAAAGATTGGCCTTGAGCTTTGTTGATGGTGATTGCAATGTTGATGGTGTGGTCGTTTCTCCATGAAATTTCAGAGCCTTGCAATAAGGACACAATTCAGTCATAGTGCTGATGAGAACATCCCGGCTCAAACTATAATCATCAGCTGGGTTGTATCGGAATGCAAGGCGATTGTAATCGCGTGATTGGTGAGCACGGAGTCGTGTTTGACGCTGATCTGCTGTTTCTAGTTGACGTCTTTCAGCCACTCTCAGCCTGTCGCGTTCATTCTGTTGAGAATGAAACCGACCTGAAGCTGCAGAACGCGATCGCCGTGCTCGCAACCGTGCATCCTCAAGTCTGGCTGCACGTCGCTCGGCTGGTTCCTCGGCACGTATTTGAGCCATTCTTTGTCTGTTTCGCTCGTTCGCTAATGCCCGTTCTTGTTCAGTTTGATTTGCAATTACTCGTCGCACTGCTTCCGCTCTGCGAGTACGACGACCTAAGTTTGATCTTCTGCGAGGCATTATTTGGATGAAGTAAAGCAGATCGATTGTGCTGAAAAAGAAGAAAGTTATAACAAAAACATGAAATTGCAAAACATTAAAAAAGCAAAAAACATGAAGTAAAAAGCAAAGAAAAAACAAACAAAAATACTAACGAAATATTTCAATTCAAACGCAGATCAATGGACTCCACAAGGCCAGGAGAGGCTGCCCTGCTCTCCGCTGCGAGCCGTTAACAAAGGAACGGTCTTACCGGTCGTTTCGCAGCCTGGGCTTGATCAGTGGAAGGAGGTGATTCCCGGCCTCCAACAAGGGCCGACACGGAGAGTGGTGGTTTGTTGTAGCAAAGCCCAGGGCCTGTGGGCCTGTGGCGTGAAATGGGATCGTAAGATTGGAAATTTGGAAATCATAAATGGATCGTAAATCGGAAACATTGAAATGGAATCGTAAAATATTTAGTATAGCGTGTGTTGCTTTTACGTCCAACAGATGGCGCTGTTTTGCAAAAAAGCATGTTTTTACCTGTCACAGGTAAAAAAACATCTATATATAGTCGGCATATAAAAACTTGCATATTCAAATGCAACGTTGTGTCAAAATTTCAAAGCAATCGGTGAAGAACTTTTGGAGATTTAAGATTTTGAACAAATGAACATTTACATTTTTATTTATATTATTATAGATTATAGATAGATAGATTGATGGGAGTTATTTTATCAATGGATAGACAATAAAACATGGAGATGAAATATGATATATGAAATGAAATTAAGATAAAATGTGTAAACACTTGTTTTCTTTTAGGGGAAAAGAACATTTGTCACATATTGATATTTTGAAGATTATGATTATGGGAGCACGAAAGGATTTTAACCGACCGAAACACTGCCTGTAATTGTTTTAAAGGATGGTGCTTTTATGTTGTTTTTGTTTGAAAATAAAAAAAAAATACTTTAAAAAAATACGTTTCTCCATTTCTCCCTTTGCAGAAATATAATATTCTGCAATATTTCCCAAAATATTTCTACATTTCTACAATATTTCACTGACTTTCTACATAAGTTGATTGATTGATTGATTGATTGATTGAGATTTATACGCCGCCCTATCTCCAGCCAGACTCAGGGCGGCTCACAACAGTAAAAGACATCTAATGAAAAAGTTAAAAAGAAATTAAATCCAAATCTCATAATTTAACAGTTAAAAGTGCAATTAAGACTAACAAGTTAAAAATTACATTACATCATTACATTACATTACAACAGAAAAGTTACATTTCTGAAAAAGTGACTTTTTCACTTTTCAGCCATTACAGCATCCCCATGGTCATCTGATCAAAATTTGGACACTTGGCAACGGACTCATACTTAGGACGGTGGCAGTGTCCCAGGATCATGGGATCCCCTTTTGTGACCTGACAAGCACAGTCAATGAGGAATCCAGATTCGCTTAACAACCACGTTGCTAACAACTGCAGGGGTTCGCTTAATATCCGTGGCAAGAAAGTTAAAATGGGGCAAAACTCACTTAACAACTGTCTTGCTTAGCAACAGAAATTTTGGGCTCAAATGTGGCCGTATGTCGAGGACTACCTGTACAGATTTCTAAATCTGGGGTGGAAGATGATTGGGGCGAGTGGGCAATAGACCATTATTGTAGCCAGAGGTGGAATTAGTGAGGGAAGTTAGAAGCCAATAAAGGAGAACCTTTGTAGTTCAGAGTTGAAATGATGGGATCTTTGGTGCTCTCTGGTGATTTTCTTGCAGACGTTTCATTACCCAACCAGGTAACATCATCAGTACTAGAAGGGAGTAAGGTGTGGAGAGGAGGAGGAGGAGGATCTTCTGCTTGAGCAGGGGGTTGGACTAGATGACCTACAAGGGCCCTTCCAAATCTGTTATTCGGTTACGAGCAGGAGGAGGACTGTGGGGTCCTTGGTGCTCTCTGAGCTTAGTTATTTTCTTGCAGACGTTTCATGACCCAACTAGGTAACATCATCAGTGTTAGGAGTGGGGTTTACACAGAGGAGCAGTAGCGGGAGGAGGGAAGCAAGGTTTCTTTCTTGCAGACGTTTCATTACCCAACTAGGTAACATCATCAGTTCTACTGGGGTTTTGCTCTCAATTTATATTCAAGAATTTCGGTCCTGCCCTCGGGCAACCCAAAGGGATAAACAGAGTTGGAAGGGACCTTGTAGGTCATCTAGTCCAACCTCCCGCCCAACCAAGAGACCCTTTGAAATCGGGGCTCAAAGACCGCAGCCTCCGCCGAAGGAGGGAAGCGCTGAGCCGGAACCATCGTTCCTGGAATTATTTCCCCGCCGGAGCAGGGAACCAAGAGTCTACGATATTTATGCAGAGGGTTTCCTCCTTCCGGGTTTCTGCCCGCCTCTTCCGGTACTTCTCGCAGCTCAAGAGGCATTTAACATAGAGAGGTGAAACTCAGAGCGCCCCTTTAGGACCAGAAGAGGCCAATGGGACGCTTTCATTCCACAGAGCGCCGCCCCTCCTTCCTCCTCCAGCTTCCCAGCGGATTGAATCAACACGGGCGACAGTCTATGTCTCTCCTATTCTTTTCCGTTCCAGCCTGCCGTCCTTGTACGTCACTTCCGCTTTCTTTATGATCAAGAAGCCCGCTTTCCCTCCGCCCAGCGCCCCCTGCCGGTTACAGCGCGGAAGGGGTCCTGGAGCGGAGTTGCCGTGGCAACGCCGGGGGGCAATGGGGCTTCTTGGAAGGGGCGCCAGGTTGGGGAAGCTGGCTTGGCCTGCCTTAAGCAACAGCCCCTGAAGGCCTTTCTATCCAAGTGGGGTCGGCTCCTCCCTTGGAGACGTCAGCTGGGCGGCCGTCTCCTCCAGTGGTAAGGAGTTCCGCAGGCTCAATGCGACCCCGACCCCGGTTTTGTTGGAGGGGGCGGGGTGACTTCCTGGGGGCTCATTAGAAACCAGGCAGAATTGTTTAAAACATTGTTTTCAAACTGGGCCATTGGAAGAGGGGGGGGACTTCAACTCCCAGAATTCCCCAGCCAGCAAAGCTTTGCTGGCTGGGGAATTCTGGGAGTTGAAGTCCCCCCCCCTCTTCCAATGGCCCAGTTTGAATAACCCTGGTCTTAAAACACAGGTAGTCCTCGACTTAACGACCACAATCGAGCCCCACATTTACATTGCTAAGCGAGACGTGTGAATTGATCATTGGCCCCTTTTTCGACCTTTCTTGCCACCGTCATTAAATGAATCACAGCAGCTGTTAAGAAGGTTCACAGTGTGGACCCCAGGACATTGAAACCGTCGTATGTATGAGTCACTTGCCAAGCGGCTGAATCTTGATCGTGGGAACATGGGTGGGGCTAGGGGTGGGGTGTTGCAACGGTCATAAGTGTGAAAAATGGTCATTATGTTGGTGCCTTTTGTCACTTCGAAGAACTGTTGAAAAAGAACTGTTGTAAGTTGAGGTCTACCTGTAAAAGGGCAGGTTATTTTATTTATTAAACAAATTAATTTAATTTTAATTTAATTTAATTTAATGAATGCAGTCAAGGAAAAAGAGAGTGTCTTGTGGCTGGCTAGTCTTCCCCCCCCCTTTCTCCCCCCTCTTCTTTTACAGGGAATCCTGCAATCCCGAGAAGCTGGCTTCCAATAATCTAATTACTTCTCACAATACTTCCGTCTTTTTTCCCCCTCCATTCGCTGGGATGTTGTGAAAGCTATTTAGGATGGCATTAGATTGTATAATGAGAATAATGGGGGAAGGCCAGTAGAGCAAAAGGAAGAGACTTTCTTTCTTGAAAATAAAAGTTATCTTTAAATCTTTAAATGAAAATCCCGCCACTCCAGGAAGGAAAGATGATGACTATGGAGGGGAGGGAGGTGTCCATCCACCCCATAGTCATCCATCTTTTCTTCCTGGAGTGGCGGGATTTTCATTTAAAGATTTAAAGGTAAGCTTTATTGTCGTTTTTTTACTGTGGGCACACTGGCACACATTAAAAATGAGATTCTGTTGCTTCCTCTCAAAAGTGTACACATACATAATACACATATACACACAATATGTATATATATACATCCTGGTTTACGTAGGTAGAACCTGGCTAAAGAGACATACACATAAAACCTACGAAAAAGAAAGAAAAATATTGTACCTTTACAGGGAGGATACATGAGATGAGGGTATGGCTAGCTGATGAGAGCTAAATAGCTTGAAATAGATCTATACTAGTCTCCCTTTATTTCTTTATCAGCGAAATATAAATTTGGTATAAAATGGTTTGTCATGAATGCGACTGCTTGAGGGCTCCTGGATTGGAGCTGAAAGGCGAAAGGGATGCACTATGCTCCCTCCCACATGCTGGGGTAGACCAGGTGCCTTGATAGAAAAACTATTTATATATATATATATATATATATATATAGAGAGAGAGAGAGAGAGAGAGAGAAAGAGAGGGGGGGAGAGAGCATAGAATAGAATAGAATAGAATAGAATAGAATAGAATAGAATAGAATAGAATAGAATAGAATAGAATAGAATTAGAATGGAATAGAATAGAATAGAATTAGAATGGAATGGAATTGGAATGGAATTGGAATGGAATGGAATGGAATGGAATAGAAATTTTTATTGGCCAAGTGTGATTGGACACACAAGGATTTTTTCTTGGTGCATACGTTCATCAAGAATCATAAGGTACAACACTTAATGATAGTCGTAGGGTATAAATGATACAAGCAACAAAATTACAGTCATACAGTCATAAGTGGAAGGAGATGGGTGGTGGGAACGATGAGAAGATTAATAGTAGTGCAGACTTAGTGAATAGCTTGACAGTGTTGAGGGAATTATTTGTTTAGCAGAGTGATGGCGTTCGGGCAAAAACTGTCCTTGTGTCTAGTTGTTCTGGTGTCCAGTGCTCTATAGCGTCGTTTTGAGGGTAGGAGTTGAAACAGTTTATGTCCAGAATGCGAGGGGTCTGTAGATATTTTCAGGCATACATACAAGCATATACATATATACATATATATAGGTATATTGTATACTGCAGGAGTCAAAAAGAGGGCTGTGAAAATAACTACAGACAGACCCCTCACATTCTGGACATAAAGTGTTTCAACTTCTACCCTCAAAATGATGCTATAGGATAGGGCATTGCACACCAGAACAACTAGACACAATTTAACCCCCCCACCGACCATCACTCTTTCTCTTCTCAGGTTCCCTTCCCAAGGCTATCCTCTCTAAGCCGTTCTCGACTTACAACATTTCATTTAGTGACCATTCGAAGTTACACTGAAAAAAGGGACTTATGACTGTTTTCCACACTTAAGACCGTTACAGCACCCTCTGTTCACGTGATCGAAATTCAGACGCTTGGCAACTGATTCATAGTTACGACCGTCGCAGCTGCGATGCTCTGACAAGCACGTTCAATGGGGTAGCCAGATTCACAGAACAAGTGTGGCAGGAAAGTCTGTCAGATGGGGCATGGAAATTCACTTAACAGCTCTCTCACTTGGCGATAGAAATTTTATGGTCGTAAAGTCAAGGACTCCCATGATCCACCGCTTTCCGCCTGCCCGTCTTTCTTTCTCTGCAGGGTGGACCGGGACCGAAGGATGAACTTCAAATACTGGTTTCTCTTCCTGCTGTATTTCGTGCAAGGAATCCCTTACGGGCTGCAGTCTGGACTCTTGCCGATCTATTTCCGAATCGTGGGCCTCTCCTTCACCAAGATCAGCCTGACCAAGCTGCTTTATCTGCCATGGTTCCTCAAGGTCTTCTGGGCCCCCTTTGTGGACTGGTATTTCTCCAAGAAGACCTGGCTGATCTTCACCATGTGCGGCTTGGCCCTGACCTGCCTGGCCTGTTCCTTCCTGACCCCAGAGGCGGACTTCCTCGCAGTGGCCTTCGCTCTGCTGCTCATGAACCTCTTCGCTTCCGTCCAGGACGTGGCGGCCGACGGGATCGCCATCCAGATGTTGGGAGCAGAGGAGGTGGGCTTTGGGAATAGCATCCAGGTCGTGGCCTACAAACTGGGCTCCGTCCTAGCTGGAGGCGGCCTGCTCACTTTCCTCCATCACCTGGGCTGGGGACCCCTCTTCGTCTACCTGGCTCTGATATACGCCGCGGCCATCGGTTCACCTCCAAGTTTCCTCTCGGGTCCCCTCCTCAGGACAGGCTGGCCAAGGACAGCAGCTTAAGCCTTCCGGCTTTTTTGCATGAGCTTCTCCTTGTGCCGGACACGCTGTGGACCGCTGGCTTAGTCCTCATCTACAAGTTGGGTGAGTCTTCCCCAAAGCGAGGAACGGTGGAATTATTTGCGGAGAACCTTGCTAACACAATTAGTCCTTGACTTACGACCACGGTTGAGCCCAAATTTTCTGCTGCTAAGTGAGACACTCGTTAAGGTTTGCCCCTCCCCACCTCTTACAATCGTTCTTGTCACTTTTGTTAAGTGAACCACCGCAGTTGATAAGTGAGTAACCGGCTTGTTAAGCGAATCGGGCTTCCTCATGGACTTGGTTGTTGAAAGATCGCAAAATGGAATTAGGTGACCCCAGGATGCCACGACGGTCATAAATGTGAGTTAGTTGTCAAGCATCCGAATGTAAATCATGACTAACCATGGGGATGCTGCAACGGTCATAAGTGTGAAAAAGGCCCTAAGTCTCTTTTTCAGTGCTGTTGTAACTTTGGTCACTAAGCGAACTGTTGTAAGTCGAGGACTGCCTCTGTCTGTTGTTTGTGGAAGAGGATTTGTATAGCAGGCCAGTTTATTTATTTATTATTTATTTATTTATTTATTTATTTATTTATTTATTTATTTATTTATTTTATTTTATTTTATTTTATTTTATTTTATTTTATTTTATTTTATTTTATTTTATTTTATTTTATTTTATTTATATGCCGCCCTTCTCCGGAGACTCAGGGCGGCTTACAATGCGTTAAGCAATAGCCTTCATATTTTTGTATATTTATACAAAGTCAGCTTATTGCCCCCACAAACTGGGTCCTCATTTCACCTACCTTAGAAAGGATGGAAGGCTGAGTCAACCTTGAGCCTTGGCGAGATTCGAACCTGCAATAATTGCAGGCAGCTGGTCTTAATAACAGGGTGCTTTAGACCACTGTACTACCAAGGCTCTGGTAGTTTGGGAGATCATCATCATCATCAGATCTTTATTTGCTCACCGACCAGCAGGTAAACCACAAAAATCATTCATTCATTCCTTGAAATTCAATATAAGAGAAAAATATATATATACATATAAAATATCTAACAGGGGTCAGAATCAACCCTGCAAATGTGTGCAGTTCAAGCCTGTGCAGGTCTCCTCATAAGAATTCATATTTGGCCACGGCACTTTCAGACCAGCTGTTGCAATAAGGATTTCACTTCTGGGTGTGTTTGGTGGGGAAAACTTTTCCCGTCTCTCGGATGTCCTTCAGGTGAGGGAATACAGGCAGTCCTCGACTTACGACCACAATGGAGCCCAAAATTTCCATTGCTAAGCGAGACATTTGTTAACTGAGTTTGGCCCCGTTTTACGACCTTTCTTGCCGTGGTTGTTAAGTGAATCGCCGCCGTTGTTAAGTCAGCCACCCGTTGTTGAGCGAATCCGGCTTCCCCCTCGACTTCGCGTATCAGAAGCTCGCAAAAAAGGGATCACATAACCTGCTATGCTACTGCAACCGTCATAAATATGAACCAGTTGCCAAGCATCCGAATCTTGATCACGTGACCATGAGGATGCTGCAATGGTCAAACTCTGAAAAATGGTCATAACACTGTTTTTTTGTCGACGTTGTAATTTTGAATTCTCGACTTGTAATTTTGAATGTCACTAAATGAAGTCGAGGAGGACTACCTGTATACATAAACACCAGTGGTGAAATGTAAATTTGTTATTACCAGTTCTGTGGGCGTGGCTTGGCGGGGGGGGGGGTGTAATATGACTGAGTGGGTGTGGCCAACTTTTTTTTTTTTTTAACTTTTAAAAGCATTTTTTCTACAACCACTTTGGCTAAAAATGCTTTTAAAAGCCTCTGATGATCCCAGCTGAGCCGTGTGATCATCAGAGGCTTTTTTTTTTTACTTTTAAAAGCATTTTTTCGGCCAAAGAGGTTGTAGAAAATATGCTTTTAAAAGTAAAAAAAAAAAAGCCTCTGATGATTGTGCGGCTCAGCTGGGCATGGGGGGCAGGGGGCAGGGATTTTTGCTACTGGTTCTCCGAACCACCCGCCTCCATCGCTACCGGATCGGGCGATCCGGTCCGAACCGGGAGCATTTCACCCCTGATAAACCCCCCCTCCTCCCATACCCATACATGCACACACACACATATATATGCTGTATTTACACACACAAATCACAGTCCATTTTAAACACATATATAAAATATGCCTAGCTTGGTTCCCTCCTGAGGCTCAAAACCTTGGCTGAGTATTCTCAATCATCCAAATGACCCTTGTCCCAAAATGCTTTTTTTCAAAAGTCAACTGGACTTCCTTGGGATGTTCTTCTTTTTTTTTTTTTTCCTTTGAAAACATCTGGCTTCTCATCCAAGAAGCTTTTGGGCGACCTGAGAACTGAACTACTCGGATGAGAAGTGAAAGAAAAAGAAAGTCCAGATGCCTTTGGGACAATAGCTGACTGCAGAAAGCCGTATCGTCTGCCTTCCTCGGTCGTTTTGTGCTATGAACCACATTTTCCAAACTGCAAGAGCCAGTAAAAGAGAATATTTGCCACTTGGGGTTGACATGAGGGGTCCTTGGTGGTCTCCAGGCTTGGTGGTTTTCTTGAAAACGTTTCGTTACCAGACTAGGTAATATCATCAGTGCTAGGAGGTGCAAGAGCCTGGTGGTGCGGCAGACTAAAGCACTGTTATTAACAGTTATTAACATCAGCTGCCTGCAATTACTGCAAGTTCAAATCTCCCCAGGCTCAAGGTCGACTCAGCCTTCCATCCTTTCTAAGGTAGGTAAAATGAGGACTCAGTTTGTGGGGGCAATAAGCTGACTTTGTATAAAATATACAAAAGTATGAAGGCTATTGCTTAGCACATTGTAAGCCGCCCTGAGTCTTCGGAGAAGGGCGGCATATAAATCAAATTAAAAAAAAACAAAACCCTTCTAGCACTGATGGTGTTCCCTAGCTGGGTCGTGAAACGTCTGCAAGAAAACCACCAAGCTCGGAGAGCACCAGGGACCCCTCAAGCTGCAAGAGCTGCGTTCACAGATCTTGCTAAATTACACTGCTTAGTCTGATGAGACCCAACTAAACCTTGAAATTCAAGACATAATTTCTCTTGGCCTTTCTCGGACTCCCCCATCTGGGCCGCCCTCCCCAGATCCCTTCCCATGTGCCTCAGAATAACAAGAGTTGGAAGGGACCTTGGAGGTCATCTAGTCCAACTCCTCGCCCAAGCAGGAGAGCCTACACCATCTCTGAATAGATGGCAGTCCAGTCTCTTCTTGAAAGTTTCCAGGGATGAAGCTCCCACAACTTCTGAAGGCAACTTCTCTTCCATGGGTTGATGGTTCTCAATGTCAGGAAATTCCTCCTTATTTCCAGGTGAATCTCTCCTTGGTCAGTTTCCATCCATTGTTCCTTGTCTGGCCTTTGGGTGCCTCGCCAGGAACTGAACCCCAGTTCTCTCCGCAGGTGAACAGGGGTCGGTTTCCATGTTCCCCCTCTTCCTCCTAGATCACAGCTTCTCTCCCCAAAAGCTTGGCTTCTGGAACGGGATTGTGGCCACTGCCTTTTCCATTGCAGGCTCTTCCCTGGGGGGCCACTTGATGTCAGACGGCAGGTAAATGATGGAAAGTCTTTTCTCTCTTCCTTGGAAATCAGTCTCTCCCTGGGATCGTGGGATTTAGAACCCGGCATCCCCAGAAGGATGGTGGAATCGCTCCCTTTCTTAATCTATTCCTCTCTCTCTCTCGCTCTCGTTTTTGACAGTGGCCCATGAGGAGGGGGAACATTCAGCAGGCCTAACCTCTCTTTTCCAATAAAGGAGAATGTTTATAAGTTGAGGGTTGACAGGAGGGTCCTTAGTGCTCTCTGAGCTTGGCGCTTTTCTTGCAGACGTTTCATTACCTGACAAGGTAACACCAACAGTTCTAGAAGGGAGTGGGGTTTGGGTCTCTGTTTATATACAGTCCCTTCTAGCACTGATGATGTTAGCTAGTTGAGTAATCAAACGTCTGCAGGAAAATCACCAAATTCAGGAGAGAACCAAGGAGCTCATTGTCATTTTCCTCCTCCTCCTCCTCCTCCTCCTCCTCCTCCTCCTCTCCTCCTCCCCTCCTCTCCTCCTCCTCCTCCTCCTCCCTCCTCCTCCTCCCTGCAACCCCCCCTCCCTTCTAGCACTGATGATGTTCCCTAATTGGGTCATGAACAGGGTGGATTTGATTTAAATCAAGTCAGTTTAAATCATGATTTAAATCCCTAGTAAAAAGGCTTGATTTAAATCAGCTCGATTTAAATCACAATTTTTAAAGAGCAACTGTCACCTCTGCTACTCCTTTGACCCACTGTTGACTCACCGATAGTACCAGTGTTGCAGAATATACAGCCTCCTGCTACATAACTAAGCTCCATTTCATGCTGAATAAACTCAATTATTTATGTATCTTAAATAGAAAACTATCTTACAATAGATTTTTACCCCAAAAGTTTTTTATTAAAATAAATTCGATTTAAATAAAAAAAATCCAATTTAAATAAAAAAATCCGATTTAAATCAAAAAAATCTCATTTTTAAAAAAAAAAATTAAAAAAATCATTGATTTTTATCCACCCTGGTCATGAAACATCTGCAAGAAAACTAAACTCAGAGGGCACCAAGGACTATAAAGTCCTCCTCTTCCTCCTCTTCCTCTTCCTCCTCTTCCTCTTCCTCTTCCTCCTCCTCCATCTCCCCCCTCCCTCCTCCTCTACTCTGCAAAGCCCACTCCCCTCTAGCGCTGATGATGTTATCTAGTTCGGTCATGCCACCTCTGCAAGAAAACCACCAAGCCCAGAGAGCACCAAGGAGCCCTCTTTTGAGACTCATGGGAATTCGCTTCCTCCCTCCCCCACCCCAAAAGAATGAAGGGGGGAAGTGCTCTGAAAGTCCAGCAGAATTAACTACAAACTTCAGAGTCCTTCCGTCCGAAAAGCCCTTCCTTTGGGGAACATCTGCTACTGAACCCAGGGCTGTAACTAAGGAGTAGTCCTGGTACTTTGGAGCCCCTACAACCCACCTCTCGACTTCCTTCCTTTCTTTCTTTCCAGAGGAGGGCCTTTTTTGCATCCTGGATGCAATTCCTGGTTCGTTTTCCCCACCCTGGCCACCAAAGCATCGTAGGCCAGAGGTCTTGAAACTTGGCAGCTTTAAGACTTGTGGACTTCAACTCCCAGAATTCTCCAGCCAGCGTAGGTACGCTGGCTGGAGAATTCTGGGAGTTGAAGTCCACAAGTCTTAAAGCTGCCAAGTTTCAAGACCTCTGGCCTAGGCCTTCCCCTGAGCAAACTCGTAATGCCCTTAGATTCTCCTCTGGTTCCATTCTGACCTCTCCGGTTGTTCCCCCTCCATCAGGAAATCCGACTCCCTGCAAACCTTGCTGGTCCTTCGCTTCTGCAACCTCCTTTTCCAGACCTGGGTGATGGTCGCCTACACCGACCACGCAGCTGCCTTTGAAGGTGAGTCAGGTCCCATCCAGGGCAGGAGCTGTTGGCCCACTCTGGCTCCAGAAAGGGAGGCTTCGGCACGCAGGAGTCCCCAGGTCCCACTCGGGAAGAAGAAGACGCAGAATTTGGGGAGCCTGATCCAAAAGTGAGAGGGGAGGAAAGAGGTAGCCATCCTGGTTTGTACCGGAATGACCAAGAGTATGAGAAAATGACCCTGGGGTAGGCCAGCAGGGTCTGACTTTTGCCCTCTGTTCAGGGTTGTGGGGTTGTGGCAGCAGAGGTGCATTGGACGAATAGCAAAATTGGGAAAAACCAAATTACAGAGTTGGAAGGGACCTTGGAGATCATCTAGTCCAGCTCAAGCAGGAGACTCTGTACCATTTCAAACAAGTCTCTTCTTAAAAACCTCCAGGGATGGAGCAGCAGAACTTCAGGTGGCAAGCTGTTCCACTGGTTAATTGTCCTCACTGTTAGGAAATTTCTCCTTAATTCCAGGTTGCTTCTCTCTCTGATCAGTTTCCATCCGTTTCTTCTTGTCCTGCCCTCAGGTGCTTTGGAGAATAGGTGGACTCCCCTCTTCTTTGGGGCAGCCCCTCAAATATTGGAAGACTGTTATCATGTCCTCCCTGGTCTTTCTTTTCTCTAGACTAGACCTACTCAGTTCCTGCAATCATTGTTCATATGTTTTATTTCACGTCGCTGGTGGCTCCTTGATGGCAACAATCTACCCGCTTGCTAGATTCCTAAGAAGGCCCTAAGCACCCTCAGGAATCCGTCAGCATCTACTTTTTTTTCCCCAAATTTTTTTAAAATTTTTTTTAAACATAAAACATGAAATACATCTTTTTAGAGCAAGGGTTTGATCCGGCATAAAATGAGTACAATTATTCACATTCCCTCAATCTATTTTGTTCCAAATTTTATCCATTTACATCTTAAAAAGAAAAAAAAACTTATTCTAAACATTTATCATTCTACTATTACACCCAAAATTCTAAACATTAAACACCGTTCTAAATCTTTATCATTTTTAACAATCAATATTTCATATATATTCCTCAATCCTAAAACCCATTACCTCAAATCTATATTTTACTTCTCTTAAATGACATCTAATATCCATAATCTTAATAAAAAAGTATTTTCCTCCTCTCTTAAAGTCATTTCATAAACAATCAACATTTCCTTCTATAGTTTGTTACTTCCACAATACTTTTATTTTATTTACTTTAAGTTTATTCTCGTGTTTTATTGAATCTAATTTTTAACTGGTTCATAGTTTAAGTATCTAATTCCCAGCTGTATTTTCCAATACTCCTGTCTGTATTTATTTAAACTGGTTCACAGTTTAGCTACTATTCTCCAGTAAAATCTCTTCTACTTCCTCCTAAATTTATTTTTTAGCTGGTTCGCATCTTAAATCGGCTGCTTTCCAGCAATGCTTTCCTCCATTCCCCTCAGCATCTACTGACCACCAGGGACAGGAAACCTAACAGCCCAGATCATACCTTGGACTACCTTGGACTAGAAGACCTCCAAAGTCCCTTCAAGCCCTGGGATTCTATGGGTTGAGAACATAACCCATAACTGGCCTTGCTGTCCCATTTTATCACCGTGGGGGTGTTCTGTCCCCGTCCCACACACGCACCCCCACAGACGGCCCGGAGTTAATAAGCCACACGACAAAATCTTTGAAGATAAATCTGGCAGCAACCCAGTGGCTAGCTGCCAATTCAGACTTTACTCACACAAAACAAAGATTAGACTGCAAGCATTCCGATAAAGCAGGCAAAGTTTCAGCAATACAAGGATTAGTCCAAATGCAGTCCGACAAGGCAGGCAGAAGTCCAGTAACGCAGAGATCATGGATTATTTCCAGTTTTTGCTTGTCACAAACTGAACCGGCCACCACACCCACATTTATACGCTGTGGGGTGTGGTCCAGTGACTCAGCTAATCTCTGGCACGCCTTCCCCTCTGCTGCTTCTCCCTGCGGCGCTGCCGAGGATCCAGCCAGCACTTATCTCCTTCGTCACTGTCCACCTGTGGCTGCGGGGACGTGCTTGGCTCTGGGCCTATCTCTTGGCCTTCAGTGTCCTCCGGAGGCATTGCCAGAGAGGAGGGTCCTGGAGAGGGAGGCCTTGCCAACTCCTCTCCCTCACTCTCAGAGTCTGCATCTGTCGATAGCCCAGGCTCAGGCAACGGAGCCACAACAGGGGGCTGCCTTTCCCGATTCGAAGCTTCAGCTCTCCCTTGTTGCTGCAAGTCGAGCAGCTGCTCGGGCCATCCTGCACCTGGACTGACGGGGCAACCTCTCGTTGCAGTGGCCGCGGTGCTGAGCCTGTGCATCCAGCACTTCATCGGGGGCCTGATCACCACCCTGGTCTTCAGCAAGATGATGCTGTGCACTCAGAAGGGCCCCAGAGAAGATCCAGGTGGGTTCTGCTTTCGGAGTCTCAGGCCTTCCCACCACGGAATGTCAGACTTCCAAGTCATAGATCCATTGCAAGCAAGAACTCCGAGGCAGGTAGATTCCTCAAGGAATAGCTTTATTAGGGCGTATCCTATGGGCACAGATCTGGTGAAAACCGGGGGGGTGACTCACTTAACTGTCTCGTTTAGCAGCAGAAACGTCAGGCTCAATTGCGGTCATAAGTCGAGGACTACCTGTTGTCCAAGCACGAGATGACCAGGGCAGGAGTGACTCCCTCCTCCCCCCCCTCCCTGCTGGAGGGGAGGGCTGTCCGCACTTCCTGCTCTGCTTCCCTCTCCTTATTACAGATTCTCAGAGTTGGAAGGGACCCTGGAGGTCATCTAGTCCAACCCCCTGCCCAAGCAGGAGACCCTGCATACACCATTTCTGACAAACAGCAAATTTCTCCCCACAGGCCACCCACTACAGCCTTCTGGCCGCTATCGAGGTCCTGGGTAAAGTGGCTTTCAGCACCGTGGCAGGTAGCCTGGTGGACTGGCTGGGCTTTCCACACACCTTCGGCGTCTTCCTCGCCCTCTCCTTTGCCTCCGTGCTGTACACGGTCTGAGCCACGATGGGCAGCGGCCGTTCTGGCAGGATCCGTCCAGTGTCACTGGCCAAAGGGAGAGAGAGAGAGAGAGAGAGAGGTCACCTCAAAGAGAAGCCCAGGGAAGTCATGGACGTCTCATTAAAGCAACCGCCTCACCCAACTTCTCCCTGGCCAGTCCTCCTTGGTAAGGGGAGGGAGTATCCCTCCCGTGAGCCACATCAGAGTGTCCGGATGGGGAACAGAGGTTGCTGTGCAGAGTTTAGGTAGTAATCCTTTAGGGTTCAAGGTTGCCTCCCATCCTTCCGAGATGGGTAAAATGAGGACCCAGATTGCTGGGGGCAAGAGGCTGACTCTGTAAACCGCTTAGAGGGGGCTGGAAAGCACCGGAAGCAGTATGCTATTGCTAAGTGGGAGGGAAGGGAAGGGAAGGGAAGGGAAGGAAGGGAAGGGAAGGGAAGGGAAGGAAGGAAGGTAGGTAGGTGGTGATGCAGTAGTTAGAATGCAGCATTGCAGGCCAGCTCTGCCCACTGCTAGGAGTTCAATCCTGACCCGTTCAAGATTGACTCAGCCTTCCGTCCTTCCGAGGTGGGTAAAATGAGGACCCAGATTGTTGGGGAGGCAAGAGGCTGACTCTGTAAACCGCTTAGAGGGGACTGGAAAGCACTGTAAAGCAGTATATAAGTCTAAGGGTTAGTGTTAAGTGGGAAGGAAGGAAGGAGGAAGGAAAGAGGGAGGGAGAAAGGAAAGAAGAAAGCTTATGGAATGAAGGAGAGAAGGAAGGAATAGAGCACTAGGAAAGAGGGAGGGAGAAAGGAAGGAAGAAAGCTTGAGGAATGAAGGAGAGAAGGAAGGAATAGAGCATGAGGAAGGAAGAAAGGAGGAGGGAGAAAGGAAAAGGAAGGAAGAAATAGAATGGGGGAGAGGAAGGAAAGAAGGAAGGAGAGATGGTGGTGCAGTAGTTGGAATGCAAAGGAGGAAGGAAGGAAGGAAAGCAGGAATAGAGCATGGGGAGGAAGGAAGGAAGGAGAGTGGTGGCGCAGTGGTTAGAGTGCAATTGCAGGCTAATTCTGCCTGCTGCCAGCAGTTCAATTCTGACCAGCTCAAGGTTGACTCAGCCTTCCGTCCTTCCAAGGTGGGTAAAATGAGGACCCAGATTGTTGGGGCCAGAGGCTGACTCTGTAAACTGCTTAGAGAAGGCTGGAAAGTACTGTAAAGCAGTATAAACTAAGGTTAGTGTTAGTGGGAAGGAAGGAAGGAGAAGGAAGGAATAGAGCACTAGGAAGAGAGGGAGGGAGAAAGGAAGGAAGAAAGCTTGAGGAATGAAGGAGAGAAGGAAGGAATAGAGCATGAGGAAGGAAGAAAGGAGGGAGGGAGAAAGGAAGGAAGAAATAGAGCATGGGGGGGAGGGAGGAAAGAAGGAAGGAGAGATGGTGGTGCAGTAGTTAGAATGCAAAGGAAGGAAGGAAGGAAGGAAAGCAGAATAGAGCATGGGGAGGAAGGAAGGAAGGAAGTGGTGGCGCAGTGGTTAGAGTGCAGTATTGCAGGCTAATTCTGCCCTCTGCCAGCAGTTCAATTCTGACCAGCTAAAGTTGACTCAGCCTTCCGTCCTCCCAAGGTGGGTAAAATGAGGACCCAGATTGTTGGGGGCCAGAGGCTGACTCTGTAAACCGCTTAGAGAGGGCTGGAAAGCACTATGAAGTGGTATATAATCTAAGTGCTATTGCTATTTAGTGACCACAACAGGGGCCAGCAACTTGGTCATTAAACAAAGCAGTCACAAAGTGAAATCTCGAAAGCAATTATGACCTTCCTTTGGTTTCTCTGACCTACGAAGGTCATAAATGGGAGAACTGAGTGTGAAGATCTATGGAGATTCTCCATCACCCGGTTCAAGGTTGTCCCAAAGGTGCTTTTTTCCCAAAAGGCAACTGGAGTTTCTTGGGGGGGGGGTTGCCCCCCCCCCCGCCATTGAAAACGTTTCACTTCTCGTCCAAGAAGCTTCTTCAAGTTCTGAAGACGTTTCATGGATGAAAAGCAAAACATTTTCAAAGAAAGAAATAAAGTCCAGTTGCCTTTTGGGGAAAAATAAAACCACACGCTTGGAAGAGTTGGTTAGGATAACTGGCTGTAAAGTTCACTTTTTTCATTGCTGTTGGGGCTGCAAATGGTCCCTAAGGGTGACAGCCACTAAATGAGGACTGGCTGTACTATACTTACCGTCAGCAACTGTGTGTGTTCTTTCTTACTGTGGAGAGGTTATTCTGCAATGGAATTTCTCTTCTTCTATGCTCAGGTAATAGGTTTGCTAGATGCTTGGAATGAAAAAGAGCTTTTCCTCTTCCAAAGGTGCTTTTTTTCAAGAGACAACTGGAGTTTCTTGTTTTTCTTGTTTTTATTTTTTTTTATTGAAAAGTTTTATAAAAGATACAAACATTTTCTCCCCCCTCCCACCCCTCACCCCTCACCCCATCCCACCCCCCTTGCCCACCCACCCATCCTTTCCCACTCCCCCTTCCCCCCACCCCTCTCCCTAGACTTCCCGGAACAAGCACAGGGTATAGCATTCACAAACATAAAACTAAAATATGCTAACAATTTGTTGGCTTCAAATTCTCCCTAGGTCTTTAACTCCTTATAACTCAAAACACTATAAACATAAACTAAAAAATTAAGAATGTTTCATTCATAAGCTATATGAAACTTCTTAGTCTGATACTTGTTCTGAATATAATCAATCATCTTCTCCATTCCGATATATATCTTTCGTTTGAGTGATCTTGTTTTTCTTTTTGAAGGCGTTTTGCTTCTCATCCCAGAAGCTTCTTCAGCTCTGGCAGGAGAGTGCAAATGTCCAGCTGTCTGCAAGGAGTATCAATCCTTCCATTCAGTCCCACCAGCCAGCCAGAGCTGAAGAAGCTTCTTGGAGGAGAAACGAAACATCTTCAAAAAGAAAAACCAGAAAATCCAGTTGCCCCTTTGGGACAACCAGGACCTGGAGGACGGACAATCTCTAACCGACTTTTAGCTTTCCCTATTGTTTCTTTTACTGTTTTGCCCCACATCTGGGGAACCCAGCACTGTCTTTAGATTTTGGGGGACAGAATTCCCTCGATCACTGGGACCAACATAACTGGGCTTCTGCTCTTTTTCATGTTGCTGGTTTCCAGCTTCCCCCACCGCTGAGCTCACTTTCACTGGCTAGATCAGGGGTGAGCAACGATGGCCCCTTTACGCCTGGCGGACTTCAACTCCCAGAATTCCTGAGCCAGCAATAATAATAATAATAAAATCAATCATCGAAACAGCCCATGCTCCTTTTCCTTCAGTGTTCCTGCCATTTCCACATGTTCTGCAGAACCAATCGTCTTGCACATTCCTGCCCCACTGAAGTTGTCAGCCGGAAAAATCGGGAAATTGGGAGTGTTTTTTCCCCGAACCAACATCTGGATGAATCACTGCTACTTCATGCCTCTTTGAAAGCTCTGACTTTTGCAAAACAACAACCTTTTGGACTTTGGATGCGGCTGTTCAGGAAAGGAGCAGCTGGAATATAAAACTTCCAGGGGATGGACAGCCAAGAATCCAGCTATTTGGCATATCCTTGCCTTGTGCTTGTGTGTGCAACCACACTTGCAGTGGGGGAGGATGTATGTGACACACAGAAACACGCACGGAAGGAAAAAGAGGGTCTTAGAAGCCAATTCACGGAGGAAATTGGCTTCAGGAGAAAAAGAGAATCGGAAGAGTGCTGGAAGGGACCTTGGAGATCATCTAGTCCAGCTGAAGCAGGAGACACTGTACCATTTCAGACAAGTGGCTGTCCAGTCTCTTCTTAAAAACCTCCAGGGATGGAGCAGCAGAACTTCAGGTGGCAAGCTGTTCCACTGGTTAATTGTTCTGTTAGGAACAATTTCTCCCGTATTCCATCCAGGTTGCTTTTCTCCTTGATTAGATCCCATCCGTTGTCTTTTGTTTTGCCTTCAAGTGCTTTGGAGAACAGGTTGACCCCCCCCCTTCTTCTTTGGGGCAGCCCCAGAGATATTGGAAGACTGCTATCATGTCAAAAAAACTTTCTAGTTTTTTTTCTTTTGAAGACGTTTCGTTTCTCCTCCAGGAAGCTTCCTCAGCTTCTTCAGAAGAAGCTTCTTGGAGGAGAAGCGAAGCACCCTTGGGAGAATCCAGGAGAGAAGCAGCCTAGAACGAAGGAGAAATTTCCCAACAGAATGATTAACCAGTGGAACAGCTTGCCACCAGTAGTTGTGGGGGCTCCATCACTAGGGGCTTTTAAGGTTGTCTTCCCCCCCCCACCCTCGCCCGGTGGGAGCACAAGACGGCCTGCGGAACTCCTTACCCCTCCCACCCCACATCTCCAAGAAGGAACAGCCTCCGTTGTGGTCGTAGGTCGAGGACTACTTGTCCTGTTCAAACTGGGCCACTGGAAGAGGGGGCGGGACTTCAACTCCCAGAATTCCCCTGTGGAAGCAAAGCTGGGCTGGGGGATTCTGGGAGTTGAAGTCAACCCCTCTTCCAGCTGCCAAGCTTCACCAAACACAGCATGGGAGTCCGACTCAGGTAATATTGGGGGGGGGGTTTACTCCAAATGGTTTTCCCCTCCCCCCCTTACCCCCCCCAAGGCTGGCAGGGGGAGGAGCCCCGCAAGCTCCTCCTCCTTCCTCCCCCGCGCGCTCGCCGTCTGCCCCGCCCACAGCAGCCCAAGAGGCGGGGCTTCCCCTCGAGGCGACGGGTGGCGAGGCGGGCCAATGGGCGGCGGGGCGGGCGGGGCCTCCGACCGGGCGGCCAATCGGGGCGCTCCGCCTCGCGCGCGGGAGGGCGGGGCATCCACGCTGGGCTGCGGGGCGTGAGGAGAAGCCGCGATGGAGCTGCGGCGGACGGTGAGACCCTCGCCCGCTTCCTTCCCCCCGCGGACTCTCTTCCCAGGAGACCCCCGGGGGCCCTAGGCGCTTGGGGGGGGTCCTTCGGGGAGGGGGGGGTCCGCTCCTCCCCGTGGGGGCGGGCGAGCGAAGGGGGGAGGGGAGGGTCTTCTCTGAGCCCCCTGCCCGGAGGTCGTGACCCCCCCCGCCCTCCATTGCTGGGAATGAGGTGGGGGGGTGGGCGGGGGTCTCTGGGAATCCTTGCTCCTCCCTCCCTGCTTGGGTGGGG